GGGATCGCTTCGATCCTGCTCGGTCTTGTCTTGAACGCCTTGTCCAGATCTTCTGAACACTTGAGCCGTCTCGCGATCCTGTGTCCAAAATCCTTTTCCTTTTCCGTTGTGTGCTGCTACCCTAGCAGTTGAGTTGAGTGTGAGTACTTGATCGATCCGGGCAGATATCCCGGGATCGCTCTTTTCGATCTTGGCCAACAATCCAAGATCGGTCTTCTGTGTCCCTGTAACACGCGTGCCTTAACCCGCCGGGGAAGCCAAATCAATCTTGCCTGGAGAAGAGGGGAGGATAACGTGCGTCGTGAGCAGAAGAAGTAGAGTTCAAGTCTGTTTATTAACCAACCAAATTACTATCCAACCTACCCTTAAGCCTATTCTTAACTATAGGTCACTCTTCAAACCGATATCGCCTTGAATCGGGATCGCCCCCCTTGCCACGTGTCGAAATTTCGTGCCCTGTACTCCAATGATAGCGCCAATATCCCCGATATCGTACCTAGAGCACCAAATGGACCAAAATCTCCTATATGGTACCAAATACCCATTCTTGGCACCCAAGTACCCAATATATGACCCAAAATGCCGAATGTGTCCCAATTCACTTTGCGACGTCAATTCGGACAGCTTCCACTGGCTCTTTCGGCATGGAACTTCTTGACATCACTTAGTGACCTCTATCAAGTATATTCCACATGATCCGGTATCTTCATCAACCATATATTCATGATCAGTGTGGAACATGACCGATCTGTCATCCAATATCGAGATGTTGGAGGTCGATCCGGTCTAAATCGGCAATTAACACTTTTTCATCTCCTCATAAGTGCTTCAATATTATCCTCCAGTGTTATCCAATCGACAACTTCATTCATACGTCTCGACATCGGTTTCCTTGACTCCCCTGAGTATGCAAAAACTTCCAGATCGGTGTATAATTAACCAAAATCAGTACTCCCAATTTAGGATCAGTAAAGAGTATCACCGATCCGTATGGTGTTGCACCTTCTTTGCCGATTCACCGACCCGTACTACCTGGTCCCAGATGCACTTTGGGGAGTCACCTTGTCCCAGATGTGTCAATTCTCCAACAAACCGTTGCCACAACATGTCGATCTGCGATCTGATCTTAGCCTGCTTCAATGTACGTATACTTCTTTTTGACCGGCATTCCAATGAGCTGTATGACTTCATCCCGATGTCTGGTTCCAGATTGCCCCATAACATTCTGCAAGATGTTACACCTTCGTCGCAGAGTCATATCCCATCACCCGGTCCCAGATCCTTGTCCCAGATTGTTCCATGTAAATCGTTCCAGATCGCTCCGTCCCAGGTCGACCCATACCCATTAGTCTAACGAGAGTTGGATCGGTTCGCCGATCCCGTTAAGATCATCTTCCACCTCCTTATTGGATCGCCGAGTCTCATGGCCTCCTTTTCCACCAGTAAGCGGCGCATTAAAGGTGTGGCCACCGATCCTCGTACAAAATTTGAGTAGTGACTTAGCCACAATAACTACAATAGTCCTCCCCTCGAAGCCTTACTTGAAGCTCTTCACAAGGTACGAAGGATGAAAAGCTGAAGTTACGTCGATCGTGGACCCAATAGTATGCAACACTGCAACGATGTGGCGGCAAGGCAATCCCATTTACATAAATGTTGAAAACGAACACTTTAACGCTTCAGTCTCAACCCGCCGAAATTTTGCATAGCCTTGCTTTGAAGCGAACCATACCCCAGGAGCTGATCGTGATACTTCATAATTGCTCGCAGCCTATTGTTCTTTGTTCCATAGCGCTCGCGCACGAGGAGTCACTATAAGCTCTTAAGCTGTCCATTTCACGATCTGATCTTGACGCATACTAAACGTGTCCATAGCCGTCTTTGTTTAAATTCGTATTGCTTCCAGCGGTGTAGCATCACGAATACCATTGACGAGAATCGTGTTGTTATCACTCTCCACAAAATTGGTAGTGCGCCATCCAAACAGTGGACATGGTGTTATCGGTGGCATGTTACTATCGTGGGGGTGGTTTCTGGTGAGCCTGTTTGTTTCGTCACTACTAACATCACTCGAAAGCTTGCTTGCCCCATGATGAACAGCATGCATCGGCATATTAGCAAAGACTATCCAGTAAATCGGGTTGATACCTTTAATGTACGTGGCCACATAGACTCCAAAATATGACTGAATTGCCATGAGAGTTTCATGGTAGTCAACCTTTGTCTCTGCAGACTGAAGTTTCCACACTGCATTCTCAAACTCGCTTCCTGAACAGCCGAAGTTGCGCTTGACATTACGCAATACATGTATCGTACAGAAACGAATTTGAGCGCTGATACCCGTTCTTATCCACACCAGTTTAACGGCTATTGTATTTTTCCACGATCACACATGACAGCGACATTCATGAAATTTATTCCAGCGTCAATACACTGAATGAAAAAACCACGCAATGTTGTCCTTGTTTTCCACATGAACAAATGCGGTTACAAGCTTGACGTTTTGTCCGTTACCGTCTCGTCCAATCAGGGGAAGTATGACGCCATTATGCTTTCCGTGACGGGAATGGGTGCCATCAAAGCCAACCACCGGTGTATTGAAAGAGTGGCTGCGGACGGCAACTCCGAATGCCACAAAAAATCGAAAAAATCGATGTGTTGATCTACGTCAAGTGACACAGTGCTGCCTGGATTGATGCGCCTCAACTCCACCAAGTGTGGGGCAAGGAGCAAGAAAGATGATTTCCATTCACCTTCATGTCATCAATCACCGCATCCTTGGCTCTATAAATCTTGTTCCGATTTTGCTGCCGATTAGTGCCATCACGAGCCCGTACTAGCGCCACAATTGACTTACCCTTGATGCCCTTGTCACCTCGAACAGCGGCATCAAAAGTTGGCAGTAGTTGAATTTGCCAAGATGATGGTTTGCTGATCGCCATGCATACATCGGAGTGGCTGTCAATGAACGTGGAAACATAGTACTCGAAAAATTTACCCGTCCATTCTCGCTTCGTCACACGTACTTCCCACGGGCACCCAGCTTGTGGGAATACATATGACTTGCTTCTTCCACTACTCTTTTTCACCTTGCACTGTCGATTTTGATTAAAACAGTAATTCTTTATGTACGCGGTTGCAGCAACGCCAGTTCGAAAGGTTTTGCCATAGGACTGGTCAGTAGTACCGTGATTAGCGTCAATTCCGATTGCTGCAGTCACTCGAGACATCTAAAAGACTTTTTTCAACCCACTTCTTGCGCTTACGCTCAAACGCTCAAACTAAGCATTCAAAATAAACAGTATGAGGTAGTGAACAAAAATTATGATAAAATGATTAATGCTTTTAAGACCAGTACTAATTTCTGAATAAATAATACGCATGTATTACACTTGTCTTTACATAATGTCCTAGTCAGTGAAACAAACTCCTCGTAGTGCAACATATCCACACGGACATAGCACAAACGTTAAGCAGGACACTCGACACCACTTGAAACCACTCGACGCCGCTCGACGCCACTTGACATCAATCGACATCACTCGACATCACATGAAACCACTCGACGCCACTTGACATCACTCGACACAACTTGACATCACTCGACGCCGCTTGACATCACTCGACATCACTTGGCACCGCTCGACATCACTCGTCACGACTTAATACCACTCGAAATTACTCGACATCACTTGAAACGCACTGCAACACATACACACAGACAAAGCATACGATCGTTAGACAGCACAGTCGACATCAACAGCATGATTACCTGCTACCGCTGCTCATGAGAGGTCAGATAATAACGGAGTCCCCCGGTCACGAGCTCGTCGGGTGCGTGCGACCGGGCCCTGGCTCGCACGCAATGTGCCCAACCCAAAATGGGCACATCGGCTCGTGGGCGCAAATTGAGAAGTAAACGAACCGTTGGTAAAAATAGAGCGTTTTTCGACCACTCGCGACAGTTGTCTAAAAAATGGAAAGGCTCATTAGTGATCAGGCAGTTTCTAATCCCATGTTGCAGTTGAGTATAATGTGGCTAACACTATGCTAGTTTGCATACTCAACCCAAGTATAAAATAGATAAATTTAGACTTGATTAAACTAAAGTCCTGGTTTTGGGACATTTGGACATTTGTGGTCCTGATAATGAGATTTGCTCACAATGCAAAACAAAAAAGCTATTGAAAAGGTAAATGTAAGTTGGCCTCACGGGAGAAAGGTGAAATCCCTTGGAGACCACCCCTTCTTAGTGGCAAGCTATTTCGACAGGATGTCCGAAAACGAATGTGAAAAAGACCGATAAAAGTCGGAAACCAGTTTTCACACTGATTCGAACAGATACTACACTTGATCTTAGCTAAAAGGCCGAGATGGTATGGCTTGAAAGCAATACAGAGGACAGAGTGCAACACTGTCGATACAATAGCGAATGTTGACAATAGGAATTTGAATGTTACATCAAATCCGAAATGCGAAAGTGATATTCCAAACAACGAAATAGGGCAACAAATACTAGAAAAATTACTTTAGTTTTTGGTGCTGCCCGCGTGTATGTTGATAGTGTGTGTACGCTGTGAATGATGTAAAGTAATCATGACAATGCGATATGCAAAAGCTGTTGAAAAGGTAAATGTAAGTTGGCCTCACGGGAGAAAGGTGTGAGCCCCCGGAGACCGCCCCGTCAAAGTAGCAAGCTACTTCGACAGGAATGAATGTGAAAAAGGCCGACAAAAGGCGGAAACCAGTTTTCACACTGATTAGAATAGACAAGTGTGTGTATTACCGTCTGGTTAGTTTTTTTCTAAGAGGTATCGAAATACCAAATAGAAACTATGAGGTGTGTAAGCGAGATACAGGTTGCACCACACAGAGCTAAACTATAATGTACCACAGGGATTTGAGGGCGGTTCCCTACTTGGGTATGGCCCTGTCGGCCACTATGTGCCCGAACGACGCTTAGTGGCGGCCTCGATGGGACGGAGTCCCCCCGGTCTCCGTCACCCGACTGCCCCTTGCATCGTGTCTTGAGCGTCCATGTCTTCGTCCTTGAACTTGGTCTCGACTTGAACCTCGAACTTCAACTTGGCCCTGCTGCCTCGCGCGGTGTTGGCTGCAATGTAGATTTCATACGCGGTGGCTGGACTTAATGCACTCAGCAGAAAGTTGCCTGTCCAGCCGCTTCGCATCACGCTTCAGCACAGCAAGGTGCTCGGTGTAAACCGCAAGGTTACCACCAGTGACTGCACCAAGTGACCCGTAGACGAGCGCCGAAAGGTGTACCGTTTAGCCTTGGCGCTCGAGGTGTTGCTTGATGCAGTCATACTTGGTGCGCTTGAGCTCAGCAATCCGCGCGATCGACGACGTCTTTGGGTCTCCTGTCGCCTGATCTTCGAATGCCACTGCCGGGTCTACAACCAACACCGAGTGTGTGGTGTGGTTGTATACCTGCAAGACTGGTCTCAATGCAGGCCCGGGGAGCGAGGGTACTGTTTGGTTAACCCTCAGTTCGACCCGGTCCGTTCGGTCCTTCGCCGACGACGCAACAGCACGCTCAATGATCTTGAGGGCCTCGTCGTGGCGGCCACGCACCGCGTCCATCATCCCGGCGCAGTGGTTAAACACATGCGCCAGCGTCTCGGAGAGGGAACAACCAGGAAACCTGCACTTGTCATGCGACCGAAGACAACGGCGCTTCAGGACACGGTGCGTGTCGAGCTGGTTGAGACGACCACCCACCGCGAAGCGGTAGTCGCTCTCCCATAGCACTCGGGACCATGATAGGAAGGCGCTCCCAGCACCACCAAGGGTGCGAGCAACCTTGCCTTGATCCTTCATCGCGGCCCATCGCTGTTAGTGCCTGTTCTTGAGGTGAGGCTTCACGTGCCGATGGACATCCCGATGGTCCAACCAACCAGCGTCGTAGGGCACGCGAAGCTGCAACCTCTTGGCCGGCGTCCCGTCTCCTCCACCGCTGGCGCCATCTCAAACATGAGGCCGAAGCGGTGAAGGTGACCCCGGACGTCGAACCACAGCGACCCAATGTCAGCATTCCTTCGCTTGGGCGGTGCTGGGTCCGACGTCCCCAGATTGCTGTTGAGGAGGAGCTCGCCTAGCTCATCCTCTCTGTCCCTCCATGCCAAGGCGTCCAGCTTGTATCCTGATTCAGCAATCTGACGGAGCTGCTGGCGAGCTATGCGCTGGATGGCAGTGTCAGGAGAGTGCAGCATCTGCCACCCATGCGCAACTTGCAAGGCGCCATGCAGCTCCGTCAAGGGTAAGAACCCTAATCCACCACGAGAAACAGGAGCGTAAAAGAACGCCGTCGTGGCGCTAGTGGGTAGCCGTAGCAGGTGTCGAAGGCCGCGTACAAGATGACGGTCAAAAACCTCCAGCTGCTGAGCAAACGACCTCAGGTGCCGGAGGGCGTACTCAACCCGAGGGTACAAGTACACCTTGACCGCCTTGACCACCTGCCACGGCGCCAGCCCGGACTGCATCAGCACCGTCGCATCGTGCTTGAGCTGAGTGAGCGCTGGTGCAAGCTAAACGCGACGGCGCACGTGGTCGAAGCCATCCGCAATCCCCAAGTATTGGTATGAGTCGGAGGCGCTGAGCGCGGGGATCGGGGAGCCGTCGAGCTGCAGCCGGAGGTCGCTGGTCCGGTGAAGACCACGCACATCCCGCTGGACCGACAGGGTAATGCAATTGTGCGGATTCGCCTTCGTGCCGGTCCAGCGCAGGAAGTCGTGCACCACCGAGTGCTGATGCTTGATACCGTCCACGGTGCTGCTGAATGTCTTCAAGACGTCTGCGTAAGCAGCAGCACCGGGACGGGCTTCGCTTGACATCTTCACGCCAGTGTCCGGCAGCGACTTGAGCGCGTGAAGCAGCAGGGCAATCGCGGCAGTAAAGAGATGGGGGGCTGAGTGGGCAGCCTTGAAACACCCCCACCTTCAACGCGATTGGCGCCGAGGTCCCATCAACAGCGTTACCAATTGTAAACGCTGCGTCTGCGTAGAGACCACGGCAAGAAGCGACAAACTTGGTCAAAACACCCTGCTGTTGTAGCGCTTCCCATAGCAAGTCGTGTGGCACGCTACCAAAAGCGTTGACAAAGTCGTACCACACGACATGCAACTCTTGATGCTTGCGCCGGGCTTGGTCAACGAGCATGGCTGCGAGGAAGTTGTGTTCCCCGCAGCCGTTCATGGCTCGAAAGCCCTTCTGCGCTTCAGCGTGGCTGCCATTGACGTCGAGCCAGCGCGTAAAGCGACGCGACAAGACACCGGCGTACAACTTGTAGATGGCCTGCTGCAAGCAGATCGGCCGCCAACTCGATGGATCGAGCCGATCGCCCTTCTTGTGCAGCAGGCGCACCACGCCAATCTTCCAACTCTGCGGCACACGCTTGGACTGCCAGCAGCGCGCGAACGCTGCGGGTAGAGCGGGTAGAAGCTGGGCCGTGAACATCTTGAAGATGTCGTAGCCGACACCGTCCAGGCCGGGGCTTGAACTGCCGCGCGCACACTGCACTTGGTCCTCGATCTCCTGTGACGACGGCGCATCCGTGAGCAGTGCCATGTCAACGGTCGCTGGCGGCAGGCGGTCCATGGCCGTGCGGAACGCGGCACCTACCGGTGCCATGGGGTCGAAGGCACCCATCGGGGTGTTCACCACCGTGAAGAACTGGTGCAGACGCTCCCCTGGAATGGAGCAGATGCCTTCGTCCACGTCCACGCAGTCCGGCGGAGGTGCAGTGGTAGCGGATGGCGTAGCTGCAGCCTCATCTGCCTCGCGCTTGGACCGAGCTGTCGCCAGTATGCTCTCAACACACACCTTCTCATCGGTGTCGAAGAGGTGGCGGAGGCGTTGTTGCTCTAGGAAGGAGTGGATCCTCCCCACACGGCGACGTGCCTTAGCCACAACCTTGCGGTTGCCCGGCTCGCTGCACTGGACAGCATGCATGGCGTCCAGAGCCTCGTCAAGCCTGTGCTCACGGTGATGACGTGTCACACGGGGCGGACGCGTGCGCCGGCACACCTTGCCACCACCAGAGGGACCACGCCGACGACGTGGACGTGGACGGCTGCCACCTTGGCGCTGACCGTCGTGCGGAACGGCCTGCGCTTGGCCTTGGTGCGGCTCCTTCCGGCGCTGCGAACGAGGTTGGGCGGGGTGCTGTGTCTGGGAGTAAGGCTGCAGGTGATCGTACAGTACATAAGGGAGGGCTGTGATGTAGCCCTCTGCCTCCTCCCAGTTATCAGCGTCCATGATCTTGGCAGCTAGCTTCGCAGCTAGCCGCTCCACCAACCTGAACGCAGCCTCTTGCTCGTCCTCATCCAATGCGCGAAGGCGCAGACGCGACCGACGCTGAGGCACTGCATCAGGCCCCACACGCATCGCTGTATACACCTCACCATCATCGATGTCCCCCATGTCATCACCATCGGCGGGGCTTGGGGGGACATCGGTGCCCACCGCGACATGCGGTGTGGCAGGCGGAGGTGCAGCTGCGGATACAGGGGCCGTCGTGGAGGTGGAGGTGCATCCATGTACATCGGTATGCACCACGCACTCCAACTCGGTCGCGAGGCGGTCAAGAGCGGCGTTAACGAGGCGGTCGGCTTGACCATTTGCCTGCCTGTCGATGGGGTGGAGCGTGGCCGGCTCTATCCGCACCAGCTCTGCCTTGACTGCGAGTCGCAAGTGCCTCAGCCGCTTGTTGCGTGTGGAAAAGATGCCACGCACCTGCTGGATGACCCGTGTGCTGTCACCCTCAACCCGCAGGCACGTGACTCCATGGTCAGCGGCAGCTCTTGCGCTGAGCAGCAGCGCCGTATATTCAGCGGTGTTGTTGGTCTCGCTGCTGCTCGGCATGTAGTGGGAGCATATCCACACTACGGGGCCGCTGGGCTTGAACAACGCAGCGCCGGCGCCGCCTAGGCCAGGGTTCTTGCGGCAGGCACCATCAAAGCGCAGCAGCCACGCGTCGTCCATGTTGGGGTCTTCGGTGACGTTTTCGTCGTCGCCGTCACCAGCCTTGGTCTCCTCCTCCTCCTCCGTTAGCTCTGGCGGGAGGAGACGGTCAGCAATCCTTGACACCACCACGCCGCAAGGCAGTGGTGGTCCCCAGCGCGGGGCGGAGACATCGCCGAGGCGAGACGCAACGCGAAAAGCGACCAGCTGCCGTGGGAGCGGCGGGCTCCATCTTGATCTGTCAGGCGTGGTGCTCGACTGCGGAGGGGACACAGCGAGCACGGGAGGGTATTGGCGGGGCAGCACGGGCTCGGTGTCGGCCAACGTAGCGGTGGCACTGACTGCACCAGCAGTGGGGCTGAGATCACCTGCTGCTGATGCAGTCGCGGCTGAAGTGTCGCAGAGGATGACACACGCGCGAGCGTAGTTAGTTGCAGCCAGCCTCGACACGAAAGGCGTGCCGCATGGACAACCTGCCGAGAAGCGCTCAACGAAGGAGATGCGGCGGTGCCGTGAATCCCGGTGTCGCTTGAGCGAGGCAAATCTTGAGGCCTTGTATGCACACAGCGTGCACGTGAAGCGCTGCGCGTTGTGTGCATACACGGCCAGGACAGAGGCCGGAAGTGCGCTGGCCGTGGATGGCCAAAGCGCTGAGTTCTGAGGGCCGGCCTCAACTTCCTCGAGCAGCATTCGCTTGGCTTGCTCGCACGGGTCGTCGTCGCCGTCATCGCTCAAGTGGCGACGCTTGCCGCCGAGGCGGAGCACGAGAGGGGGAGACGGTGGAGTGTGGCTTGCTGCCTGCCACGTCGCGCACTGGTCAACCTCCATAGGGATGGCAGCGGTCATGACAGGAGCCTGTGAATCACCGGCGGGCAGCATGCCACCCGCCCTACCGGGTGTGCAATCATCAACTTGAGGGCAGGGCCCAGCAGACAACTCGTCGCCGCAAGGCTTCGGAGAGTCACACCCGGCTCGGTCGGGCAGCGGGGATGCCTGCCAGCCGAGCCGGTCGTCACCGGTAAGTGGGACAGAAACAACACCAGAAACAATTGCTGCAGTGGACACGGCCTCGCTGGTGGTAGCGCGTGTGCCCACGGGAGCTGCCGTGGCCACTGCAGTGTATCCATCTCGGGCAGGCAGCTCCGTAGCTACCTGGCCGAGCCGGTCGTCATCACTTGGGCGGGCGGTGGCAGCGTCGTTGTCCAACGAAGAGGCGTCGGTGTCGTCAGACGCCATCCCGTCGTTGCTGTCGCTGTCTTCGGGGTCGCTGGGGCCATGGGAGGCACCCAGGGCGCGGGCCGTTGCGGCTAAAAGCGCTGACCCATTCTCAACCAAGTCGGGCAGCATTTCTGCCGCCCTGCCGGGTCGAGCAGCAACATCCGCGGGGTCCTGGGCGACGACGGGGCCGTCGGGAGCTGGTTGGAGGGCGGGGGGAGCCGTCTCACACGTCGTAGAACCCGGGTACAGCCTGTTGGCACCCGGGGAGCCGATGCTCTGAAGTAGTCCTGGCTGGACCCGGTCATGCAGCATGCTTGCCGCCCTGCCGGGCTCAGCATCAGCGTTTGCATTGTCTTGTGCCTCTCCCACGTCTAAGAGGGCGCTCGTATGGGGCTCAGTAGCCTTAGTACATGTGTTCGGACCCGGGAGCTGCCTGCAAGCACCCTGGGAGCTGTCGCTCTGGAGATCTTGGATGTCTTGAAGCGATACCCGGTCGGGCAGCGTAACGCCCGCCCTGCCGGGTATGCCAACAAACGCTCTGGAGTCTTTAGGGGATGCGGCGGGAAAGCAGGCACGCGGGGACACTGTCGTAGCTAAACGCGCGCGGAGGAAGCGGGGGGGGGCGCATTCGTGGCCTCTGCAAGGCCAGCGAAGACGATGCAATCTTGGACCGAGAAGTCTTGAGCGTTGTCTTGAATGTTTTCTTGAATTGCGGCGACCCCTATACTTAAACCACGTATATTATCAAAGGTACCTTCGCTGGTACCAACGGGGGGTCGCCGGGCCTCTTCCCGGTCTGTGATGGCACCCAAAATCGGGGCCCGAGACAGGGGGGCCGTGCGCGAGACAGAGACCTCTGCGTGCGCGGAAAATTGGTAGGCACTGGGCGATGCGGGTCCCGAGCCCGTGCCCGAAGTTGCGGCACCTAAATCCGCGTCACCGCCGCGAGGCGATGGCGCGCATAGACGCGATCGGGGTCCATCTTCGGGCCCCAAAAGGAAATTATTGGAGGTACGAGTGTGTACCCCAACCCTAGTCCGACGGCGACCGTCCCCATGCAGTTTCGTCCCAACCGTTCCGCAAAGAAGGGTGACGAACTTTCTGGGAACAGTCGTAAATCAGACTGCCCCGCCTCTTCGCCAGTGACCAGTTGCGTGTCACTTGGGAGAGGATGCAGTTCGCCTGATTCCACACCAGTCTCGTCATCAGCCGACGCGTCATAGAAAGACGCATCGCTGGCGAGACTGGAATGGCTGTCGTAGAGCACTCACTATCGCTAAAAAGAGAACGCACTCGAGGCTCCCAACCCGGCCACCAAAATCGCATAGAAGGGGCGATAGTGGAAAGGCCAGGGCAGAAAGTACAGATAGACAAACGGTATAGAACGAACTGAGATCGAACGAACGATAAGTAGAATAGAAGCAAGTTTATTGTAGTCGGTCCCACGAAAGTTAGGTGTAAGCCACTCGGATACCTTCCTGACAAGTATCGCTACTATATCAGGACGTCCAAAAACGAATGTGAAAAAGACCGACAAATGTCGGAAACCAGTTTTAACACTGGTTCGAACAGATACTACACTTAATCTTAGCTAAAAAGCTTAGAAGGTATGGCTAGAAAGCAATACAGAGGACAGAGTGCAACACTGTCGATACAATAGCGAATGTTGACAATAGGAATTTGAATGTTACACTAGATTCGAAAGTGATATTCCATGCAATGACTTAGGGCAACCAATACTGTAACGGGGTGAATCGTTACAGAACAATTTATAAGAAATTGTTAATAGAATGAAACTATAAGAGTTATATTCTCGTAATATTTTCATGAGGACAATATTTTACAGCACTTACGAGTAGTTTTTAATTGGTTGCTACAGGCCAAAATATCAACCAATGAAGACACGCCACGACAGACGCACGCAATGAGTGGTGAGCAGATAGTTTTTGAAATGCACACTTGTATTCAGACATAGTTAGATGAGGATAAATAGTGATTCATTAACAGACATTAACTATGATAAATACAGTTCTGCTTTTTACTTTAATCAAGTACTCGCTTCTTCTTACCGTCTTACTCTGCACGTACCAGTGTACGTGAAGTTCCGAGGCACCGCCTTATTCTGTCGTCAGAATAATTAGCTTGTACTGTCATCAGTACAAGCTTCAGGGTGCTCCGTTACACCTGGTAGCACTTCGTAGTCCGTCCAAGGACCACGTTCACATCTAACATGAATATGTTGGATGATGATGAAGATGACCAAAGCTTTCACGCTACGCGTGACGGCTACTCCCATTTAAGCAATGTCGAATGGGATGCGGTTGAACGGATGGGTTCAACCATGGGCATCCATGCTGTTAGCGTCATGCTAGAGGCTCTTAATAGAGATGCTCAACATGCTACTATCGACAAGTTCATTCAAAATGAACTTGACGCTGAACGCGAGAAAGTAGCCTTGGTTTACCAACAAGGTTCTCAGCAATCAGAGTTGTTGAGAGAACAGGGTGTTCAACAGTTTGAACTGTTGAGACAGCAGCAGGCTGGTGCTGGTGGGTCGATGCACTCGCGTCGACCCGAAACCTTGAAGATTGACATCTCCAAGTATAGGGGAGTCAAAGAGGACTCCCTCTTGAGATGGTTCGTCGAATTGGATGACGCCATAAGGGCGCGTCACATCGACGACGGGGATATGCAAGTTGCATTTGCCCAATCAAATCTGGCAGGACGTGCCAAGACTTGGGCACTGGGGCTCAAGTTGCACGACCCATGTGCGTTTGGGTCGTTAGAAGTCTTCAAGTCGCGGCTCAGACAAACGTTTGAACCGCCTAGAGCTGAGTTCAGAGCTCGAACCGAACTCTTGAAGCTCAAACAGGGTAAGCGTGATGTGCACGCTTACGCGCAACATATACGACATCTCACGAGTTGTGTAAGTTCCAACCCGGTTGATGAACACACGTTGGTTTCGGTGTTCATGCAGGGTCTTGCGGATGGTCCCGTCAAGACTCACCTGTTCCGGCTTGAACTAGATTCACTAGAACAAGCCATTTCCATTGCGGAGCAGGAAGACTTCAGTCTGAGACAGGCTCGCGCCAGCTCGACATCATATCGTCAACCGAGACGATATGAAAACGGAGGTCCGGAGCCGATGGAACTCTGTTATGTAGAAAGTGAGAAGGCTCGCTCTACAGACTACAAGAAGTTGCAGAAATGCAACAGGTGTCAAAAGACTGGACACTACGCTTACGAGTGTAGTGCCGCTCGTTCAGTGTCTCGCAACACCGGGCGTAGTTACCGCCCACCCATGAGAAGGGGGCAGGGACGCGGGTCCGCCGTTGGTGCAAAGACGCAACAACGGGATGGACCGTCAAAAAACGGACAGGATCAGTAGGTGCGGAGCACCCTACTGGTCCAGCAACGTCAAGAGAATTTGTAGGGCTCCTAATGAAGGTTGCTCCCAACACACAAACATCGTGCGTTGCTGCTCTAGGTAATGAGATCTCACTCATTACCTTGAAACTCGGAGTGACGATTAAGTTTTCCCTTCGAGCTCTAGTCGATTGTGGGGCGTCTAACAATTTTGTGCAACGCCAATCGCTAGAAGATGGTCACTTTAAATTCAGTGAATGTGACACACCTCCTACGAGGATGACGGTACGTCTTGCGACAGGCGCATCCGTAACCGTCATGAAGCGTATAGTGAAGATCCACTATACGCTACAAGATACCCAATATGACGATGACTTTATCGTATTGGATTTGGATGACAAATTTGATGCCATCCTTGGAATACCGTGGCTCAAAGGTACGAACCACGAGTAAACTGGCAACATCGAACAGTACCGATGCCTGCCGCTTGTTCATCAGATGGCCATCTGATGAACGTTTTGGAGCGTCCACAAGCGTGTGGATGTACTACGAGTGAGTGCGATGGCCTCACTTGTGGTACGGTCGTTAGCACGACTGCACTAAACCTTTGTGCAACAAACAGTTACACTTCGGAGCAAGACTCCGGCGGCTGAGAGGAAACACAGGCTGCGCCGATGGTCCACCACTCGAATAAGTCGAGTGGACCGGGAAAAGATGTATCCCTAGCGGGGAACACCTGGAAGAGAAACAATCGATCGCTCAGGTTAAGCGAAACAATAATCCTAGATCGACTGGAGAGTCTTTTGTAGAGGATCTCGCTGTGGTTGCGCAACCACAGCTAGAGGAAGTTAAGGGAATAAGTCCCGATATTACAGATACGGTGGAAGTAAGTTCCCCGAAACCCGAAAGAATAAGTGTCCGGGAAGCCGAAGGATTAAGTCCCATGAGGCCTGAGGGAATAAGCCCTCAGGAAATGACAGAGACATTGAATGTCCTAGTCGACGGATAAAGTGTAGGCGCTTATGCACTTGATCTGATTGCGCCTCCGAAGTTGACTCCGGAGATCACTCAGTTGCCAACGCTCGAACATATAAGGTTCTTGCGTGATCTGCGTAGTGGCAAAGTCAAGCAGATCTGCGTACTCGCCGCTGACGAAGAGTGCGTAGCCGACATAAGGTCAGCAACAGTGTTTACTGAGAACGAGAGAGTTCTCAGTAGTTCATCGGTGGGCGAGAGCGTCCTAGATGAAAAGACACGAATTGAGCGATATGAATCCCAATCGTGGTAATCGCTCCAGACAAATACTCTCTATGAAGATTTAGTTAAATTCAAGGATGTATTCCCTGAAACTGTTCCGTGCGAATTACCGAAGGATAAAGGTACTTGACACGAAGTCGAGCTTAAACCAGGCTCGAAGTACTGTGTCATGAAGCAGTGGCCACTGCCTCGTGAACAAGTACTTTCGATCGACAAGTTCTTTGCCGATCGTTTAGCTGCGGGCCATGTGAGGGAATCAACTTCCCCACACAGCTCTCCGACCTTCTGTGTGCGAAAAGCAACATGAGGGTGGTGGATTGTGCATGCATTTAACAAGGTGAATGCTGCAACGTTACCGGCTTAGACGCCGATACCAAGGAAGGACGTCATCATTGATGGTATGTCAAAGAGTACCATCTTTTCGTCCATGGATTTGATGGATGGCTTCTATCAAATCCTAATGCGGGAACGGGATATACCCTATACCGCAATGAGCTCGCCTAGCGGCATGCTCTGGGAATGGCTAGTAATGCCACAAGGGCTTAGCAATGCCACTTGCCACGTTCAACAGATGTGTATGACATCTGTTGAGACCAGTACGAGAATTCGCGCCGAGTTATTTCGATGACGTGTTCATCCATAGTCGATCTATGGATGGAAAGTCGGACGTTGAGATTCACAGGTACCACGTCCGACAGGTTCTTACAATCATGCGAAAGCATCAATTCTATGCCAATCTCAAGAAGTGTATACTTGCAGCAAGCAAAATACCACTTCTTGGGTGCATCGTTGGTAAGAACGGTGTACGTCCTGATCCCGAAAAGATCAAGGCGATCACCGACTGGCCTGTGCCGGTTGATGTCAAAGGTCTTCGAAAATTCCTTGGGCTAGCGGCGTATTTGCATAAGTATTCACGCAATTACGCCGAAATGACTGTGCACCTCTCTCGTTTGTTGAAAAAGAACGAGAAGGTGTTATGGAACGCTGAATGTCAGCGCTCCTTTAATGGTATCAAGCAGAGCTTGATACAATCCCCAGTCCTAGCAATTGCCGATCGGGACAGGCCATTTCATGTGGTCTGTGATGCCAGCGATTTCGCAATCGGCTGTGCATTAATGCAGTACGATCTTGAAGGCGTTGAACGCGTCGTCTGCTATCAGTCGCGTCAGCTGCAACCAGCTGAGCGGAACTATCCAGTGCATGACAAGGAACTCCTTGCCATGAAGTATGCACTCGCGAAGTTCAGATTCTATCTATTAGGAGATAGACCCTTCATTGTTTACACTGACCGTGCGTCGTTACGCACGGCAGTAAACAGTCCGCACCTTTCACAACGAATGGCGCGGTCATTGTCATTCTTTGCAGAATACAACTTTACGGTCGAGTACGAACCAGGACGACTCAATGTCGTCGCTGATGCACTCTCACGTCGGCCCGACTTTGAACCAGTCGTGAAACCCAACAGTGCGACAGCCACTGTTGCGGTTATGACGTCCTCAGTACCATCTTCAACGTTGCATGATGATTTGAGGCGGGCGTATGCCCAAGATGGTGAGATTGTGAAGTTGTTGACACATTTCTCACAGCCATCTCGAGAATCGTTGAACGATTATCGTCTGCGTATCGATCTGCATCAGATCGATACACTACTCGCAACGGCTTACTGTATTGTACAGCCGTTTCTGGTGACACACCACGTGTTGTCATTCCAGATGATACTGATCTGCGTTTGCGGATCATGTTCGAGTATCACGATACTCCTATAGGAGGACATCGTGGCCGGGAGAAAACTTATCTCACGGTGAGTCGGGACTTTAAGTGGCCCCGCCAGTATCAGTTTGTGCGAAAGTGTGTTCGCGCATGCGAAGTCTGTCAACGAGTGAAGTCAAGTCCTTCACTGCGTGCACCGTTACAGCCTCTACCGGTTCCGGCTGAGTGCTGGGAATCCATCTCAATGGATTTCGTCTTCGGGTTACCCAAAGACGCACGCAGGAATACGGGTATTCTTGATTTGTTGACAGATTCAGCAAAATGGTCCACCTTGTGGCTGTACCAGAGACAATCACGGCAAGTGGCTGTGCTTGTGTCTTTTTTGACACCATCTTCCGACTTCATGGGTTGCCCCGTGAACTCGTATCAGACAGAGATCCACGATTCACTGCTGACTTCTGGCGTTCCGTGTTCAAATCACTCGGAACGCGCTTGAAGATGTCGACATCTGATCATCCAGAGTCAGACGGTCAGACGGAACGAGCCAATCGTGTCCTCGAAGAGATACTTCGCGGATACGTACACCCCTTTAAGAGTTGGAGTGAGTTCTTGTCAATGATAAAGTTTGCCATTAACAACTCGGTGCATGCGTCCACAACACATACACCGTTTTACGTGAATGGCTTGGGCCGTCCGCGTGTACCCACCTTACTAGAGTGTAACTTTGGTTTAAGGGGGGGAGGGACTCGCACGAGAAAAAACCGATTTGGGTCACGCTCATCACGCTCTGAAGATGAGGTCATAGCGTTTGATGCCGATATCGATAACATCGATATCGAAGAAGATGATGCCAGTGAGAGTGCGGAAGCCCTCACTGAAAAAAAGATTGATGTCGCTGCAGTGCACTCACAGCGCACTGAAGCTAACGAGTCATCAGATGAGTTCATACTGGCTCGTGAAACGGTAGTCCGTTTTGTGCAAGACTCCATCGCCGAAGCGGTGGACAAGCATAAGCAAAACGCTGACAAGAATGGAAGGGCAACCACTCTTTTATTTAATAAAGGTGACTTAGTCCTACTGTCTACGGTTAATCTACCAAAGCATGTAGTGACTAACTTGGGTAGTAGTAAACTTCTACCCAAGTACATCGGCCCATTTCGTGTATTGCATCGCCTAGGCAACGCTTACACGATCGAACTACCACGTAAGATGCGAACGCATCCCACGTTTTACGTTGGTCGGCTTAAGCTGTACCATCAGTACGCTGCTTCTTCCGATGAAGAACGCCCTTGCGCTCAAGCATCTCGCAGAGAGCCTTGTGCTCCCGATGGTGGCCATCGACAAGGGTCTAAAGAGCAGTTATCTCAGCCCGAGACCGCTCAACATCCCCACGAGCTACCCTTAGCTCGTCACGCAGAGACTTCAGAGCTCTCTTGTTCTCAAGCTGAGCAAAGGCAAACTCAGCTCGATGCCTCGAGACAGTTTCCGCCAGTTGGAGACGCCTGTCCCGCTCATGTTCGAGATTGCCGCACAACGCAAGCGTTACGCGATCAAAGAAGCTCTCGGGAACACACGGATCCCACGATAGTTTGGAGGGCGTTTTCCCTTCTCCTCCACCTCCATTAGAGGACTCTCGCGCTGGCAAGCGCTATCTGGTTGAGCAGCTGTTGAATTACCGCGATGTGAACGGACGTCGGACGAGTTACCTCGTCCGGTGGCGCGGTTATCTCCCGTCCTGGGATTCTTGGGAGCCCCGCTCCCAACTGACGGTTGACGTACTGGGTCTGGTCGAGCAGTACGACGCGGCACATCCTGTGCCGCAGAATGACCGCTGGAGAAAGTCTTCCCGGCACGGTCGTAAAGGGATTTCATGTTGTCAATTCCTTTCGTACATCTCGATAGAGATACGTGCGCGCCACCACGGGCTGGTAAGGAGGTAAGCCTCTTTAGGTGCGCGCGCTGAGTTGTTTACACAACAAGGGCACGGGTCGCTCCAGGAAAGACAGGGTAACCCACTCTCCCTAGACAGACGATGCAGCTTATAGCGTGCACCTGTCGGGGTTCTCTTTTCAAACTTATCACGAGCTTTGATAAGTTTGTCGTTCCGAACGTCACGACCTACACCCTCAAGGTTATGGATGTAAGCGTTCCACGCTTGAAGCAGTGAGCGACCATCCCGTTTGTGATTCCCACTGTACCATCGATTTCTAAAAGAAAGCGTCGATAAAGAACTCATTTTCAGCGCGTTGTCTTTCGCACTGGGTTCAAGGTGATGGATCCTTGACGAATCGAACAATCGTGTTCGATAGCGATCACTCGTCGTCGCCGACAAGTGATCCATTCATGATTTTGGAGGCATCCATATCTTCTTCTCGGGAGCGAGACGCAACACACTGCGGTCCCGCTCTTCTTGCGACGTGCCGACAGAAGTTCTGGTACCTAGCTGCGAAGTGGTGTCAATAGGAGAACCGACACCACTGTAAGCGGCCGAGTCTTGCGACCTCGAGCGCCTTCGCTTTTGGGATGGTTCATCTGATTCGTCAGATGAATTAAAGATGCTACGACGCGTAGCATCCATGCCACGCTTGGAAGGCGGCTTGGTTTTAACCAACTTCGTTACGGATCCGTCTTCCGTATCGGGAGAGCATGAGACACCGAGCTCGTACTCTGTGAAGACATGAGTGTCTTCATGACGTGCGCCTGCATCACCAGGTGACACAGGGTGAGTCGCTTCAGCAACCGATGAGAAATCAGTTGCTGTGGTTTCTGCTTCGGCGTCCGCACAGAGACGTGCGGACGCGCTCTCGGCGGCCTTGCTCGCGCACCGCAGGGACTTGTTAACCATGCGATGAACAGTTGGAAAGTGGACTCGGTCCAACAAGTGCAAACCCTGTCCCAAATGATTTGGGACGAGTATCCATTTAGTCAATCAGTCACTAAAGTGATTGATGGTTAATGGGGGGGGTGATGTAACGGGGTGAATCGTTACATAACAATTTATAAGAAATTGTTAATAGAATATAACTATAAGAGTTATATTCTCGTAATATTTTCATGAGGACAATATTTTACAGCACTTACGAGCAGTTACTAATTTGTTGATATAGGCCATTATATCGACCGACGAAGACACACCACGACAGACGCACGCAATGAGTGGTGAGCAGATAGTTGATATACACATTTGTATTTAGACATAGTTAGATGAGGATAAATAGTGATTTAGTGCAGACATTAACTATTATAAATACAGTTCTACTTTTTACTTTAATCAGGTACTCGCTTCTTCTTACCGTCTTACTCTGCACGTACCAGTGTACGTGAAGTTCCGAGGCACCGCCTTATTCTGTCGTCAGAATAATTAGCTTGTACTGTCATCAGTACAAGCTTCAGGGTGCCCCGTTACAGAGAGGCAATGGAGCGCGTAGACGCGATCGGGGCCCATTTTTCGGGCCCCAAAAGGGAATTATTGGAGGTACGAGTGTGTACTCTCAACCCGTGTCCGACGGCGACCGTTCCCCGGCAGTTTCGTCCCACCCGTTCCGCAAAGAAGGGTGACGAACTTTCTGGGAACAGTCGTAAATCAGACTGCCCCGCCTCTTCGCCAGTGACCAGTTGCGTGTCACTTGGGAGAGGAGGCGTTTCGCCTGATTCCACACCAGTCTCGTCATCAGCCGACGCGTCATAGAAAGACGCATCGCTGGCGAGACTGGAATGGCTGTCCGTGGAGCACTCACTATCGCTGGATAGAGAACGCACTCGAGGCTCCCAACCCGGCCACCAAAATCGCATAGAAGGGGCGATAGTGGAAAGGCCAGGGCAGAAAGGACAAATAGACAAACGGTATAGAACGAACTTAGATAGAACGAACGAAAGTAGAATAGAAGCAAGTTTATTGTAGTCGGTCCCACGAAAGTTAGGTGTAAGCCACTCGGAGACCTTCCTGAAAGTATCGCTACTATATCAGGACGTCCAAAAACGAATGTGAAAAAGACCGACAAATGTCGGAAACCAGTTCTCACACTGACCAGAACAGATACGTACGTTTGTATTACCAGTTAGTATCCTCTCAGCGATTGTAAAATTTCCTAATACGAATATCACTAATTGGAGGGTGCTTGTGTCTACCTGGGTTTGAAGGACGGTTTCCTACGGGGATAGTGTCCTGTCGGTCAAAAGACTAGCTTATCTCCGTGCCCTAACCTGAGATGTGCTCTGCCGGGTCCCCCCAGACCGATGCAATGCTCTCGAGGCAGTACCACCGCGTTGTCGATAACCGTGCTGGCGACAGTGCCAGCTCCAGATCCGATGACTGGACCTAACACAATGGCTCAACAGCTGAAGATCCAGCTGTCGAGCCTCAATCTTGAGCAACCCAAGCGTTTCTGTGTAGGTCTTGAGGTTGCTGGGATGCACCGAACCCAGTGAACCATAGACAAGAGCCGTAGTCTGTACCCGCCATCTATTAAGCCGCAACTCAGCAACGATGGGTTGGTACTTGTTGACCTTGAAGTCATGGCTGAGTTGCAGCGAGGAGTGTCGAGCACTAGCAGCATGGTCTTCAAACGTGACTGCCAAGTCAGCAATCACCATTATCTTGGCAGCCACGTCACGCACCACAATGTAGGGATGCAGAGCTGCACCAGTGTACTCGGGTACCGTCTGGTTGATGCGCAGCTCTGCGCCTGACTTCCTCCGGACGAGCGCGTGCCTTATCTTGGCAACTTTCTGCTCGAGTGCGTAGTCATGACGCTGACGGATTGAATCCATGTTCGTAGCACAATGGCTCAAAACGTGCGCCAGCGTCTCAGCACTAGAACAGGTCGGCGCTCGGAAGTGAGCGTTCGCCCGAAGACGGCGGCGCTTCAGCACCGAGTTAGTTTCGACTTGGTTGAGGCGGGCCTGTATTCCAAACCGATGTTCGGCATCAGATAGACCCGCCCCCGACAGCACAAACTTGGACCCGGAGCCACCGTGCACCCGGGTCGTCTTGCCTTGATCCACCAGACTCTTCCACCGAGTCTGGTGGCGAATCTTCATGTGCAACTTCACGTGCCGCAACACATCCTTGTGGTCGAGCCACTTGTCATGGTGCGGCACGCGGAGCGCGAATTGGTCCTGGACGTCGTCCTCTGCGCGGTCCGCCAAGCAGAGATGGTGGACGCACATCACCCGCTGTACGTCCACCCAAAGCGAAGCAATGTCGCCGGACCGGCGAATGACAGTAGCATGGGGAGACGACGCAAGCTCCAAGTTCAGAAACAGACGGATGAGCTCGTCGTCTCGACCCACCCAGTGGTCTTCAATCAGTCGGTAGCGCTTGCGCACTATCTGACACACCTGGGCCTTCGCAACTGCAACAATCGCCGGGTCCTTGGAGTGCAACATCTGCCACGCATGTGTGTTGATGCCGATCTCACAAAATTACTTTAGTGAGTGTCGATCTTCCACTTGCCCAGACTTGCCGACTCACGGAGGGGGTACTCCGATCCGTGCCTTGCTGTATAAATTTGTGCTCACCTTTTGTACCCGTCGGTTGGGCTGGCTTGAGCTCTTCGTAACGGCCTTGGAGGATGTCGATCTTGCTGAGAGGTTGGGTTAAGAGCTCGCTTCCGGTGCGGAAATCTTCACACCACAAACAGGGGTTCTGCGATCTTGATCTCGAGTCGCGGCGATCTCTAGTTAAAGATGTCGCGATCTCGATCTTGAATCGCACCGATCTCGATTTGTCTTCAGGATCGGGGTCTTTGCTGGGCGGAAATCTTTACTCAGCAGATTGTAGTCTTCCGTCGATCTTGCCTTGGGATCGGTCCGATCTGGTCTAGGGATCGGTCCGATCTGGTCTTGGGATCGTCCGATCTCGCTGGAAGTGCGCAATTTGGGCAGATCCGATCTGTCCAGTGGATCCCTTCAATCTTGCTCGGTCTTGTCTTGAACGCCTTGTCCAGATCTTCTGACCACTTGAGCCGTCTCGCGATCTTGTGTCCAAAATCCTTTTCCTTTGTTGCTGCTACCCTATCCGTTGAGTTGAGAGTGAGTACTTGATCGATCCGGGCCAAACTTCCCGAGATCGGTCTTCTGTGTCCTTGTAACACGCGTGCCTTGACCCGCCGGGGAAGCCAAATCAATCTTGCCCGGAGAAGAGGGAGGAGAACGTGCGTCGTGAGCAGAAGAAGTAGAGCTCAAGTCTGTTTATTAACCTACCACATTAATAGCCAACCTATCTTTAAGCCAATTCCCAACTATAGGTCACTCTCCAAGTCGATATCACCTTTAAGCTTGACCGCCCCCTTGAACACGTGTCGAAATTTATATCCTGTACTCCAAAGATAGCGCCAATATCCCCGATATCGTACCTAAACGCCAAAAGAGGACCAAATCCCAAATATGGTACTAAATACCCATTTTTGGTGCCCAAAAGCCCGAAATAGAGCCCAAATGCCGAAGGCGTCTAAATCCATTTTGCGACGTCAATTTAACCGGTTTCCACTGGCTCTTTCAATCTGAAATTTTGGGACATCACTCATGGACCTTCAACAAGCATGTTTGTCGTGATCCAAAAGTCTCATCATCGATATATCCATACCCAGCAGGGAACATCACCGATCTGATGTCCAATTCGAAATTGTTGAGGATCCACACAGTACAATCCGGCCATATTTCTTCTTCCGTTCATTGTGCGTACTCCGATGCCTTTCTTAGAAAGGTTATGCTTCAACATCCACATCCCTGCCTTTGATCAGCCTTCAGAGCGGTCGTTTGGTCCAATCCAGTCCCTCGTCCCAGATCGCACCGTGATAATCATCCCTTTCTACGTCCCGTCTCAAATCACGTCGCATCGCCTGGTCCCAGTCGTACCTTTCTCAAAATTATTCTGCTTCAACATCCACATCCTCGCCTTTGATCAGCCTTCAGAGTGGTCGTTCGGTTCGATCCAGTCCCTCATCCCAGATCGCACCGTGGAAATCATCCCTTTCTACGCCCGTCTAAAATCACGTCGCATCGCCTGGTCCCAGGCATCAATTTCCGCCATTGGGTGACGTCTTCACTGGGTGGACACCGATCCACGTTCCACCATTTGGTTAGTGACTTTACCACACATGTGCTACCTGCAGCGCTTGGTGCATCTCTACCAGCGACTGCAGGCCCAGCCCACTACCCGACGTTGGCGTGTAGAAGAACTCGGTGGTGGCGGACTGGGGCAGGCGCAACAGATTCCTCAACCCACGCTTCACGGCGCAGTCAAATCCTTGGAGCTGCGACTGTAGCGGGCGCAGGTGGCGAAGGGCGTACTCCACCTTCGGGTAAACGTACGGCTTCAACGCCTTCACCACCTCCACACCGCGAGTCCAGACTGCATCAGCGCGACCGTCTCCCGCTTGATCTGTTTTAGCTTGGGTTCAAGCTGGAGGCGGTGCTGCACATGGTCGAAGCCATCGCCCACCCCCAAGTACCGGTAACTCTCGTTAAGGGTAAGTGGGACGATGACATCACCATTTAGCTCCAAGCGCACGCTATCGTCACGAGCCGGGTTGCCACGGGCATTGATGGTCACCGCAAGGCTAGCACACTTAGCCGTGTTGGCACGCTACCCGGTCCATGCGAGGAAGCGCTTGACCACAACATGGAAACTCTGGATGCCGGCAGCGCTATTGCTGAAAACTTTGATGTCATCAGCATAGGCGGTGGTGCACGGCCGGACACCATCCGCCAGCGGCACACCGACATCCTCCAGCTGTTCCAAGCGTCGAACAAGTGGGACCAGTGCAGCGATGAACAGGAGTGGGCTCAAGGGGCACCCTTGGTACACACCCAACCTCCTGCCTCACTGGGTCAGTCGCACCGTCCTGCGAATTCACTACCACAAAGGACGACTCATGATAGATGTCCTGGCAGTGGTTAATGAACCGGGGCTCAACGCCAATGCGGCGGAGCACCTGCCACATGAGTGGCTGTGGCAGCGAACCGAAGGCGTTCCGTAAGTCATACCACACTTGGTACAACTTGCGGTGCGACCGCCGGGACTGATCCAACATCGTGGTTGCCAGAAAATTGTGTTCATGGCAACCGTTGAAAGCCCGGAACCCCTTCTGTGCCATCGGCAGCCGGTTGTTCAATTCTAACCAGCGCGATAGACGACGTGCTAACAACCCGCTGTAGAGTTTGTAGATAGCGGGCTGTAGGCACATCGGTCGCCAGTTGGTCGGCTGCATCGGGTCACCCTTCTTGTGGATCAGGTGAACGACGCCCACCTTCCACGGCACGGTCACCATCCGATGCAGCCAACAGAACTGGTATGCGGCGTGCAGAAGGGGTACCAACTGCGGAGCAAACCGGCGAAAAACATCATATCCAACCCCATCATGACCGGGGCTGGATGCCTCGGCTGCCCGCAGTAGCTGGTCCTCCACTTCATCCATCGAAATATCTCCATCGAAACAATCACCACCCAGTGTATCCATCGAAAAGCCGTTGAGCACGGCCCGGAACTCGTGTCCTTCAGCAGCATCATAGTTGAAGGGAGCTGGGGCCGTGCTGGTGCCCACAAAGTGGCGGTAGAGCTCCTCCCTGTCAATGGGGCAGGTGTTTGGGTGCTCGACACCCGCGGTCTTCGCCGAGGCACCGTCCAAAATCATGGCCACACACTTGGCTTCGTCCTTGGCGAAATCCCGACGCAAGTCAAGCTGCGCTATCGAAGCACGGACCCGTCCAACCCGGCGCCGCGCCTTTCGGACCGCTTGCCGGTTACTTGTCGTCGCCTGCTGGGTCGCTTGCATGTCGTCAAGCGCCTCATCAAATCGGTGCTCACGCTGCGTGCGGGTCACGCGGGGAGGTCGACGGCGGGGCGGGCGAGTCGGAGGCAACTGTGGGTCTGTACTTCCAACCGGTGCGATTGAGTACGGCAGAAGTACTTCACGGAGGCGGTCAGGGATGGCAGAAATGTAGCCTTCACTTGTGACCCAGCTATCCGCATCCAAAGTCTTGCTCACCAAGACTTCCGCAAACCGTTGCACGACACTAGCAGCTGAGTCGTGCTCTTCCTCGGTCAGTTGGCGGAGTCGAAGCCGAGGTTACCGCTCGGGAGATGAGCCTGGGCCAATAGGCAGAGTAGGGAAGACCTCACCTCCATCACGAGCAGCAATCTCGGCCTCGATGGCAAGACTGGCCGGATCAGCCAGCACGACAGCGACAGCAGAGTCACCGGCGGTAGCTGCTGGCAGAATCGGTGCCGGGGCAACTGAAGGGACGGGAGCAGGCGTAAAGCAGCTACTTATGTTGCCGGAGTGAGGACCACACTCCACGGCGGTGCGTCGGACGTCAAGCGCACGGTTAGCGAGGCGGTCGGCATGGGCGTTGGCTTGCCTGTCGATATGCCGAAGCTGATTCCATTCAAGACACCCCAGCGTCGTCCGCACTTGACCTCTCAGTCGCCGGAGTCGTCGGTTGGTGCAGCCAAAAGAGCCGCGCACCTGAGCCAACTCTAGGTTGCTGTCGCCTTTGACGAGCAGTCGCGTGGCACCATGGTGGACGGCACTCTGCACCCCCAATAGCAGAGTGGTGTATTCAGCAGTGTTGTTCGTCCCAGTGCTGGCGGGGAGTAAGTGCGATCAAGTCCACACCACGGTGCCGCTCGAGTCGAAGAGAGCCGCACCAGCGCCCCCCGGGTCCAGGGTTCTGCCGGCACGTACCGTCGAACCGCCGAAGCCATGGCTCGGACTCCGCTGCACCTGCAGCCACATCAATGGACGGACACGGACTGGCAGGGCTTGGGGCTGGCGAGGGCGGTGGGTCGGTGGGGACTGGAGCAGCCGCTGCAGCAGGTGCACGGTCAGCGATGGATGATGTTCTGCGTAAGCAGGTGAGGCGCCCTGTTGTAAGCACCGTCACCACAACACGCGGGCCCCAACGCGTCATCGCATGTCGTGGAGATGCTGGCAGTGGGGGGCCTAACAGCGGGCGCGGGAACAGTCGGCTCACCAGTGACACGGTGGGCAACCGCCGCAGCCCCGATCGCGCCGTGACGTGGCCCCCATCGCGTGGCACGAGTGCCGGATGCGGCAGGAGTCAGCGGTCGTCGCGCTGCCGGAGTCGGGGTTGCACGCGCACCAGTCGTCGGCGGAGTAATGGCCGCTGCGCCTACTGCAGGGTGAAGTGGCCCCCACCGTGTCGGTCGTTCTGTGGCTGCAGGTGCAACCACATCGTCCATGTCTTCGTCTTGGACCTGTCCATAGCAAGGCTCCACACTGGCGTCAGCCATGAGGTCGTCCAGGTCGGGAAACACCGCGGCCAATCCATCAAGACGGCGGCGCTTGCCAGCGACCCGGACGTCACGCCGGGACAGAGATGGGCACCACATGGGGGGGGACATGCTGATGCCCGGCGGCAGTGATAGCGGCAGGCACGGCGCTCTGTGGGCGGGCAAAGGCTGCGGGCACAGTGCGGCTTGATGCAACTGCTGTGGCCGCAGACGTTGCCGCGCTGAGGGGCCCGTATGGTTTTGGGTCCTCCTCTGGGCGCAAGGCACGCCAAACAGAACGAGCCTGCAACGGCGGGGAAGTCGAGGCAGGTTTGCCCGAGTCACGTGCAGCGGCAGCGGTGTACGAGGGGCTGGCTAGATACGTGAGGGCATGTTTCGTTGCCGCTGCACATGACCGGTGCCCACTGCCGCACGTGCACCCACTGTGGAATTGGTTCACGAAGCAGGTGCCACGATGCGCTGTGCATCGGTGTCGTGCAAGCGCCGCGAGGTCGCAGGCAGTGTACGCACACAAGATACACTTGAACGTGGGAGCGTTGTGGGCGTACACTGAGAGCACAGGGCCCTGCTGCCCGGCGGCAGGCATGGGTACATCTTGGGAGGAGCCCTGGCTACAGACATCCTCGCTGCGCTTGTTCTCATCGTCGTCGTGCTCTAGGCAGGCCGTAACAGACTACTCATCGCCGTAAGGCATCGGAGCGTCACACCCGGCTCGGTCAGGCAGCGGGGATGCCTGCCAGCCGAGCCGGTCGTCGCCGGTAAGTGGGACAGAAACAACACCAGAAACAATTGCTGCAGTGGACACGGCCTCGCTGGTGGTAGCGCGTGTGCCCACGGGAGCGGCCGTGGCCACTGCAGTGTATCCATCTCGGGCAGGCAGCTCCGTAGCTACCTGGCCGAGCCGGTCGTCATCACTTGGGCGGGCGGTAGCAGCGTCGTTGTCCAACGAAGAGGCGTCGGTGTCGTCAGACGCCATCCCGTCGTTGCTGTCGCTGTCTTCGGGGTCGCTGGGGCCATGGGAGGCACCCAAGGCGCGGGCCGTTGCGGCTAAAAGCGCTGACCCATTCTCAACCAAGTCGGGCAGCATTTCTGCTGCCCTGCCGGGTCGAGCAGCAACATCCGCGGGGCTCTGGGCGGCGACGGGGCCGTCGGGAGCTGGTTGGAGGGCGGGTGAAGCTGTCTCACACGTCGTAGAACCCGGGTACAGCCTGTTGGCACCCGGGGAGCCGATGCTCTGAAGTAGTCCTGGCTGGACCCGGTCATGCAGCATGCTTGCCGCCCTGCCGGGCTCAGCATCAGCGTTTGCATTGTCTTGTGCCTCTCCCACGTCTAAGAGGGCGCTCGTATGGGGCTCAGTAGCCTTAGTACATGTGTTCGGACCCGGGAGCTGCCTGCAAGCACCCGGGGAGCTGTCGCTCTGGAGATCTTGGATGTCTTGAAGCGATACCCGGTCGGGCAGCGTAACGCCCGCCCTGCCGGGTATGCCAACAAGCGCTCTGGAGTCTTTAGGGGATGCGGCGGGAAAGCAGGCACGCGGGGACACTGTCGTAGCTAAACGCGCGCGGAGGAAGCGGGGGGGGGCGCATTCGTGGCCTCTGCAAGGCCAGCGAAGACGATGCAATCTTGGAACGAGGAGTCTTGAGCGTTGTCTTGAATGTTTTCTTGAATTGCGGCGACCCCTATACTTAAACCAAGTAAATTGTCGAAGGTACCTTCGCTGGTACCAACGGGGGGTCGCCGGGCCTCTTCCCGGTCTATGATGGCACCCAAAATCGGGGCCCGAGACAGGGGGGCCGTGCGCGAGACAGAGACCTCTGCGTGCGCGGAAATTGGTAGGCACTGGGCGATGCGGGTCCCGAGCCCGTGCCCAAAGTTTCGGCGCCCAAATCCGCGTCACCGCCGCGAGGCGATGGCGCGCATAGACGCGATCGGGGTCCATCTTCGGGCCCCAAAAGGGAATTTTTGGAGGTACGAGTGTGTACCCCAACCCTAGTCTGACGGCGACCGTTCCCAGGCAGTTTCGTCCCACCCATTCCGCAAAGAAGGGTGACGAACTTTCTGGGAACAGTCGTAAATCAGACTGCCCCGCCTCTTCGCCAGTGACCAGTTGCGTGTCACTTGGGAGAGGATGCAGTTCGCCTGATTCCACACCAGTCTCGTCATCAGCCGACGCGTCATAGAAAGACGCATCGCTGGCGAGACTGGAATGGCTGTCCGTGGAGCACTCACTATCGCTGGATAGAGAACGCACTCGAGGCTCCCAACCCGGCCACCAAAATCGCATAGAAGGGGCGATAGTGGAAAGGCCAGGGCAGAAAGGACAAATAGACAAACGGTATAGAACGAACTTAGATAGAACGAACGAAAGTAGAATAGAAGCAAGTTTATTGTAGTCGGTCCCACGAAAGTTAGGTGTAAGCCACTCGGAGACCTTCCTGAAAGTATCGCTACTATATCAGGACGTCCAAAAACGAATGTGAAAAGACCGACAAATGTCGGAAACCAGTTCTCACACTGACCAGAACAGATACGTACGTTTGTATTACCAGTTAGTATCCTCTCAGCGATTGTAAAATTTCCTAATACGAATATCACTAATTGGAGGGTGCTTGTGTCTACCTGGGTTTGAAGGACGGTTTCCTACGGGGATAGTGTCCTGTCGGTCAAAAGACTAGCTTATCTCCGTGCCCTAACCTGAGATGTGCTCTGCCGGGTCCCCCCAGACCGATGCAATGCTCTCGAGGCAGTACCACCGCGTTGTCGATAACCGTGCTGGCGACAGTGCCAGCTCCAGATCCGATGACTGGACCTAACACAATGGCTCAACAGCTGAAGATCCAGCTGTCGAGCCTCAATCTTGAGCAACCCAAGCGTTTCTGTGTAGGTCTTGAGGTTGCTGGGATGCACCGAACCCAGTGAACCATAGACAAGAGCCGTAGTCTGTACCCGCCATCTATTAAGCCGCAACTCAGCAACGATGGGTTGGTACTTGTTGACCTTGAAGTCATGGCTGAGTTGCAGCGAGGAGTGTCGAGCACTAGCAGCATGGTCTTCAAACGTGACTGCCAAGTCAGCAATCACCATTATCTTGGCAGCCACGTCACGCACCACAATGTAGGGATGCAGAGCTGCACCAGTGTACTCGGGTACCGTCTGGTTGATGCGCAGCTCTGCGCCTGACTTCCTCCGGACGAGCGCGTGCCTTATCTTGGCAACTTTCTGCTCGAGTGCGTAGTCATGACGCTGGCGGATTGAAACCATGTTAGGGGTACAATGGTTCAAAACGTGCGCCAGCGTCTCGGCACTCGAGCAAGTCGGTGCTCGGAAGTGAGCGTTCGCCCGAAGACGGCGGCGCTTCAGCACCGAGTTTGTATCGACCTGGTTGAGGCGGGCTTGAATACCGAGCCAATGTTCGGCATCAGATAGACCCGCCCCCGACAGCACAAACTTGGACCCGGAGCCACCGTGCACCCGGGCCGTCTTGCCTTATTCCACCAGACTCTTCCACCGAGTCTGGTGGCGAATCTTCATGTGCAACTTCACGTGCCGCAACACATCCTTGTGGTCGAGCCACTTGTCATGGTGCGGCACGCGGAGCGCGAATTGGCCCTGGACGTCGTCCTCTGCGCGGTCCGCCAAGCAGAGATGGTGGAAGCACATCACCCGCTGTACGTCCACCCAAAGCGAAGCAATGTCGCCGGACCGGCGAATGACAGTAGCATGGGGAGACGACGCAAGCTCCAAGTTCAGGAATAGACGGATGAGCTCGTCGTTTCTACCCACCCAGTGGTCTTCAATCAGTCGGTAGCGCTTGCGCACTACCTGACACACCTGGGTCTTCGCAACTGCAACAATCGCCGAGTCCTTGGAGTGCAACAACTACCACGCATGTGCCACCTGCAGCGCTTAGTGCATCGCTACCAGCGACTGCAGGCCCAGCCCACCACCAGAAGTTGGCGTGTAGAAGAACTCGGTGGTGGCGGACTGGGGCAGGCGCAACAGATGCCTCCACCCACGCTTCACGGCGCAGTCAAATCCTTGGAGCTGCGACTGTAGCGGGCGCAGGTGGCGAAGGGCGTACTCCACCTTCGGGTAAACGTACGGCTTCAACGCCTTCACCACCTCCACACCGCGAGTCCAGACTGCATCAGCGCGACCGTCTCCCGCTTGATCTGTTTTAGCTTGGGTTCAAGCTGGAGGCGGTGCTGCACATGGTCGAAGCCATCGCCCACCCCCAAGTACCGGTAACTCTCGTTAAGGGTAAGTGGGACGATGACATCACCATTTAGCTCCAAGCGCACGCTATCGTCACGAGCCGGGTTGCCACGGGCATTGATGGTCACCGCAAGGCTAGCACACTTAGCCGTGTTGGCACGCTACCCGGTCCATGCGAGGAAGCGCTTGACCACAACATGGAAACTCTGGATGCCGGCAGCGCTATTGCTGAAAACTTTGATGTCATCAGCATAGGCGGTGGTGCACGGCCGGACACCATCCGCCAGCGGCACACCGACATCCTCCAGCTGTTCCAAGCGTCGAACAAGTGGGACCAGTGCAGCGATGAACAGGAGTGGGCTCAAGGGGCACCCTTGGTACACACCCAACCTCCTGCCTCACTGGGTCAGTCGCACCGTCCTGCGAATTCACTACCACAAAGGACGACTCATGATAGATGTCCTGGCAGTGGTTAATGAACCGGGGCTCAACGCCAATGCGGCGGAGCACCTGCCACATGAGTGGCTGTGGCAGCGAACCGAAGGCGTTCCGTAAGTCATACCACACTTGGTACAACTTGCGGTGCGACCGCCGGGACTGATCCAACATCGTGGTTGCCAGAAAATTGTGTTCATGGCAACCGTTGAAAGCCCGGAACCCCTTCTGTGCCATCGGCAGCCGGTTGTTCAATTCTAACCAGCGCGATAGACGACGTGCTAACAACCCGCTGTAGAGTTTGTAGATAGCGGGCTGTAGGCACATCGGTCGCCAGTTGGTCGGCTGCATCGGGTCACCCTTCTTGTGGATCAGGCGAACGACGCCCACCTTCCACGGCACGGTCACCATCCGATGCAGCCAACAGAACTGGTATGCGGCGTGCAGAAGGGGTACCAACTGCGGAGCAAACCGGCGAAAAACATCATATCCAACCCCATCATGACCGGGGCTGGATGCCTTGGCTGCCCGCAGTAGCTGGTCCTCCACTTCATCCATCGAAATATCTCCATCGAAACAATCACCACCCAGTGTATCCATCGAAAAGCCGTTGAGCACGGCCCGGAACTCGTGTCCTTCAGCAGCATCATAGTTGAAGGGAGCTGGGGCCGTGCTGGTGCCCACAAAGTGGCGGTAGAGCTCCTCCCTGTCAATGGGGCAGGTGTTTGGGTGCTCGACACCCGCGGTCTTCGCCGAGGCACCGTCCAAAATCATGGCCACACACTTGGCTTCGTCCTTGGCGAAATCCCGACGCAAGTCAAGCTGCGCTATCGAAGCACGGACCCGTCCAACCCGGCGCCGCGCCTTTCGGACCGCTTGCCGGTTACTTGTCGTCGCCTGCTGGGTCGCTTGCATGTCGTCAAGCGCCTCATCAAATCGGTGCTCACGCTGCGTGCGGGTCACGCGGGGAGGTCGACGGCGGGGCGGGCGAGTCGGAGGCAACTGTGGGTCTGTACTTCCAACCGGTGCGATTGAGTACGGCAGAAGTACTTCACGGAGGCGGTCAGGGATGGCAGAAATGTAGCCTTCACTTGTGACCCAGCTATCCGCATCCAAAGTCTTGCTCACCAAGACTTCCGCAAACCGTTGCACGACACTAGCAGCTGAGTCGTGCTCTTCCTCGGTCAGTTGGCGGAGTCGAAGCCGAGGTTACCGCTCGGGAGATGAGCCTGGGCCAATAGGCAGAGTAGGGAAGACCTCACCTCCATCACGAGCAGCAATCTCGGCCTCGATGGCAAGACTGGCCGGATCAGCCAGCACGACAGCGACAGCAGAGTCACCGGCGGTAGCTGCTGGCAGAATCGGTGCCGGGGCAACTGAAGGGACGGGAGCAGGCGTAAAGCAGCTACTTATGTCGCCGGAGTGAGGACCACACTCCACGGCGGTGCGTCGGACGTCAAGCGCACGGTTAGCGAGGCGGTCGGCATGGGCGTTGGCTTGCCTGTCGATATGCCGAAGCTGATTCCATTCAAGACACCCCAGCGTCGTCCGCACTTGACCTCTCAGTCGCCGGAGTCGTCGGTTGGTGCAGCCAAAAGAGCCGCGCACCTGAGCCAACTCTAGGTTGCTGTCGCCTTTGACGAGCAGTCGCGTGGCACCATGGTGGACGGCACTCTGCACCCCCAATAGCAGAGTGGTGTATTCAGCAGTGTTGTTCGTCCCAGTGCTGGCGGGAGTAAGTGCGATCAAGTCCACACCACGGTGCCGCTCGAGTCGAAGAGAGCCGCACCAGCGCCCCCCGGGTCCAGGGTTCTGCCGGCACGTACCGTCGAACCGCCGAAGCCATGGCTCGGACTCCGCTGCACCTGCAGCCACATCAATGGACGGACACGGACTGGCAGGGCTTGGGGCTGGCGAGGGCGGTGGGTCGGTGGGGACTGGAGCAGCCGCTGCAGCAGGTGCACGGTCAGCGATGGATGATGTTCTGCGTAAGCAGGTGAGGCGCCCTGTTGTAAGCACCGTCACCACAACACGCGGGCCCCAACGCGTCATCGCATGTCGTGGAGATGCTGGCAGTGGGGGCCTAACAGCGGGCGCGGGAACAGTCGGCTCACCAGTGACACGGTGGGCAACCGCCGCAGCCCCGATCGCGCCGTGACGTGGCCCCCATCGCGTGGCACGAGTGCCGGATGCGGCAGGAGTCAGCGGTCGTCGCGCTGCCGGAGTCGGGGTTGCACGCGCACCAGTCGTCGGCGGAGTAATGGCCGCTGCGCCCACTGCAGGGTGAAGAGGCCCCCACCGTGTCGGTCGTTCTGTGGATGCAGGTGCAACCACATCGTCCATGTCTTCCATGTCTTCGTCTTGGACTTGTCCACAGCAAGGCTCCACACTTGGAAAGGGGCTAGAATGACCCGTACTTAGCGTACACTATCTCTAACGCTTTAAGGAAGCTTAAAGCCCAAGTCTTAGGTATTAAGTCTTTTTAACTCTGTTTATATTTATGTCTTTTAAATCATCCTAAGTACGAATGGTTCCCTTGGACTCATGGGAACCACTCAATCTACGTGCCTATATCTTACTGGCTAATAATGGTACTGAGCCCATTAAACCAGCAAAAATATACGACGTGCTACTTTCGCTACTCCGAAAGTAACACCCCTACTTAAGTAACATGTAAACTTAATCGAACCTACTTATGTAACGGTGTGGCCCATTACATCACCCCCTACTCAAGACAGCACTCACGAACCGTGAGTGCTCAACCACAAGTCCTAACGGACGCACAAGCCAAACGATGACTGAAGACGCAAAACGCCAACACCACAGCACTCCCGCGCACAATCAGCGGGAGTTTAGTCGACCACGTGATGGATCGGCACCTGATCCCTTGGGCGCTGTATGACTTGTCCGGAGCTCGAGCTCCGGACTCTCTCGAAACGATGCAGGACTACTTCCGGCGTTTCCGTGGGTTGCGTGGAAAGAGTCTTGATGGCATCTCGTACGAGTCGCTCCAGCGGTCATGGTGTGCGTTCATCCGGCGGTGGAACCGGATGCTTGAAGACGGAAGAAACTTTCAGCAGTGGCTGGCCAATCGTGAAGATATCCACGCCGATCATTCCATCGGTGTACTGCGCGAGAAGATCTGTGAAAACGCATGGAACGTAGATCGACTCTGCTACGTTCACGTGCACGAATCTTGTTATTCCTGTGACTCGATGCCTCGTCCAACTCGCGAAGCTTGGCAACGACACGTCGCTGAGTATCCACTCAGCGAGTATGAACAGCTCTGGATCGGACGATACAAGCGCAGCTTGATGGAGCGCAAGACTGCGGTTAATCGTGGCGCGTCACGCTGGCGACACCACTCGCGTTCTCGAGGTCGTGGTGCCATGCACTCGCCACGAAGTTCTCGTTCGCGTGATCGTCGCGATACACGCTCGTCGCGACGTTCTCGTCGTCGCTCTTCATCTCGTCGTCGTGGTGAAACGTCACCACGACGTTCTCGCAATCGCTCTCGGTCTCGTAGTCGTGGTGACACTTCACCACGACACCGTCGTCGTGCATCTCGTTCTCGCTCACCGCGAGAACACACAGGTCGTCGACCAAGTCTGCACCAAGCGTGTGCAGGGACTCGTAAGCCCGAACGACGTCCGGAACGTCTCGAAGAAGCGAAGAGCGCGGTTCCCACGTATCCTGCTCGGGTGGAAACCCGAGCCAACGTACACGATACTTGCGCGCGGTTGGAACCGCGCGCTCATGGTGTCGCGACGATGTCGTTTCGCGACGAGGGTCCTCGTGACCCAGTAAACGCTCCACAATCCAGCGCTTCTGGCCTTCCGCGTCCACAAGCGGTGGTGGACCCTCACGATGGTACTGCTGGCGTCCTGGTTGCCCAGGACGATGTAGATGCGGCTGTGAACAAGGCTGTTGATGCCCAGCTGGAGGCTGAAGCTGCCCTTGACCGAGCTGCGCGGGCTGAGAGAACAGCGAACGAGATTTGACAGTCGAACCGCGAGCTGCTTGAACGGATGCGGAACCTGGAACGCCAGGTTCTTGGGCACGCGCAGACTGGGACGCAGCCGCGTCCGATGTCGCTGGCGCGTCGAGCAAGGCGAGAGGGAAGGTCGACCTATGAGCCTTTGACTCCGAGGACGGAGCCAACCCGTGAAGCGTATCTGGACGGTACTCCTTGAGCCGCCCGACGTGAAACGTCGGGTGAAGTCGCAGTGACGAAGAGATGGCCAGCTTGTATGCGTCGCCGATCGCCTTGAGTACCGTGAATGGTCCGATGAAACGTGGCGCGAGTTTGCTCGCGCCTAGATTGATTGCTGCTGAATCTCGTAGGCCTTCGGTAGTTAACAATACACGATCACCCTTCTTGAATGTACTCGTGTTCTTTCTTCCACGTTTGTCTGCATTCGCTTTCTGTTTATCCACTGCAGATCGAAGAGTATCGCGTACAAACCTCGTGATGGCTTGACGTTGGAGTATAAACTCTGACACAGCCATGTCATCAATTGGTCGCGCCGATTCAATCGGCGCGTAGTTAGCTTTAGGGTTTCGCATACTCGAAGAAGGATCGATCAGCGTCTGTGCAGTCCATTGAGCGAGCGGGGACGCCACGTCACGTGGCGTCGAAACAGAAGACTTCGCCTTGGAATGGTTGACAACATTCGCGCTCAGAATACCGTGAGCTTCACTCGATCGTTGTTTATCGTTATCACCCCCCGCCAGAGTGGAGCCACGAAGAGCCGTGGGCTGACCCACGGCAAGAAGAGTAGGTACACGAGGATGACGGGCCGAATTTGCAAAAAATGGCGTCAACCCCGTTGACGCGTGAACCGCGTTGTTTAGTGCAAACTCCGCGAGTGGCAAAAATGCACTCCAACTTGTAAAGGACGTTGCGTAACTTCGAAGAACATCTTCGAGGACCCGATTAACTCGCTCTGTTTGCCCATCCGTTTCCGGATGGGCTGCTGTCGACATTTGCAGCTTTGTGCCAAGCAACTCGAACAATGACGTCCAAAAAGCAGATGTAAAACGAGGATCACGGTCCGAGACAATGTTGTCTGGTAGACCGTGATGGCGAAACACAGTGTCAATGAAGTGCACCGCGGTCTCAGCCGCGGTGATCGTTGCATGAACAGGCACCAGATGTGTCATCTTGCTGAATCTGTCGACAAAGACCAGAATACCCGTTCGGTCTTGGCCATCTGGTGCAAGCCCGAAGATAAAATCCATTGAGACTGAGCTCCAAGCCTCAGCTGCAATTGGCAGGGGTCGCAGGGGTGCCTGCGACGATGGAGATGGCTTCACGCGCTGACATATTTCGCAGGTGCGAACCCAGTTGCGAACCCATTTGTACATGTGGGGCCAGAAGAAGTCACGCGAGACAGCCGCGAATGTCTTTTCGCGGCCCAGATGACCGCCAATTGGGGCATCATGGTACTCGTGGATGATACGAGCACGCAAATCCAAGTCATTCGCAATCACCGTTCGAGGTGCATCGAATTTGTCGATGCTATATAACAGCAAATCACCGTCCATACTGTATCGTTGAATGTGATCACGCTTCGTTCGCGAAAGAGCTCCCAGTGCAGCCTCACTGGGAGCGCGCAGATAGGCGATAATGTCCGCGTAATCCGGGTCGTTCGCGTAAGCCGCGACAATTTCATCGAAAAGGCATAACTCGGGTGTGACCCGAGTTAGATTCAACGACACACACGTCGCACATCGATCGTCTTCATCTTCGTCGTCAGTTGCCTGACGACTCAGTGCCATACGAGGATCGTAATCTGGGCGTCGTGACAGTGCGTCAGCAAGAATGTTGGTCTTGCCTGGCTTGTAGTGCACGACGAAGTTGTACTCGGAGAAGAAAGAGAGCCACCGTGCCATCCGCTGTGACAGGTGTGGGCTCTTCATTGCTGTTCGCAGCGATGCATGATCAGTATACAGGGCGAACGTGCGTTCGCCCAGTAGGTGGACACGAAACTTGATGAGTGCATAGCGCATCGCTAGCAGTTCCTTATCGTGAACCGGATAGTTCTTCTCTGCCGGCTTCATCTGTCGTGACTGGTAGCTCACGACTCGTTCACGGCCCTCATGATCGAACTGCATGAGGGCGCAACCAATTGCAAAGTCACTTGCATCACACACCACGTGAAACGGCTTGGTGTCGTCAGGGAGTATCAACACTGGCGCCGACGCCAGGCTCTTCTTCACTGCGTCAAAGGCTGCTTGATGTTCGGGACGCCACGACCACGTGGCGTCTTTCTTCAGAAGTGACGACAGGGGCTGTATAGAACCGGCGTAATCCTTTGTGTACTTATGCAAGTAATTAGCTAGACCGAGCCATTGACGTAACTCCGTAGGGTTCTTGGGTGTGGGCCAAGAACAGATTGACGACACCTTCTCTGGATCGGCTCGAACACCCGATTTACTCACGTAGCAGCCCAGCACCGGAATCTCCGGTGCACAGAATACACACTTCTTCAAGTTTGCATATAACTTGTTATCTCGCATGACTTGAAACACCTGCTTCAGGTGGTAAAGGTGAACTTGGACAGCACTGAGGTTGCCCTCAGCGCGACTGTGAACAAAAATGTCATCGAAGTAGCTAGGATCAAATTCTCGAAGCGGTCTCAACACTTGAGATACCATGCGATTGAAAGTGGCTGGTGCGTTCTTCAATCCTTGTGGCATCACCAGCCACTCCCATAGCATACCACTCGGGGTGGACACCGCAGTGAGTGGTATGTCACTCTGTCGCATCAAGATCTGGTAGAAGCCATCGGTCAGATCGATGGCGCTGAAGATGACGCTACCCCCTGACATGGAGTTTAGAACCATGTCTTTCCTGGGAATAGGCGTTTGGGCAGGAATAGTGGCATCGTTGAGCTTGTTAAACGCATGCACTATACGCCAGCCTCCCGTAACCTTCTTCACGCAGAAGGTTGGGCTCGAATGGGGTGAGACACTCTCACGCACATGACCGGCCTTGCGACGACCTTCAAAGAATGCATCAATAGCCTCGACTTGGTCTCGAGGCAACGGCCACTGGCGTGTCACACAATATTTCGATCCTGTCACGAGATCAATCTCGTGCCGCACGCCACGATCGGCAGGGAGTTCGGCCGGAATCTTGTCCGGGAACACGTCGGCGTACTCTCGTGCAATGTCGTAAACAGGGTTACCAGACTCGCGCAGAGCCTCCCAAGATTGCGACGCAAATCTTTCTTCGCGCACTGACTTTTGTTCAGCGCTTCAAAGGGCTCGTCATTCGCTCCTCATTCGGCTCATAGGTCACCTCGTTGATGACCAGACATACTTGTTCCACCGTGCCTCCCTTGAGGTCACGTAGAAAATGCTTCCAGCAGAGTCCTGGAAGGCTCGTTATCGACGATGCGTCGCGAGGTGGACTCGCGACCTCAATGTATTGGCGCCTTTGTGGACTCCCGTCCACGTACACAATAGCGTGGACACATTCCAACGCTGAGTTCTCGTAGCTTGCGTCCCCATCGTGCTTCGAGTCCATGCTCGAAGCTGGCGAACCGCAGTCAGGTGTTAAATCTGCACCCCCCTCTAGACGCTGGATGTCCTCATCCAGGACGTCGAAATCGCGTGACGGGAGTAGTCCATACTCGTCCGTCGACGCATGATGCGGGAGCCCCTGCTCTACCGCCACAAACTCGTGTGGGAGCCCCTGCTCGACCACGTCTTGCTCATGTGGGAAACTCTGTTCGACCACAGTAGGCGACGATGGGAACCCCTGTTCGACCATCATGTTCGCACGTGGGGACTCTTGTCCATCCACGTCACACTCGGTGGCGAGCCCCTGCTCGGCCACATCTTGCCCTTGTGGGAGCCTCTGCTCGACCACAATGGGTGCAGGTGGGAACACTTGTTCGTGTTCGACCACTGCTCTCTCGTGCGGGAACCGCTGTTCGACCGCGTCGTCGTCGCGCGGGAGCCACTGCTCGTCCGCGTCGTCATTACGCGGGAGCCACTGCTCGTCCACGTCGGACTCCTCGCTGCAAAGCGAGGAGACATCATCACTCGTGCGTAGGGGCACGGAACAAGCGGTACAGAGAGGGCCATCGCTCACTCTGTGTACCGCCGGTGTCGTGGATGTACGATCCACGACTGTAACGTTCGGCCAATCACTTGGAGACACCAAGAGATGGGTGAACACTTCGCTGACGTCGAACTTGCTTCGACGTCTCACTGATCTGGCTAACCAGTCGATCTGGGGCTTATAGCGTGCCAACCATGGCATGCCCAGGATGCAATCGAATGAATAATTCATTTCAATCACCAAGAAATTGTCGTTACTGCGAAAGCCGTCAAACGTGTACGGCAACGACACTTCGCGCCGCGATACGCGGCGTGGTTTCCCGTCAGCGAGCTTGACAACAACTTGGCCAGGTCCCTCGTGGATCTGGATGCTGGGTGGCAGCATTGACACGCAAGATTCACGGAAGAAATTGTTTGTCGCTCCTGAATCCAGGAGCGCTCGTAGAGGTCGCCGGATACCGGCGACATGTAGATTAACAATAATCAGGCGTGAATCACCACTCGTAGTGGTGGCATTTGACCGTGCACGCAGCACAGATGGGCTGGGAGGTCGGGCTGCCACCGGTGGACCCGGACCTCCCTTCAAACCAGTAGGGCGCCCTGCACCTACTGGTCTCGTCCATTTTTTGGACGACTGATCGGAGCACCTCCCTCATGATGGGTGTCCGTCGCATGCACCGACATCGGTGCTGGCGCGCGGCATTCATCCGCGCGATGTCCCGGCTTTCGGCATCGAAAGCAGATCATCTGACGTCCGCCTCGGACCTCGCCCCTGTAGGCTGTAGCGCGTCGTCGGTCACCCGACGACTCAATTGCATCAATCTCCATAGGTTCCGGGCCCGCTGATCTGACAGCGGTAACAACTGAAGGCTTGATATAGGCCTTGGTGACTCTGAAGTCCTCACGGAGAGCGATAGCGAAAGCCTCCTCCAACGTGGCAGGCTCTGCTCGTTCCAGCGAGAGGCGAGTCTGCCCTTCACGCATGCCATCGACAAACACGTTCACTTGTGTATACATGTCCATGGGATGCGTGATAATGCAAGACGCCAGATGTCGAGCCATCTGCACGTAGTCGCGCATGGACATCTTACCCTGTCGCAGGGACAGGAACCTTGAACGCACCAACTTCTCTTCCTGGGGCGGCTCGAAGGCGAGTCGAAGGTCACTCTGGATGGCTTCCAGAGTGGGGAACGCAAACTCGTCAACAACGAGTTTTCCCAAGGCCCACTCCTTGGCTTTCCCAGTGAGACGGGAAAGAAGGAAATTGACCTTCGCTTGAGGAGCCTCGAGAAGTCTCGAGGCGATAGCGATGTCGACCTCTCGAAACCAACGAGACAACGACAAGCGTTCTTTTCCTTCGCCAGAATAGGCGGAGGTCTCCATCTTCACGGCATCGTTCCGTGAAGTCCGCGAGGGAGTTAAACCTCGCCGATGGGATTCGGCGAGCTCGCGAGCCATGTAGTCGTGTATGGCGAGACGCTGTCCATCAGGAGTCGCTGATCTCATCAGCGACACAACGAATGCCTCTCCAGATATCGCCGCGAGGCGATTTAGGGCATCCCACTCAACACCAGTGAGATGGGGAAAAGTCGCGTGCTCCAGACTCACGTCTGGAGCGTCAAAGTACGACGAATCGCTCATCCCAAACTCGGGCATGGGAAGGACTACTAAGTGCTACCAGGTGTAACGGGGCTAGAATGACCCGTACTTAGCGTACACTATTTCTAACGCTTTGAGGAAGCTTAAAGCCCAAGTCTTAGGTATTAAGTATTTTTAACTCTGTTTATATTTTTGTTTTTAGATCATACTAAGTACGAATGGTTCCCTTGGACTCATGGGAACCACTCAATCTACGTGCCTATATCTTACTGGCTAATAATGGTACTGAGCCCATTAAACCAGCAAAAATATACGACGTGCTACTTTCGCTACTCCGAAAGTAACACCCCTACTTAAGTAACATGTAAACTTAATCGAACCTACTTATGTAACGGGGTGGCCCATTACAACACTGGCGTCAGCCATCAGGTCGTCCAGGTCGGGAAACACCGCGGCCAAGTCATCAAGACGGCGGCGCTTGCCAGCGACCCGGACGTCACGCTGAGACAGAGATGGACACCACATGGGGGGACATGCTGATGCCCGGCGGCAGTCATAGCGGCAGGCACGGCGCTCTGTGGGTGGGCAAAGGCTGCGGGCACAGTGCGGCTTGATGCAACTGCTGTGGCCGCAGACGTTGCCGCGCTGAGGGGCCCGTATGGTTTTGGGTCCTCCTCTGGGCGCAAGGCACGCCAAACAGAACGAGCCTGCAACAGCGGGGAAGTCGAGGCAGGTTTGCCCGAGTCACGTGCAGCGGCAGCGGTGTACGAGGGGCTGGCTAGACACGTGAGGGTATGTTTCGTTGCCGCTGCACGTGACCGGTGCCCACTGCCGCACGTGCACCCACTGTGGAAGTGGTCCACGAAGCAGGTGCCACGATGCGCTGTGCGTCGGTGTCGTGCAAGCGCCGCGAGGTCGCAGGCAGTGTACGCACACAAGATACACTTGAACGTGGGAGCGTTGTGGGCGTACACTGAGAGCACAGGGCCCTGCTGCCCGGCGGCAGGCATGGGTACATCTTGGGAGGAGCCCTGGCTACAGACATCCTCGCTGCGCTTGTTCTCATCGTCGTCGTGCTCTAGGCAGGCCGTAACAGACTGCTCATCACCGCAAGGCATCGGAGCGTCACACCCGGCTCGGTTAGGCAGCGGGGATGCCTGCCAGCCGAGCCGGTCGTCGCCGGTAAGTGGGACAGAAACAACATCATAAACAATTGCTGCTGTAGGCACGGCCTCGCTGGTGGTAGCGTGCGTGCCCACGGGAGCGGCCGTGGCCACTGCAGTGTATCCAGCTCGGGCAGGCAGCTCCGTAGCTACCTGGCCGAGCCGGTCGTCATCACTTGGGCGGGCGGTGGCAGCGTCGTTGTCCAACGAAGAGGCGTCGGTGTCGTCAGACGCCATCCCGTCGTTGCTGTCGCTGTCTTCGGGGTCGCTGGGGCCATGGGAGGCACCCAAGGCGCGGGCCGTTGCGGCTAAAAGCGCTGACCCATTCTCAACCAAGTCGGGCAGCATTTCTGCTGCCCTGCCGGGTCGAGCAGCAACATCCGCGGGGCTCTGGGCGGCGACGGGGCCTTCGGGAGCTGGTGGGAGGGCGGGGGGAGCCGTCTCACACGTCGTAGAACCCGGGTACAGCCTGTTGGCACCCGGAAGGCCGATGCTCTGAAGTAGTCCTGGCTGGAACCGGTCATGCAGCATGCTTGCCGCCCTGCCGGGCTCAGCATCAGCGTTCGCATGTGTCTTGTGCCTCTCCCACGTCTAAGAGGGCGCTCGTATGGGGCTCAGTAGCCTTAGTACATGTGTTCGGACCCGGGAGCTGCCTGCAAGCACCCGGGGAGCCGTCGCTCTGGAGATCTTAGATGCCTTGAAGCGATACCCAATCGGGCAGCGTGACGCCCGCCCTGCCGGGTATGCCAACAAACGCTCTGGAGTCTTGAGGGGATGCGGCGGGAAAGCATGCACGCGGGGGCACTGTTGTAGCCAAACGCGCGCGGAGGAAGCGGGAGGCGCACTCGTGGTCTCTGTAAGGCCGGCGGAGACGATGCCATCTTGGCCCGACGAGTCTTGAGCGTTGTCTTGAATGTTTTCTTGAATTGCGGCAACCCCTATACTTAAACCAAGTATATTGTCGAAGGTACCTTCGCTGGTACCAACGGGGGATCGCCGGGCCTCTTCCCGGACAATGATGGCACCCAGAATCGGGGCCTGAGACCGGGGGGCCTTGCGCGCGACAGAGACCTCTGCGCGCGCGAAAACTTGGCTGGCACTGGGCGATGCGTGTTCACAACACGTGCCCAAAGTTTCGGTGCATAGATCCGCGTCACCGCCGCGAGGCGATGGCGCGCGTTCACCCGCGCAGGGCGCATTGCCGGGCAACTCAGTGGTGATATCGGGGGTAAAATTTGGTACCCCCAGCCCTAGTCCAACGGCGACCGTTCCCAGGCAGTTTCGTCCCTTTGCCTGTGAAAAGACGGTGGTAGAATTGTCTGGGAACAGTTTTAAGTCAGACTGCCCCTCCTCTTCCCCAGTGACCGGTTGCGTGTCATCAGGGAGAGGGGGCAGTTCGCCACCCAAATCAGTCTCTGCGACAGACGATGCGTCATAGAAAGACGCATCGCTGGCGAGACTGGAATGGCTGTCCGTAGAGCACTCACTGTCGCTAGATAGAGAGCGCTCTCGAGGCTCCCAACCCGGCCACCAAAATCGCATAGAAGGGGCGATAGTGGAAAGGCCAGGGCAGAAAGGACAGATAGACAAACGGTATAGAACGAACTGAGATAGAACGAACGAAAGTAGAATAGAAGCAAGTTTATTGTAGTCGGCCCCACGAGGGTTGGGTGTAAGCCACTCGGAGACCTTCCTGAAAAAAAAAGTATCGCTACTCTATCAGGACGTCCAAAAATGAATGTGAAAAAGACCGACAGAAGTCTGAAACCAGTTTTCACACTAATTCGAACAGATACTACACTTGATCTTAGCTAAAAAGCCTAGAAGGTATGGCTTGAAAGCAATACAGAGGACAGAATGCAATACTGTTGATGCAATAGTGAATGTTGACATTAGGAATTTGATTGTTACATTAAATTCGAAATGCGAAAGTGATATTCCAATCGGTGAAATAGGGCAACACATACTAGGAATCTAACGTCAGTTTTTGGTGCTGCACGCGTGTATGTTGATAGTGTGTGTACGTTGTGAATGATGTAAAGTAATCATGACAATACGATATGTAAAATTTGTTGAAAAGGTAAGTGTAAGTTGGCCTCACGGGAGAAAGGTGTAAGCCCCCGGAGACCGCCCCGTCTTAGTAGCAAGCTACTTCGACAGGATGTCCAAAAATGAATGTGAAAAAGACCGACAAAAGTCGGAAACCAGTTTTCACACTGATTAGAACAGAGAAGTATAATTATTACCGTCCGGTTAGTCCATTTCTAAAAGTATATAATTACCCGATAGAAACTATGTGGTGTGTAAGTTAGGTACAGGGTGCACCACACAGAGCTGAACTATAACGTACAGGAGGGGTTTAGAGAACGGTTCCCTACTTGGGTATGGCCCTTTCGGCGACTATGGGCCCGAGTTCCGACTAGCGGCGGCCACGATGTGACGGGTTCCCCCGGTCCCCGTCACTCGGCTGCCCCTTGCGTCTCGCCTAGGTCTCCCTTGCCCGTGTGCGCTTCCTTGAATTGTGCTTTGATCTCGAGTCTGCCTCGCGCGGTGCTGGCCGCAATGCAAATTCCAAATGCGGAGGCTGGACTTAATGCATTCAGCAGAAAGGTGCCTGTCCAGCCGCTTCGCATCGCGCTTAAGCACGCCAAGTTGCTCGGTGTAAACCGCAAGGTTACCACCGGCGACTGCACCAAGCGAACCATAGACGAGCGCCGAAAGGTGAACCGTCCAACCTTGACGCTCTAGGTGTCGCTTGACGCAGTCGTACTTGGCGCGCTTAAGCGCAGCAATCCGCGCGAGCGACGACGTCCTCGGGTCGTCTGTAGCTTGATCTTCAAAGGCCACAGCCAGATCTACAACCGACACCGAACGTGTGGTGTGGTTGTAGACCTGCAAGTCCGGCCGCAGAGCAGGTCCGGGGAGCGAGGGTACGGTTTGGTTAACCCTCAGCTCAACCCTTTCCTTCCGATCACCCGCCGACGACGCTATCGCCCGTTCAATGATCGTCAGAGCGTCTTCGTGGCGGGTGCGGACTGCATCCATGGTGCCGGCACAGTGATTCAATACATGTGCCAGCGTCTCGGTCCTTGAGCAGCCAGGGAATCGACACTTGTCGTGCGTCCGAAGACGCCGGCGCTTCAAGACACTGTGGGTTTCCAGCTGGTTGAGACGACCACCCACCGCAAAGCGGTAGTCGGTCTCCCAGAGACCACGGGGCCGCGAGAGGAAGGCGCTGCCAGCACCACCAAGGGTGCGAGCAGCCTTCCCTTGGTCCTTCATCGCGGCCCATCGCTTCCAGTGCTTGTTCTTGAGGTGCAGCTTCACGTGCCGAAGGATATCCCGATGGTCCAACCAACCATCGTGGTGGGGCACGCGAAGCTGCAACCTCTTGGCCGGCGTCCCGTCTCCTCCACCGCTGGCGCCATCTCAAACTTGAGGCCGAAGCGGTGAAGGTGACCTCGGACGTCGAACCTCAGCGACCCAATGTCCGCATTCCTTCGCTTGGGCGGCGCTGGGTCCGACGTCCCCAGCTTACTGTTGAGAAGGAGCTCGCCCAGCTCCTCCTCACGGTCCTTCCGCAGCACGACATCCAACTTGTAGCGGGCCTCTGCAATTTGACGGAGCTGCTGGCGAGCAATGCGCTGGGTGGCAGGGTCAGAAGAGTGCAACATCTGCCACCCATGCGCCACTTGAAGTGCCCCGTGCAGCTCCGTCAAGGGCAGAAGCCCCAAACCTCCACGAGAAACAGGAGCGTAAAGAAACGCTGTCGTTGCGCTAGTCGGGAGCCGCAGCAGGTGGCGCAGACCGCGAACAAGGCGGCGATCGAACCCCTCCAGCTGCTGTGCGAACGGTCGCAAGTGCCGGAGGGTGTACTCGACGCGCGGGTAAAGGTACACCTTGACCGCCTTGACCACCTGCCACGGCGCCAGCCCGGACTGCAGCAGTGCCGTCGCATCATGCTTGAGCTGGGCGATAGCTGGGCCCAGCTCGACGCGACGGCGCACATGGTCGAAGCCATCCCCGATCCCCAAGTACTGGTAAGAGTCGGAGGCGCTGAGCGCGGGGATCGGGGTGCCGTCCAGCTGCAGCCCGAGGTCGCTGGTCTGGTGGAGACCACGCACATCTCGCTGGACTGACATGGTGCTGCACTTCAGCGAGTTAGCCTTCATGCCAGTACAGCGTAGGAAGTCGTGCACCACCGAGTGTTGACGCTGGATACCGTCCACGGTGCTGCTGAATGCCTTCGAGTCGTCTGCGTAAGCAGCAGCACCGGGACGGTCTTCGCAGGACATCTTCACTCCAGTGTCCGGCAGCGACTTGAGCGCGTGAAGCAGCGGAGCGATCGCGGCGGTGAAGAGATGGGGGCTGAGTGGGCAGCCTTGAAACACCCCCACCTTCAACGCGATCGGTGCGGTGATCCCATCCACAGCGTTACCAATTGTAAGCGCTGCGTCTGCGTAGAGACCACGGCAACAAGCGACAAACTCGGGCAGAACACCCTGCCGTTGTAGCGCTTCCCATAGCAAGTCATGTGGCACGCTACCAAAAGCGTTGGCAAAGTCGTACCACACGACATGCAACTCTTGATGCTTGCGGCGGGCTTGGTCGACGAGCATGGCTGCGAGGAAGTTGTGTTCCCCGCAGCCGTTCATGGCTCGAAAGCCCTTCTGCGCGTCGGCATTGCGACCGTTGACGTCGAGCCAGCGCGTAAAGCGACGCGACAAGACACCGGTGTATAGCTTGTATATGGCCTACTGCAAGCAGATCGGCCGCCAGTTGGATGGGTCGAGCCGATCGCCCTTCTTGTGCAGCAGGCGCACCACGCCAACCTTCCAGCTCTGCGGCACACGCTTGGACTGCCAGCAGCGCGTGAACGCTGCATGCAGAGCGGGCAGAAGCTGGGCCGTGAACATCTTGAAGATGTCACAGCCGACACCATCCAAGCCAGGGATGGAACTGCCACGCGCAAGCTGCACTTGGTCCTCGATCTCATGCGAAGACGGCCCATCCGTGAGCAGCGCCATGTCAACTGTCGCTGGAGGCAAGCGGTCCATGGCCGCGCGGAACGAGGCTCCAACTGGCGCCATAGGGTCGAAGGCACCCACCGGGGTGTTCACCTCGGTAAAGAACCGGTGCAGGCTCTCTCCTGGAATGGAGCAGGTGCCTTCCTCCACGTCCACACAGTCCAGCGGAGGCGCAGAGGTGCTGGCTGGCGTAGCCGCAGCCTCGTCTGCCTCGCGCTTGGACCGAGCCGTCGCCAGGATGCTCTCAACACACACCTTCTCCGAAGCCTCGAAGAGGTGGCGGAGGCGTTGCTGCGAAATGGATGAGTGGATCCTCCCCACACGACGACGTGCCTTGGCCACAACCTGGCGGTTGCCCGGCTCGCTACGCTGGACAGCATGCATGGCGTCCAGAGCCTCGTCAAGCCGGTGCTCACGGTGATGACGTGTCACACGGGGCGGACGTGTGCGCCGGTGCCCCATGCCACCACCGGAGTGACCACGGCGACGACGTGAACGGCTGCCACCTTGGCGCTGACCGTCTGGTGTCACGGCCTGCGCCGGACCTTGATGTGGCTCCGGTTGCCTGTCAGGACGCACGTCTGGATGGTGCAGCTGCGGGCGCTGGGAGTGAGGTTGGGCGGGGTGCTGTGTCTGGGAGTAAGGCTGCAGTTGATCGTACAGCGCATACGGGAGGGCTGTGATGTAGCCCTCCGCCTCCTCCCAGTCATCAGCGTCCGTTATCTTGGCAGCGAGCTTCGCTGCTAGCCGCTCCACCAACTTGCCCGCAGCCTCTTCCTCGTCTTCGTCCAGCTGCCGTAGGCGCAGTTGCGACCGGCGCTGAGGCACTGCATCAGGCCCTACACTCATCGCTGCATACACCTCGCCATCATCGATGTCCCCCATGTCATCATCATCTGCGGGGCTTGGGGGGTCATCAGTGCCCATCGCGACATGCGGTGTGGCAGGCGGGAGGTGCAGCTGCGGGTGCAGGGGGCCGTCGTGGAGGTGGAGGTGCATCCATGTCCATCGGTATGCACCCCACACTCCAACGTGGTCGTGCGGCGGTCAAGAGCGGCATTGGCGAGGCGGTCGGCATGACCATTCGCCTGCCTGTAGATGGAATGGAGCGTGGCCCGCTCCATCCGCGCCAGCTCCGCCTTGACCGCAATGCGCAGTTGCCTCAGGCGCTTGTTGCGTGTGGCGAAGATGCCACGCACCTGCTGGATGACAAGAGTGCTGTCACCCTCGATCCGCAGGCGCGTGACACCGTGGTCGGCGGCAGCCCGTGTGCCGAGCAGCAGCGCGGTGTACTTGGCCGTGTTGTTGGTTTCGCCGCTGCTCGGCATGTAGTGGGAACACGTCCACACTACGGGGCCGCTGGGCTTGAATAGCGCAGCGCCGGCGCCGCCAGGCCCAGGGTTTGCCCGGCAGGCACCGTCAAAGCGCAGCAGCCACTCGCCGTCCATCTCTGGGTCGTCGTTGACGTCCTCGTCGTCGCTGTCACCAGCCTTGGTCTCCTCCTCCTCCGTTAACTCTGGCGGGAGGAGACGGTCGGCAATCCTTGACACCACCACGCTGCGAGGCAGTGGTGGACCCCAACGTGAGGCGGGAACCTCGGAGAGGCGGGACGCAACGCGATAAGCAACCAGCTGCCTTGGGAGCGGGGGGCTCCATCTTGACTCTGTTGATCTGTCATGAGTGGTGCTCGACTGTGGGGGGGGACACAGTGAGCACCGGAGGGACTTGGCGGAGCAGCACGGGTTCGGTGTCGGCCACCGTAGCGGTGGCATTGACTGCACCAGCAGTGGGGCTGAGGTCCCCGGCTGCTGATGCGGTCGCAGCCGAAGTGTCGCGGAGGCTGGCACACGCGCGAGCGTGGTTTGCAGCTGCCAGCCTCGATACGAAAGGCGTGCCGCACGCACAACCTGCCGAGAAGCGGTCGAGGAAGGAGATACGTCGGTGCCGTGAGTCCCTGTGTCGCTTGAGCGAAGCAAAGCTTGAGGCCGTGTATGTACACAGCGTGCACGTGAAGCGCTGGCGTTGTGGCCATACACGGCCAGGACGGAGGCCGGAAGTGCGCTGGCCGTGGATGGCCAAAGCGCTGAGTGCTTGGGGCCGGCCTCAACGTCCTCGAGCAGCAGTTGCTCGGCTTGCTCGCGCGGGTCGTCGTCGGCGTCATCGCTCAAGCGGCGACGCTTGCCGCCGAGGCGGAGCACGAGAGGCGGCGATCCCGGTACATGGCTGGCTGCCTGCCATGTTGCGCACTGGTCAACCTCCATAGGGACGGCAGCGGTCGTGGCAGGAGCCTGTGCAGCACCCGCACGCAGCATGGTACCAGCCCTGCCGGGTGTGCAGTCATCGGTATGGGGGCAGGGCCCAGCAGACAACTCGTCGCCGCAAGGCATCGGAGCGTCGCACCCAGCTCGGTCGGGCAGTATGGGTGTCTGCCAGCCGAGCCGGTCGTCACAGGTACGTGAGACATCAACAACATCACAAACAATTGCTGCAGTGGACACGGCCTCGCTGATGGTAGCGGGCATGCCCACGAGAGCGGCCGCGGCCACTGCAGTGTAGCCAGATCGGGCAGGCTGCTCTGTAGCTACCTGGCCGAGCCGGTCGTCATCACTTGCGGCGGTAATAGCGTCGTCGTCGCCGCCCGAGACCTCGCGGTCGCTGCTGCCGTCGTCCTCCGGGTCTCCATGGCCACGGGTGGCACCTAGGGCGCGAGCAGTAAAGAGTGCAAGCGCGAGCCCATCGGTACCCCGGTCGGGCAGCATTTCTGCCGCCCTGCCGGGTCTAGCAGCAACATGCGCGGGGTCCAGGGCGGCGACGGGGGCATCGTGGGCGGGTGGGAGGGCGCGGGGAGCCGTCCCGCTTGTCCGTGAGCCCGGGTACAGCCTGTTGGTACCCGGGGAGCCGATGCTCTGAAGTGGTCCGTGCTGGACCCGGTCGGGCAGCATGCTTGCCGCCCTGCCGGGCCCAGCAGCATCAATCGTAGTGTCGTGGGCCGCTCCCACGTCTGAGAGGGCGCTCCGTAACGTGTAGATGCCCTTGGTGCACGTCTTGGTACCCGGGCGCCGCATGCTTGCGCCCGGGGAGCCGTCGCTCTGCAGTCCTTGTCCGTGTGTCGGCGATACCCGGTCGGGCAGCGTAACGCCCGCCCTGCCGGGTATGCCAACAATCGCATCTTCCTCCTGCGAGGCCACGGCAGCGGCGGGAGCGTCCGGCGAGGCGGGGGAAGCCAAACGGCGCGCGGAGGAGGCGGGAGGCGGTCTCGTGGCCTCTGCAAAGCCAACGGAGACGATGCCATCTTGGCCCGAGGAGTCTTGAGCGTTGTCTTGAATGGTGTCGTGAATTTCGGCGACCCCTATACTTAAACCAAGTATATTGCCGAAGGTACCTTCGCTGGTACCAACGGGGGGTCGCCGGGCCTCTTCCCGGTCAATGATGGCACCCAAAATCAGGGCCGGAGACCAGACGGGGCTCACGCGCGACAGAGACCTCTGCGCGCGCGGAAACTTGGTAGGCACTGGGCGATGCGGGATCCGAACCCGTGTTTGAAGTTGCGGCGCCTAACTCCGCGTCATCACCGCGAGGCGATGGCGCGCGTAGACGCACTCGGGGCCCATTTTGGGGCCCCGGAAGGGAATTATTGGAGATACCGGTGTGTACCCCTACCCCTTGTCCGACGGCGACCGTTCCCAGGCAGTTTCGTCCCACCCGTTCCGCAAAGAAGAGTGACGAACTTTCTGGGAACAGTCTTAAATCAGACTGCCCCGCCTCTTCCCCAGTGACCAGTTGCGTGTCATCTGGGAGAGAGGGCATTTCGTCGTGTCCCACTCCAGTTTCGTCATCAGGCGACGCGTCATAGAAAGACGCATCGCTGGCGAGACTGGAGTGGCTGTCCGTAGAGCACTCACTATCGCTAGAAAGAGAGTGTTCCCTAGGCTGTCAATCCGGCCACCAGAAGCGCATAGTGATGCGTTGGTGTAGAGCCGGTGCAGAAGACAGAAAGACGAAAAAATCGAACAAAATAGAACGAAGTAGAAAAGAACAAGTGTATTGTAGTCGGCCTCACGAGGGTTAAATTTAAGCCACTCGGCGACCTTCCTGAAAAGTATCGCTACTCTGTCAGTGTTAGAATTAACTAGGTTGTGAAGCTGATGCTGAGAAGAAGATGGCTTACGGCCGGGGATGAAAACCGAAAAGTGTGTTGTGTTTAAATTGTTCCTAGCTTCGAAAACGAATGGCTAGTAGTAGCCGGTGGCTCTCAGCCACCTATTCCGTGCCCTGTCTCCACCGCTTTCTGTTTTACCTATCACTGGGTAATTACGTCTCGTAAATACCTTTCGTAAAAACTCTGCTGTGTCATATGCAGAATGAAAACGATTGCGTGGGTGGGGGACGTAACTGCGGGCGGGTCACAGTTCTGGTGAACCCCAAACACCAGATCGTGAGTATCAGTCACAATTAACTTAAACACGGCGGGGATCGAACCCGCACTCACCCGCGTATTTCCCCCTTCCCAAACGACTGAGCCAATCCGATAACTTGTCAAATCGCTAACATCCCACAACATAAACCTGCCAAGAAATAACACAACTAATGCAAATATGCAATATACACCCTGCACAAGTCGCCGCATCATCACTCGCTAACACTCCCCCTTGATGTGCGTGCGACGTGTGCGCCCTACACCGCCATGCACAGACCCGTGATGAACTTGCTGTGCTTGTCTCTTGGAAGTGCCTTGGTGAATCCATCCGCGACCATTTCTTCTGTCGGCTTGAACTCTAGCGCAATCACTGCGCTTGTAACCTTTTCACGCAAAAAGTGAAACTTGATGTCGATGTGCTTCGTGCGCGAGTGGTACTCAGGATTCTTGGCCAGCGCGATACAGCCTTAATTGTCTTGAAAAATCGTCGTCGCGTTCTTGGCACAGTAGTTCAGGTCCTTGAGCAGACCTCGAAGCCAAATTGCTTCCTGCGTCGCGCTGTACAGACTCATGTACTCTGCTTCCGTACTTGAGGTCGCGACCGTTGGTTGACGCTTCGAGTTCCACGATATCACGCTTCCGTTCAGGAAGAAAACGTATCCTGTTGTCGAACGCCGCGTGTCGAGGTCGCCAGCCCAGTTTGCATCCGCAAATCCAATCAGCTCTCCCTTGTTGATGCCGCTGAAAACGATGCTTAAGTCTTGAGTCGTCTTGAGATACTTGAGAATCCGCTTTGCTGCTGTCCAATGCGACTTGTCGTAGCGCTCGCAAAACTTCGCAACTTCGCCAACCGCATGCGCAATGTCCGGTCGTGTACATGTGGCGATGTACATTAAAGCGCCCACCAGCTCACGGTATGGGTACTTTGGTACAAACGCTTCCTCTTGACCCATCTTGATCAGCTTCGAATTACTGTCCGCCGGCGTGTGCATGTCCTTGCAGTTCTCAACGCCGAACTTCTCCGAAAGTCGCTTGATGTACGCCTTCTGGTTCATCTTGATCGTTCCATCTTCGCGCTTGCGATGAATCTCGATCCCGAGGTAGTACTTGAGATCTCCAAGATCTTTAATGCTGAAATCTTCCATCAATGAGTTCTTGATACTTGCGATGTGCTCCTTCGTCTTGCAGAAAATCATCAAGTCGTCCACGTAGATCACGATGATGCTGTACTCCTCTCTTGTCACTCGAACGAACACACACGGGTCCGCTGTACTGCTCTTGAATCCTTGATCAACCAAGTGCTGACTCAACTTGTTGTTCCACTGCCGCGCCGCTTGCTTCGTCCCGTATAGCGCCTTCTGCAGCAAACACTTCTTATTCGGGCTTCCTTCATCTTCAAAACCGTCAGGTTGGTCCATGTAGATCTCCTCCTCCACTTCGCCGTAGAGAAACGCTGTGTCGACATCAACGTTTTCTGCCTCCAGGTCTTCAGCTGCAGCGATCGCCAACACTGTGTTGATAGATTCCTTGCGCGCCACTGGTGCAAAGGTCTCGTTGTAGTCGATGCCAGGACGCTGCGTGAACCCCTTCGCAACCAATCGTGCCTTGAACTTGATGATCTCCCCACTTGGATCGCGTTTGATCTTGAAGACCCACTTGCAGCCTACGGCCTTCTTGCCCGGTGGCATGTCCACAAGCTTCCATGTGCTGTGTTCTTTAAGCGACTTCATCTCGCTCTTCATTGCCTGGAGCCACTGCTCCTTGTAGCTGCTCTTCATTACTTCTTGATAGCTGGACGCTTGTTCCCCATCTTCTTCAGCCGAGAAACAGTAGAAAGAGTCGAAGTCACCTTCGTAGTCGTCCAAATTGAAGTGACCGCGACGATGACTTGGAAATTCTTGTTCGTAGCGAACCACGCCGCGCTTCTTCCGAACCGGTCGTACCATCCACTCTTCTTCTCCATTTCTTCCGGGTGTGCTGGATGCGCGCGTAGGAATGGTGTCGCTTGGTCGATCACTCGGTCCGGGATGAGAGCTGTTCTGCGCTCGAAGTGGTGGGGTGCGCAGCTCTTCTTCGGTCACCGGCGCTGTTTTGTCTTCATCATCGGGTAGCGACGCCTCCACACATTCCTCTTCTTCAATGACATCGAAGACCCGCTTGTCTCTGCTTTTCGATGCTTTCGAGACAGAATGCTCAGCGAACGTGACGCTTCTTAAAATCACGATCGAGCCATCGTCCGCGTTGAGAAGCCGGTACGCCTTTTGATCCTTCGCATAGCCGAGAAAGAAACATCGCACGCCTGAGTCGTCCAGCTTCTTCCTCTTCTCCTTTGCCACATGCGCATAGCATTGCGCACCAAACACGCGCATGTGATCGATGCGCGGAACCTTCTTGAACACCATCTCGTGTGGGCTTGAGCTCTTGTTCGACGCGTTCGGCAGAATGTTTCTGATGTCTGCCGCTGTCATCAGTGCCTCGCACCAGTACGACTTGTCGAGACCGCTTTCCTTGAGCATGCAGCGCGTCATCTCCACCAGCGTGCGGTTCATCCGCTACGCCATCCCGTTCTGCTCTGGGTTGTACGAAACCGTGAATTCTTGCTTGATGAACTTTGCCTTGCAAAAGTTGTTCATCGTTGCGTTCCGGAAATTTGCCGCCATTGTCACTTCGCAGCATCTTATCTTCGTTCCAGATGTTGTCTTGATATCTTGGTAAAACCGCTTGAACGCACTCGCAACGTCGCTCTTCTTTCGCAACGGATAGACCGTTACATACCTGCTCTTCATCATGATGAAGGTTACGGCGTAACTGAAACCAGACTTGGACGCTGGCGTGATAGGTCCGAGAACGTTGGAGCACACCACCACGTCGGAACGCGAACTCTCCCTGGTTTCAGCGTCTTCTTCACTTGTCTTGAATGACTTGCGCACTTGCTTTGACGTTGCGCATACGTCACACGCAACGTTCGTCTTCATCGTTGCGCCCTTGGTCCTTCCGTCCTTGACCATGGCATTTAGCGTACCATACGACACGTGACCCAGTCTTCTATGCCATAGCTCTGTATCGTCTTCGGCCATGTGGCACTCCGTACCGTAGTCAGCATTGAGATACAGGAGGAACCCCTGCTTCCTTCCTGTTGCGACGGGTGTGCCGCCACGCTTCACCACGCACTCGTTGCGCGTTATCTCCACTGTCATGCCGCGCGCTGCCGCAGCCGTGAGCGAAAACAGGTTCTTGGACAAATCTTGAACGTGAAATGTGTTCTCAAGGCGAGCGTCGATCCACGCATGCCCTGTCCAGACGCGCAGCTTCACTGTCCCATGTCCAATAACATTCAGCTTCACGTCGCTCTTTGCGCTTGAAATGCTTCGCGCATGATGCACTTCTTCGTACTCTTCGAACGCATCTCGATCCTTGCACATGTGTGCTGACGCGCCACTGTCCATGACCCAGCTGTCGCTAGCGAAACCTTCGCAAGCATTGAACGCAACGTTCGACTGGTCATGCTGGTGCTCCCTTGGCCCTCGACCATAGCGACAATCTCTGGCGTAGTGTCCGACCTTGCCACAGTTGTAGCAGGTCCCTGATGGTCCCTTCGCGCGCCGTACTTGTTGCTTCTTCGGGTACTGCTTACCCTTCTTCTTGCCAGCGTAGAGAGCCGTTGCATCTTCCACCCGTGCAGCCTCATTCTGGCGCACTTCTTCGGCGATCAACTTGCTCACGAGGTCACTAAAACTGAAGCTTGCGACGGACATGCGGAATGCCTGTACCAAGCTCTCGAAGCTTGAAGGTAGACTCCGCAACAGTACCGCGCACACGTCTTCTTCGCTTGGACCGCAGTTCGCGCGCATCATCTTCATCACGAGGTCCTCCAGCTCCATCACGTGACCGCTCATGCTTGATGCTGCATACTTGAACGAGGCGAACTTTTCCTTCAGCCAAAGTCGATTCGCCATGTCATGACTGTGATGAAATCGCGCCAAACGTCCCCACGCTTCTCTTGCAGTGGCCGAGTCGATGACATGCATCAACTGCGAATCGCTCAGATTCAGCACGATCGCGGCGTGGGCTTGCTGTTCCTTGGCCTCACTTGTTGCCTCATTGCCCGCGATCGCGCCCCACAGCCCCTTTGACATCAGGTACATCTTCATCTTGTAACTCCACAACCCATAGTTCGAGCCGTCGAAAGGCTCGACCTTGAAACCGGAGTCGTTCTTTGGGCTCATAACCTGTTCGAATTAACTAGGTTGTGAAGCTGATGCTGAGAAGAAGATGGCTTACGGCCGGGGATGAAAACCGAAAGGTGAGTTGTGTTTAAATTGTTCCTAGCTTCGAAAACGAATGGCTAGTAGTAGCCGGTGGCTCTCAGCCACCTATTCCGTGCCCTGTCTCCACCGCTTTCTGTTTTACCTATCACTGGGTAATTACGTCTCGTAAATACCTTTCGTAAAAACTCTGCTGTGTCATATGCAGAATGAAAACGATTGCGTGGGTGGGGGACGTAACTGCGGGCGGGTCACAGTTCTGGTGAACCCCAAACACCAGATCGTGAGTATCAGTCACAATTAACTTAAACACGGCGGGGATCGAACCCGCACTCACCCGCGTATTTCCCCCTTCCCAAACGACTGAGCCAATCCGATAACTTGTCAAATCGCTAACATCCCACAACATAAACCTGCCAAAAAATAACACAACTAATGCAAATATGCAATATACACCCTGCACAAGTCGCCGCATCATCACTCGCTAACAATCAGGACGTCCAAAAATGAATGTGAAAAAGACCGACAAAAGTCGGAAACCAGTTTTCACACTGATTAGAACAGAGAAGTATAATTATTACCGTCCGGTTAGTCCATTTCTAAAAGTATATAATTACCCGATAGAAACTATGTGGTGTGTAAGTTAGGTACAGGGTGCACCACACAGAGCTGAACTATAACGTACAGGAGGGGTTTAGAGAACGGTTCCCTACGTGGGTATGGCCCTGTCGGCGACTATGGGCCCGAGTTCCGACTAGCGGCGGCCTTGATGTGACGGGTTCCCCCCGGTCCCCGTCACTCGGCTGCCCCTTGCATCTCGTCTTGAGCGTCCATGTCTTCGTCCGTGAACTTGGTCTCGACTTGAACCTTGAACTTCACCTTGGCCCTGCTGCCTCGCGCGGTGTTGGCTGCAATGTAGATTCCAGATGCGGCGGCTGGACTTAATGCACTCAGCAGAAAGGTGCCTGTCCAGCCGCTTCGCATCGCGCTTCAGCACGCCAAGTTGCTCGGTGGAAACCGCGAGGTTACCACCGGCGACTGCACCAAGCGAACCATAGACGAGCGCCGAAAGTTGAACCGTCCAACCTTGACGCTCTAGGTGTCGCTTGACGCAGTCGTACTTGGCGCGCTTGAGCGCAGCAATCCGCGCGAGCGACGACGTCCTCGGGTCGTCTGTAGCTTGATCTTCAAAGGCCACAGCCAGATCTACAACCGACACCGAACGTGTGGTGTGGTTGTAGACCTGCAAGTCCGGCCGCAGAGCAGGTCCGGGGAGAGATGGTACGGTTTGGTTAACCCTCAGCTCAACCCTTTCCTTCCGATCACCCGCCGACGACGCTATCGCCCGTTCAATGATCGTCAGAGCGTCGTCGTGGCGGGTGCGGACTGCATCCATGGTGCCGGCACAGTGATTCAACACATGTGCCAGCGTCTCGGTCCTTGAGCAGCCAGGGAATCGACACTTGTCGTGCGTCCGAAGACGCCGGCGCTTCAAGACACTGTGGGTATCCAGCTGGTTGAGACGACCACCCACCGCAAAGCGGTAGTCGCTCTCCCAGAGACCACGGGGCCGCGAGAGGAAGGCGCTGCCAGCACCACCAAGGGTGCGAGCAGCCTTCCCTTGGTCCTTCATCGCGGCCCATCGCTTCCAGTGCTTGTTCTTGAGGTGCAGCTTCACGTGCCGAAGGACATCCCGATGGTCCAACCAACCGTCGTGGTGGGGCACGCGAAGCTGCAACCTCTTGGCCGGCGTCCCCGTCTCCTCCACCGCTGGCGCCATCTCAAACTTGAGGCCGAAGCGGTGAAGGTGACCCCGGACGTCGAACCACAGCGACCCAATGTCCGCATTCCTTCGCTTGGGCGGCGCTGGGTCCAACGTCCCCAGCTTACTGTTGAGAAGGAGCTCGCCCAGCTCCTCCTCACGGTCCTTCCACAGCACGACATTCAACTTGTAGCGAGCCTCTGCAAGTTGACGGAGCTGCTGGCGGGCAATGCGCTGGGTGGCAGGGTCAGAAGAGTGCAACATCTGCCACCCATGCGCCACTTGAAGTGCCCCGTGCAGCTCCGTCAAGGGCAGAAGCCCCAAACCTCCACGAGAAACAGGAGCGTAAAGAAAAGCTGTCGTAGCGCTAGTCGGCAGCCGCAGCAGGTGGCGCAGACCGCGAACAAGGTGGCGATCGAACCCCTCCAGCTGCTGTGCGAACGGTCGCAAGTGCCGGAGGGTGTACTCGACGCGCGGGTAAAGGTACACCTTGACCGCCTTGACCACCTGCCACGGCGCCAGCCCGGACTGCAGCAGTGCCGTCGCATCATGCTTGAGCTGGGCGATAGCTGGGCCCAGCTCGACGCGACGGCGCACATGGTCGAAGCCATCCCCGATCCCCAAGTACTGGTAAGAGTCGGAGGCGCTGAGCGCGGGGATCGGGGTGCCGTTCAGCTGCAGCCCGAGACCGCTGGTCTGGTGGAGACCACGCACATCTCGCTGGACTGACATGGTGCTGCACTTCAGCGAGTTAGCCTTCATGCCAGTCCAGCGTAGGAAGTCGTGCACCACCGAGTGTTGACGCTGGATACCGTCCACGGTGCTGCTGAATGTCTTCAAGTCGTCTGCGTAAGCAGCAGCACCGGGACGGTCTTCGCAGGACATCTTCACTCCAGTGTCCGGCAGCGACTTGAGCGCGTGAAGCAGCGGGGCGATCGCGGCGGTGAAGAGATGGGGGCTGAGTGGGCAGCCTTGAAACACCCCCACCTTCAACGCGATCGGTGCCGTGGTCCCATCCACAGCGTTACCAATTGTAAACGCTGCGTCTGCGTAGAGACCACGGCAACAAGCGACAAACTCGGGCGGAACACCCTGCCGTTGTAGCGCTTCCCATAGCAAGTCATGTGGCACGCTACCAAAAGCGTTGGCAAAGTCGTACCACACGACATGCAACTCTTGATGCTTGCGGCGGGCTTGGTCGACGAGCATGGCTGCGAGGAAGTTGTGTTCCCCGCAGCCGTTCATGGCTCGAAAGCCCTTCTGCGCGTCGGCATGGCGACCGTTGACGTCGAGCCAGCGCGTAAAGCGACGCGACAAGACGCCGGCGTACAACTTGTAGATGGCCTGCTGCGAGCAGATCGGCCGCCAGTTGGATGGGTCGAGCCGATCGCCCTTCTTGTGCAGCAGGCGCACCACGCCAACCTTCCAGCTTTGCGGCCCACGCTTGGACTGCCAGCAGCGCGCGAACGCTGCATGCAGGGTGGGCAGAAGCTGGGCCGTGAACATCTTGAAGATGTCATAGCCGACACCGTCCAAGCCAGGGCTGGAACTGCCACGCGCAAGCTGCACTTGGTCCTCGATCTCATGCGAGGACGGCCCATCCGTGAGCAGCGCCATGTCAACTGTCGCTGGAGGCAAGCGGTCCATGGCCGCGCGGAACGAGGCTCCAACTGGCGCCATAGGGTCGAAGGCACCCACCGGGGTGTTCACCTCGGTAAAGAACCGGTGCAGGCTCTCTCCTGGAATGGGGCAGGTGCCTTCCTCCACGTCCACACAGTCCAGCGGAGGCGCAGAGGTGCTGGCTGGCGTAGCCGCAGCCTCGTCTGCCTCGCGCTTGGACCGAGCCGTCGCCAGGATGCTCTCAACACACACCTTCTCCGAAGCCTCGAAGAGGTGGCGGAGGCGTTGCTGCGAAATGGATGAGTGGATCCTCCCCACACGACGACGTGCCTTGGCCACAACCTGGCGGTTGCCCGGCTCGCTACGCTGGACAGCATGCATGGCGTCCAGAGCCTCGTCAAGCCGGTGCTCACGGTGATGACGTGTCACACGGGGCGGACGTGTGCGCCGGCGCCCCATGCCACCACCGGAGTGACCACGGCGACGACGTGAACGGCTGCCACCTTGGCGCTGACCGTCTGGCGTCACGGCCTGCGCCGGACCTTGATGTGGCTCCGGTCGCCTGTCAGGACGCACGTCTGGATGGTGCAGCTGCGGGCGCTGGGAGTGAGGTTGGGCGGGGTGCTGTGTCTGGGAGTAAGGCTGCAGTTGATCGTACAGCGCATACGGGAGGGCTGTGATGTAGCCCTCCGCCTCCTCCCAGTCATCAGCGTCCGTTATCTTGGCAGCGAGCTTCGCTGCTAGCCGCTCCACCAACTTGCCCGCAGCCTCTTCCTCGTCTTCGTCCAGCTGCCGTAGGCGCAGTTGCGACCGGCGCTGAGGCACTGCATCAGGCCCTACACTCATCGCTGCATACACCTCGCCATCATCGATGTCCCCCATGTCATCATCATCTGCGGGGCTTGGGGGATCATCAGTGCCCATCGCGACATGCGGTGTGGCAGGCGGAGGTGCAGCTGCGGGTGCAGGGGCCGTCGTGGAGGTGGAGGTGCATCCATGTCCATCGGTATGCACCCCACACTCCAACGTGGTCGTGCGGCGGTCAAGAGCGGCATTGGCGAGGCGGTCGGCATGACCATTCGCCTGCCTGTAGATGGAATGGAGCGTGGCCCGCTCCATCCGCGCCAGCTCCGCCTTGACCGCAATGCGCAGTTGCCTCAGGCGCTTGTTGCGTGTGGCGAAGATGCCACGCACCTGCTGGATGACAAGAGTGCTGTCACCCTCGATCCGCAGGCGCGTGACACCGTGGTCGGCGGCAGCCCGTGTGCCGAGCAGCAGCGCGGTGTACTCGGCCGTGTTGTTGGTTTCGCCGCTGCTCGGCATGTAGTGGGAACACGTCCACACTACGGGGCCGCTGGGCTTGAATAGCGCAGCGCCGGCGCCGCCAGGCCCAGGGTTTGCCCGGCAGGCACCGTCAAAGCGCAGCAGCTACTCGCCGTCCATGTCTGGGTCGTCGTTGACGTCCTCGTCGTCGCTGTCACCAGCCTTGGTCTCCTCCTCCTCCGTTAACTCTAGCGGGAGGAGACGGTCGGCAATCCTTGACACCACCACGCTGCGAGGCAGTGGTGGACCCCAACGTGAGGCGGGAACCTCGGAGAGGCGGGACGCAACGCGATAAGCAACCAGCTGCCTTGGGAGCGGGGGGCTCCATCTTGACTCTGTTGACCTGTCATGAGTGGTGCTCGACTGTGGGGGGACACAGTGAGCACCGGAGGGACTTGGCGGAGCAGCACGGGTTCGGTGTCGGCCACCGTAGCGGTGGCATTGACTGCACCAGCAGTGGGGCTGAGGTCCCCGGCTGCTGATGCGGTCGCAGCCGAAGTGTCGCGGAGGCTGGCACACGCGCGAGCGTGGTTTGCAGCTGCCAGCCTCGATACGAAAGGCGTGCCGCACGCACAACCTGCCGAGAAGCGGTCGAGGAAGGAGATACGTCGGTGCCGTGAGTCCCTGTGTCGCTTGAGCGAAGCAAAGCTTGAGGCCGTGTATGTACACAGCGTGCACGTGAAGCGCTGGCGTTGTGGCCATACACGGCCAGGACGGAGGCCGGAAGTGCGCTGGCCGTGGATGGCCAAAGCGCTGAGTGCTTGGGGCCGGCCTCAACGTCCTCGAGCAGCAGTTGCTCGGCTTGCTCGCGCGGGTCGTCGTCGGCGTCATCGCTCAAGCGGCGACGCTTGCCGCAGAGGCGGAGCACGAGAGGCGGCGATCCCGGTACATGGCTGGCTGCCTGCCACGTCGCGCACTGGTCAACCTCCATAGGGACGGCAGCGGTCGTGGCAGGAGCCTGTGCAGCACCCGCACGCAGCATGGTACCAGCCCTGCCGGGTGTGCAGTCATCGTTATGGGGGCAGGGCCCAGCAGACAACTCGTCGCCGCAAGCCATCGGAGCGTCGCACCCAGCTCGGTCGGGCAGTATGGGTGTCTGCCAGCCGAGCCGGTCGTCACAGGTACGTGAGACATCAACAACATCATAAACAATTGCTGCAGTGGACACGGCCTCGCTGATGGTAGCGTGCATACCCGCGGGAGCGGCCGCGGCCACTGCAGTGTAGCCAGATCGGGCAGGCTGCTCTGTAGCTACCTGGCCGAGCCGGTCGTCATCACTTGCGGCGGTAATAGCGTCGTCGTCGCCGTCCGAGACCTCGCGGTCGCTGCTGCCGTCGTCCTCCGGGTCTCCAGGGCCACGGGTGGCACCTAGGGCACGAGCAGTAAAGACTGCAAGCGCGAGCCCATCGGTACCCCGGTCGGGCAGCATTTCTGCCGCCCTGCCGGGTCTAGCAGCAACATGCGCGGGGTCCTGGGCGGCGACGGGGGCATCGTGGGCGGGTGGGAGGGCGCGGGGAGCCGTCTCGTCTTTCCGTGAACCCGGGTACAGCCTGTTGGCACCCGGGGAGCCGATGCTCTGAAGTGGTCCGTGCTGGACCCGGTCGGGCAGCATGCTTGCCGCCCTGCCGGGCCCAGCAGCATCAATCGTAGTGTCGTGGGCCGCTCCCACGTCTGGGAGAGCGCTCGGTGTCGGTGTGCTGTCCCTGGTGCACGTCGTAGAACCCGGTGGCTGCCTGCAAGCACCCGGGGAGCCGTCGCTCTGTAGATCCTGCATGTCTTGGCCCGCTACCAAAGCCGGCAGCATGCCACCCGCCCTGCCGGGTGGGAAATCAACATTCGCGGCCACTAGGGCGTTTGCGGTCGGCGAACGGGCAAGCAGAGACGCTGGCGAAGCCAAACGGCGCGCGGAGGAGGCGGGAGGCGGTCTCGTGGCCTCTGCAAAGCCAACGGAGACGATGCCATCTTGGCCCGAGGAGTCTTGAGCGTTGTCTTGAATGGTGTCGTGAATTTCGGCGACCCCTATACTTAAACCAAGTATATTGCCGAAGGTACCTTCGCTGGTACCAACGGGGGGTCGCCGGGCCTCTTCCCGGTCAATGATGACACCCAAAATTGGGGCCGGAGACCGGGGGGCCTCGCGCGCGACAGAGACCTCTGCGCGCGCGGAAACTTGGTAGGCACTGGGCGATGCGGGATCCGAACCCGTGCCCGAAGTTGCGACGCCTAACTCCGCGTCATCGCCGCGAGGCGATGGCGCGCGTAGACGCACTCGGGGCCCATTTTGGGGCCCCGGAAGGGAATTATTGGAGGTACCGGTGTGTACCCCTACCCCTTGTCCGACGGCGACCGTTCCCAGGCAGTTTCGTCCCATCCGTTCCGCAACGAAGGGTGACGAACTTTCTGGGAACAGTCTTAAATCAGACTGCCCCGCCTCTTCCCCAGTGACCAGTTGCGTGTCATCTGGGAGAGGGGGCATTTCGTCGTGTCCCACTCCAGTTTCGTCATCAGGCGACGCGTCATAGAAAGACGCATCGCTGGCGAGACTGGAGTGGCTGTCCGTGGAGCACTCACTTTCGCTAGATAGAGAGTGTTCCCGAGGCTGCCAATCCGGCCACCAGAAGCGCATAGTGATGCGGAGGTGTAGAGCCGGTGCAGAAGACAGGAAGACGAAAAAATCGATCAAAATAGAACGAAGTAGAAAAGAACAAGTGTATTAATTACGTATCGTTGGCCTCGCGAGGGTTAGGTGTAAGCCCCCGGAGACCTTCCTGAAAAGTATCGCTACTCTATCAGGACGTCCAAAAATGAATGTGAAAAAGACCGACAAAAGTCGGAAACCAGTTTTCACACTGATTAGAACAGATACTACACTTGATCTTAGCTAAAAAGCCGAGAAGGTATGGCTTGAAAGCAATACAGAGGACAGAATGCAATACTGTCGATACAATAGCGAATGTTGACAATAGGAATTTGAATGTTACATTAAATTCGAAATGCGAAAGTGATATTTCAAACAATGAAATAGGGCAACACATACTAGGAATCTAACGTCAGTTTTTGGTGCTGCACGCGTGTATGTTGATAGTGTGTGTACGTTGTGAATGATGTAAAGTAATCATGACAATACGATATGCAAAAGCTGTTGAAAAGGTAAATGTAAGTTGGCCTCACGGGAGAAATGTAACGGGGCACCCTGAAGCTTGTACTGGTGACAGTACAAGCTACTTATTCTGATAACAGAATAAGGCGGTGCCTCGTAACTTCACGTACACTCGTACGTGCAGAGGAAGACGGTAAGAAGAAGCGAGTACTCGGTTAGAGTAAAAAGTAGAACTGTATTTATAATAGTTAATGTCTGCAATAAATCACTATTTATCTTCATCTAACTATGTCTAAATACAAATGTGTAAATCAGTTATCTGCTCACCACTCATTGCGTGCGTCTGTCGTGGCGCGTCTTCGTTGGTTGATATAATGGCCTATATCAACCAATTAGGAACTACTTGGAAGTGCTACAGAATATTGTCCTTATGACAATATTCTGAGAATATAACTCTTATAGTTATATTCTATTAACAATTTCTTATAAATTGTTATGTAACGATTCACCCCGTTACATCACCCCCCTTAACCATCAGTCACTTTAGTGACTGATTGACTAAATGGATACTCGTCCCAAATCATTTGGGACGGGGTTTGCACTTGTTGGTCCGCGTCCACTTTCCAACATCTCATCGCATGGTAAACAAGCCCATGCGATGCGCGAGCAAGGCCGCCGAGAGCGCGTCTGCACGTCTCTGTGCGGACGCCGAAGCAGAAACTACAGCAACTGATATCCCATCGGTTGCTGAATCGACTCAGCCTGTATCACCTGGTGATGCAGGCGCTGGTCATGAAGACACTCGTGTCTTCACAGAGTACGAGCTCGGTGTCTCGTACTCTCCTGATACGGATGACGGATCCGTATCGACGGCAATTGAATCCAAGCCGCCTGCCAAGCGTGGCATGGACGATGCTTTGCGTCGCAGCATCTTTGGTTCATCTGATGAGTCAGATGAACCATCGCCGAAGCGAAGGCGCTCGAGGTCGCGAGACTCGGGCGCTAATAGTGGTGTCGTTTCTCCAATGGACACCACTTCACAGCGAGGTGCCAGTACTTCTGTCGGCACGTCGCAGGAAGAGCGGGACCGCAATGTGTTGCGTCTCGCTCCAGAAAAGAAGGCATGGATGCCTCCTAAATCTGTCATGGATCACTCGTCGTCGCCGACAAGTGATCGTTATCGAACACGATTGTTCGATTCGTCAAGGATCCATCACCTTGACCCCAGCGCGAAAGACTATCGCGCTGAACATGAGTTCTTCATCGATGCTTTCTTCAGACATCGATGGTACAGTGGGAATCACAAACGTGATGGTCCCTCACTACTTCAGGCGTGGAACGCCTACATCCATAACCTCGAGGATGTAGGTCGTGACGCTTGGAACGACAAACTTATCAAAGCTCGTGATAAGTTTGAAAAGCGAACCCCGACAGGTGCACGCTACAAGCTGCATCGTCTGTCAAGGGAGAAAGGATTACCCTGCCTCTCTTGGGGAGACTCGTGCCCATGTTGTGTGAACAACTCTGCACGAGCACCTAAGGAGGCTTACCTCCTTACCAGCCCGTGGTGGCGCGTACGTGTCTCTACTGAGATGTACGAAGGGATTGACAACCTGAAATCCCTTTACGACCGTGCCGGGAAGACTTTCTCCGGCGGTCCTTCTGCGGCACAGGATGTGCCGCGTCGTACTGCTCGACCAGACCCAGTACGTCAACCATCAATTGGGAGCGGGGCTCCCAAGAATCCCAGGCGGGGGGATAGCCGCGCCACCGGACGAGGTAACTCGTCCGACGTCCGTTCACGTCGCGGTGGTTCAACAGCTGCTCAACTAGATAGCGCTGGCCACCGCGAGAGTCCTCTAATGGAGGTGGAGGAGGAGGAAAGACGCTCTCCACACGATCATGTGGATCGGTGTGTTCCCGAGAGCTTCTTTGATCGCGTAACGCAAGGGTTACGCGACGATCTCGAGCATGAGCGGAATAGGCGTCTCCAGATGGTGGACACTGCCTCGAAGCATCGAGCTGAGTTTGCCTTTGCTCAGCTTGAGAACGAGAGATCTCTGACATCTCTTCGTGACGAGCTAAGGGTAGCTCGTGGGATTGTTGATCGGTCTCGGGCTGAGATAACTGCTCTTCAGACCCTTGTTGATGCCCACCATCGGGAGCACAAGGCTCTCTGCGAGATGCTTGAGCGCAAGGGCGTTCTTCATCGGAAGAAGCAGCGTACTGATGGTACGGCTTAAGCCGACCAACGTAAAACGTGGGATGCGTTCGCATCTTACGTGGTAACTCGATCGTGTATGCATTGCCTAGGCGGTGCAATACACGAAATGGGCCAATGTACTTGGGTAGTAGTTTACTGCTACCCAAGTTAGTCACTACATGTTTTGGTAGATTAACCGTAGACAGTAGGACTAAGTCACCTTTATTAAATAAAAGAGTGTTTGCCCTTCCATTCTTGTCAGCGTTTTGCTTTTGCTTATCCACCGCTTCGGCGATGGAGTCTTGCACAAAACGGACTACCGTTTCACGAGCCAGTATGAACTCATCTGATGACTCGTTAGCTTCAGTGTGCTGTGAGCGCACTGCAGCGACAACAACCTTTTCTTCAGTGAGGGCTTCCGCACTCTCACTGGGATCATTGTCTTCAGTGAGGGCTTCCGCACTCTCACTGGCATCATCTTCTTCGATATCGATGTTATCGATATCGGCATCAAACGCAATGACTTCTTCGTCAGAGCGTGATGAGCGTGAACCAAATCGGTTTTTGCTCGCGCGAGTCCCTCCCCCCTTAAACCAGAGTTACACTCTAGTAAGGTGGGTACACGCGGATGGCGCAAGCCATTCACGTAAAACGGTGTATGTGTCGTGGACGCATGCACCGAGTTGTTGATGGCAAACTCTACCATCGGCAAAAACTCACTCCAACTCTTAAAGGAGTGTACGTATCCTCGAAGTATCTCTTCAAGGACACGATTGGCACGTTCCGTCTGACCATCTGACTCTGGATGATCAGATGTCGACATCTTCAAGCGCGTTCCGAGTGATTTGAACACGGAACGCCAGAAATCAGCAGTGAATCGTGGATCTCTGTCTGATACGAGTTCACGGGGCAACCCATGAAGTCGGAAGATGGTGTCAATAAAGACACAAGCACAGCCACTTGCCGTGATTGTCTCTGGTACAGCCACAAGGTGTACCATTTTGCTGAGTCTGTCAACAAATACGAGAATACCCGTATTCCCGCGTGCGTCTTTGGGTAACCCGAAGACGAAATCCATTGAGATGGATTCCCAGCACTCAGCCGGAACCGGTAGAGGCTGTAAAGGTGCACGCAGTGAAGGACTTGACTTCACTCGTTGGCAGACTTCGCATGCGCGAACATACTTTCGCACAAACTGATACTGGCGGGGCCAGTAAAAGTCTCGACTTACCGTGAGATATGTTTTCTCTCGGCCACGATGTCCTCCTATAGGAGCATCGTGATACTCGAACATGATCCGCAAACGCAGATCAATATCATCTGGAATGACAACACGTGGTGTGTCACCAGAAACGGCTGTATAGTACAGTAAACCGTTACGAGTAGTGTATCGATCTGATGCAGATCGATACGCAGACGACAATCGTTTCAACGATTCTCGAGATGGTTGGGAGAGATGTGACAACAACTTCACTATCTCACCATCTTGGGCGTATGCCCGCCTCACATCATCATACAACGTTGTAGATGGAACTGAGGACGTCATAACCGCAACAGTGACTGTCTCACTGTTGGGTTTCGCGACTGTTTCAAAGTCGGGACGACGTGAGAGTGCATCAGCGACGACATTAAGTCGTCCTGGTTTGTACTCGACCGTAAAGTTGTATTCTGCAAAGAATGACAACCACCGCGCCATTCGTTGTGAAAGGTGCGGGTTGTTCACTGCCGTGCGTAAGGACGCATGGTCAGTGTAAACAACGAAGGGTCTATCTCCTAATAGATAGACTCTGAACTTCGCGAGTGCATACTTCATGGCAAGGAGTTCCTTGTCATGCACTGGATAGTTCCGCTCAGCTGGTTGCAGCTGACGCGACTGATAGCAGACGACGCGTTCAACGCCTTCAAGGTCGTACTGCATTAATGCACAGCCGATTGCGAAATCGCTGGCATCACAGACCACATGAAATGGCCTGTCCTGATCGGCTATTGCTAGGACTGGGGATTGTATCAAGCTCTGCTTGATACCCTCAAAGGAGCGTTGACATTCAGCGTTCCATAACCACCTCTCGTTCTTTTTCAACAAACGAGAGAGGTGCACAGTCATCTCGGCGTAATTGCGTGAATACTTATGCAAATACGCCGCTAGCCCAAGGAATTTTCGAAGACCTTTGACATCGACCGGCACAGGCCAGTCGGTGATCGCCTTGATCTTTTCGGGATCAGGACGTACACCGTTCTTACCAACGATGCACCCAAGAAGTGGTATTTCGCTTGCTGCAAATATACACTTCTTGAGGTTTGCATACAATTGATGCTTTCGCATGATTGTAAGAACTTGTCGGACGTGGTACTTGTGAACCTCAACGTCCGACTTTCCATCCATAGCTCGACTATGGATGAATACGTCATCGAAATAACTCGGCGCGAATTCTCGTACTGGCCTCAACAGATGTGATACACACCTGTTGAACGTGGCAGGGGCATTACTGAGCCCTTGTGGCATTACTAGCCATTCCCAAAGCATGCCACTAGGCATGCTAACTGCGGTATAGGGTATATCCCGTTCCCGCATTAGGATTTGATAGAAGCCATCCATCAAATCCATGGACGAAAAGATGGTACTCTTTGACATACCATCAATGATTACGTCCTTCCTCGGTATCGGCGTCTGAGCCGGTACCGTTGCAGCGTTCAATTTGTTGAACGCGTGCACTATCCGCCACCCTCCTGTTGCTTTTCGCACACAGAAGGTCGGAGAGCTATGTGGGGAAGTTGATTCCCTCACATGGCCCGCTGCTAAACGATCGGCAAAGAACTTGTCGATCGCAAGTACTTGTTCACGAGGCAGTGGCCACTGCTTCATGACACAGTACTTCGAGCCTGGTTTAAGCTCGACTTCGTGTCGAATACCTTTATCCTTCGGTAATTCGCACGGAACAGTTTCAGGGAATACATTCTTGAATTCAACCAAATCCTCATAGAGAGGGTTTTCCTTGAGCGATTCCCATGATTGGGACTCATATCGCTCAATTCGTGTCTTTTCATCTAGGACACTCTCGTCCATAGATGAACTACTGAGAACTCTCTCGTTCTCAGTAAACACTGTTGCTGACCTTATGTCGGTTACATACTCGTCGTCAGCGACGAGTATGCAGATCTGCTTGACTTTGCCACTACGCAGATCACGCAAGAACCTTTTATGTTCGAGCGTTGGCAACTGAGTGATCTCCGAAGTTAACTTCGGAGGCGCAATCAGATCAAGTGTATAAGCGCCTACACATGATCCGTTATTGACTATGACATTCAATGTCTCTGTCATTTCCTGGGGACTTATTACCTCAGGCTTCGAAGGACTTATTCCTTCGTCTTCCCGGGGACTTATTCCCGCGGGTTTCGGGGAACTTATTTCCGCCGTATTTGTAATCTTGGGACTTATTCCCTTTACTTCCTCTAGCTGGGGTTGCGCAACCACAGCGAGATCCTCTACGAAAGACTCTCCAGTCGATCTAGGATTATCGTTTCGCTTAACCTGAGCGATCGATTGTTTCTCTTCTAGATGTTCCCCTCTAGGGATACATCTTTGTCCCAGTCCACCCGACTTATTCGAGTGGTGGACCTTCGGCGCAGCCTGTGTTTCCTCACAGCCGCCGGAACTTTGCTCCGAAGTGTAACCGTTTGGTACACTAAGGTTTTGTGCAGTCGTACTAACGACCGTACCACAAGTGAGGCCATCGCACTCACTCGTAGTACATCCACACGCTTGTGGACGCTCCAAAACGTTCATCAGATGGCCATCTGATGAACAAGCGGCAGGCATCGTTACTGTCCGATGTTGCCAGTTTACCCGTGGTTCGTACCTTCTGAGCCACGGTATTCCAAGGATGACATCAAATTTGTCATCCAAATCCAATACGATAAAGTCATCGTCGTATTGGGTATCTTCTAGCGTATAGTGAATCTTCACTATACGCTTCATGACGGTTACGGATGCGCCTGTCGCAAGACGTACCGTCATCCTCGTAGGAGGTGTGTCACATTCACTGAATTTAAAGTGACCATCTTCTAGCGATTGGCGTCGCACAAAATTGTTGGACGCCCCACAATCGACTAGAGCTCGAAGGGACAACTTATTCGTCACTTCGAGTTTCAAGGTAATGAGTGAGATCTCATTACCTAGAGCAGCAACGCACAATGTCTGTGTGTTGGGAGCAACCTTCATCAAGAGGCCTACAAATTCTCTTGACGTTGCTGGATCAGTAGGGTGCTCCGCACCTACTGATCCTGTCCGTTTTTTGACGGTCCATCCCGTTGTTGCGTCTTTGCACCAACTGCGGACCCTCGTCCCTGCCCCTTTCTCATGGGTGGACGGTCACTACGCCCAGTGTCGCGAGACACTGGACGAGGGGCACTACACTCGTAAGCGTAGTGTCCTGTCTTTTGACATCTGTTGCATCTCTGCAACTTCTTGTAGCCTGTAGAGCGAGCCTTCTCGCTCTCTACATAACAGAGTTCCATCGGCTCTGGACCTCCGTTGTCATATCGTCTCGGTTGACGATATGATGTCGAGCTGGCGCGAGCCTGTCTCAGACTGAAGTCTTCCTGCTCCGCAATGGAAATGGCTTGTTCTAGTGAATCTAGTTCAAGCCGGAACAGGTGAGTCTTGACGGGACCATCCGCAAGACCCTGCATGAACACCGAAACCAACGTGTGTTCATCCACCGGATTGGAACTTATACAACTCGTGAGATGTCGTATATGTTGAGCGTAAGCGTGCACATCACGCTTACCCTGCTTGAGCTTCAAGAGTTCGGTTCGAGCTCTGAACTCAGCTCTAGGCGGTTCAAACGTTTGTCTGAGCCGCGACTTGAAGACTTCCAACGACCCAAACGCATATGGGTCGTGCAGCTTGAGCCCCAGTGCCCAAGTCTTGGCACGTCCTGCCAGATTTGACTGGGCAAATGCAACTTGCATATCCCCGTCGTCGATGCGACGCGCCCTTATGGCGTCATCCAATTCGACGAACCATCTCAAGAGGGAGTCTTCTTCGACCCCTCTATACTTTGAGATGTCAATCTTCAAAGTCTCGGGCCGACGCGAGTGCATCGACCCGCCAGCAGCAGCTTGCTGCTGTCTCAACAGTTCAAACTGTTGAGCACCTTGTTCTCTCAACAACTCTGCTTGTTGAGAACCTTGTTGGTGAAGCAAGGCTACTTTCTCGCGTTCTGCGTCAAGTTCATTTTGAATGAACTTGGCGATAGTAGCATGTTGGGCATCTCTATTGAGAGCCTCTAGCATGACGCTAACAGCATGGATGCCCATGGTCGAACCCATTCGTTCAACCGCATCCCATTCGACATCGCTCAAATGGGAGTAGCCGTCACGCGTAGCGTGAAAGCTTTGGTCATCTTCATCATCCAACATATTCATGTTAGATGTGAACGTGGTCCTTGGACGGACTACGAAGTGCTACCAGGTGTAACGGGGCACCCTGAAGCTTGTACTGGTGACAGTACAAGCTACTTATTCTGATGACAGAATAAGGCGGTGCCTCGTAACTTCACGTACACTGGTACGTGCAGAGGAAGACGGTAAGAAGAAGCGAGTACTTGGTTAGAGTAAAAAGTAGAACTGTATTTATAATAGTTAATGTCTGCAATAAATCACTATTTATCTTCATCTAACTATGTCTAAATACAAATGTGTAAATCAGTTATCTGCTCACCACTCATTGCGTGCGTCTGTCGTGGCGCGTCTTCGTTGGTTGATATAATGGCCTATATCAACCAATTAGGAACTACTTGGAAGTGCTACAGAATATTGTCCTTATGACAATATTCTGAGAATATAACTCTTATAGTTATATTCTATTAACAATTTCTTATAAATTGTTATGTAACGATTCACCCCGTTACAAGAAAGGTGTAAGCCCCCGGAGACCGCCCCGTCTTAGTAGCAAGCTACTTCGACAGGATGTCCAAAAATGAATGTGAAAAAGACCGACAAAAGTCGGAAACCAGTTTTCACACTGATTAGAACAGATACTACACTTGATCTTAGCTAAAAAGCCTAGAAGGTATGGCTTGAAAGCAATACAGAGGACAGAATGCAATACTGTCGATACAATAGCGAATGTTGACAATAGGAATTTGAATGTTACATTAAATTCGAAATGCGAAAGTGATATTTCAAACAATGAAATAGGGCAACACATACTAGGAATCTAACGTCAGTTTTTGGTGCTGCACGCGTGTATGTTGATAGTGTGTGTACGTTGTGAATGATGTAAAATAATCATGACAATACGATATGCAAAAGCTGTTGAAAGGTAAATGTAAGTTGGCCTCACGGGAGAAAGGTGTAAGCCCCCGGAGACCGCCCCGTCTTAGTAGCAAGCTACTTCGACAGGATGTCCAAAAATGAATGTTAAAAAGACCGACAAAAGTCGGAAACCAGTTTTCACACTGATTAGAACAGAGAAGTATATTTATTACCATCCGGTTAGTCTATTTTTAAAGGGCATAGAAATACCCGATAGAAACTATGTGGTGTGTAAGTGGGGTACAGGTTGAACCACACAGAACTAGACTATAACTTACCGGTTGGGTTTGAAGGGCGGTGTCCTACCTGGATAGTGCCCTGTCGGTCAAATGACCCGCTTATCGCCGTACCTGTGTCCGCGATCTGCTCCGCGGGGTCCCCCCAGACCCACGCGGTGCTCCCGAGGCACCACCACTGCGCTGTAGATCACGGTGAAGACGACAATGCCCGCTCCATATCCTGTGGCCTGATCGTATGCAGTGGCTCGACAGCTGAAGATCCAGCTGCCGGGCTTCACGCTTGAGCAGATGCAGCATCTCCGTGTAGGTCTTAAAGTTGCTGGGATACACCGATCCCAGCGTGCCATAATTCAGTGCTGCAGACTGCACTCTCCACCCCTTCAACCTCATCTCATCCGCAATTGGCTTGTACTTTAGCACCTTGAAGTCATGGCTGCTGTGAAGCGAGGAGTGGCGAGCGCCAGCAGCATGGTTCTCAAACGTGACTGCCAAGTCAGCGATAAACAAGGTCTTGGCGGCCACATCGCGCAACACGATGTCGGGGCGCAGAGCTGCACCAGTGTACTCGGGGACTGTCTGGTTCAGGCGTAGCTCTGCGCCGGACTTGGTGCGAACGAGTGCTTGTCGAATCTTGGCACCAATCTGCTCGAGTGCACTATCGTGACGCTGGCGTATTGCACCCATATTGGGTGCACAATGATTCAAAACGTGCGCCAGCGTCTCGGCACTCGAGCAGTTCGGCTTCCGGCAGCGGGCGTTGGCTCGCAAGCGGCGTCGCTTGAGCACCGAGTTCGTGTCCACTTGGTTCAGGCGAGCCTGGATGCCGAAACGGTGCTCAGCATCGGACAGGCCCGCTCCCGACATCACAAACTTGGACCTGGGACCACCGTGTACCCGGGCCGTATTGCCTTGATCCGCCAGACTCTTCCACCGAGTCTGGTGGCGAATCTTCATGTGCAACTTTACGTGCCGCAACACAGTCTTGTGGTCAAGCCACTTGTCATGGTGCGGCACGCGAAGTGCTAGACGATCTTGTCCAGACTCTGCAGTGGTGTCAGAGAACTTGAGTTGGTGGACGCATAACACTCGCTGTACGTCCACCCATAACGAAGCGATATCACCCGAGCGTCGATTGGCAATGGCATGGGGAGACGACGCAAGCTCCGAGTTCAAAAAAATAGCCGGATGAGCTCGTCATCTCTACCCACCCAGTGGTCTTCAACAAGTCGGTAGCGCTTGCGCACCACCTGACACACTTGGGCTTGTGCCACCGCCATGATAGCGGGGTCCTTCGAATGCAACATCTGCCACGCGTGTGCCACCTGCAGTGCTTGGTGCATCTCCACCAGCGACTGCAGGCCCAGCCCACCACCAGAAGTAGGTGTGTAGAAGAACTCGGTGGTGGCGGACTGTGGCAGGCGTAACAGATGCCGCAATCCACGCTTCACGGTGCAGTCAAAGCCTTGGAGCTGTGAATGTAGCGGGCGCAGGTGGCGAAGGTCGTATTCTACCTTCGGGTATACGTATGTCTTCAACGCCTTCACCACCTGCCACTCCGCTAGGCTAGACTGCATCAGCGCTACCGCCTCCCGCTTAATCTGTTTTAGCTTGGGTTCAAGCTGGAGGCGGTGCTGCACATGGTCGAAGCCATCGCCCACCCCCAAGTACCGGTAACTCTCGTTAAGGGCGAGTGAGGAGATGATATCACCATGAAGCTCCAATCGAACGCTATCGTCAAGAGCCAGGTTGCCGCGGGCATTGGTGGTAACCGCGAGGCTAGCACACTTGGCCGTATTCGCACGCAACCCAGTCCAAGCGAGGAAGCGCGTGACCACGCCATGACAGCGTTGGATACCAGTGGCGCTGTTGCTGAACACCTTGATGTCGTCAGCATAGGCGGTGGTGCACGGCCGTACACCATCCGCCAGCGACACACCGACATCCTCCAGCTGTTCCAAGCGTCGTACGAGAGGTACCAGTGCAGCAATAAACAGGAGTGGGCTCAAGGGACATCCCTGGTAGACCCCCACTTCCTGCCTCACTGGGTCAGTCGCACCGTCCTTTGCATTCACTACCACAAAGGCGGACCCATCGTAAATGTCCTGGCATCGGCTGATAAACCGGGGCTCGACGCCAAGACGGCAGAGCACCTGCCACATGAGTGCCTGTGTTAGCGAGCCAAAGGCGTTGCGTAAGTCGTACCACACTTGGTACAACTTCCGGTGCGACCGTCGGGACTGGTCCAACATCGTGGTTGCCGCGAAGTTGTGCTCGTGACAACCGTTGAACGCCCGAAACCCCTTCTGAGCCATCGGCAGCCGGTTGTTCAATTCCAACCAGCGCGATAGCCGACGTGCCAGCAGCCCGCTGTAGAGTTTGTAGATAGCGGGCTGCAGACATATGGGCCGCCAGTTAGTCGGCTGCATCGGGTCACCCTTCTTGTGGATTAGGCAAACGATGCCCACCTTCCACAGCGAAGGCACCATCCGATGCAGCCAACAGAACTGATACGCGGCATGCAAAAGGGGCACCAACTGCAGGGCAAACCGGCGATAGACATCATAGCCAACCCCATCGTGCCCGGGGCTGGATGCCTTGGCAGCCCGCCGTAGCTGGTCCTCCACTTCGTCAATCAAAATCTCGCCGTCGAAACAATCGCCACCCATCGTGTCCATCGAAAATCATGGAGCACGGCCCTAAACTCACAACCGACAGCAGCATCGTAGTTGAAGGGAGCTGGGGCCGTGCTCGTGCCCACAAAATGACGGTGGAGCTCCTCTCTGCCGATGGGGCAGGTGTCTGGATGCTCGACACCCGCGGTCTCCGCCGAGGCACCGTCCGAAATCTTGCCCACACACGTGGTTTCGTCCGTGGCGAAAGCTCGACGCAAGTCAAGCTGCGCTATCGATGCACGGATCCTTCCAACACGACGGCGAGCCTTCTGCACCGCTTGGCTATTACCCGGGTTTGTGTGCTGGGTCGTCTGCATGTCGTCCAGGGCCTCATCGAGACGATGCTCTCGTTGCGTGTGCGTCACACGTGGAGGTCGACGTCGTCGCTGGCGGGGCGGAGTAGCTCTGGGCCTGGCATAGCTAGCCGAGACGACGGTGTACGGCAGAAGGACTTCACGAAGGCGGTCAGGAATAGCATAGATGTAACCTTCCCCTGTAATCCAACTGTCCGCGTCCACAATCTTGCAAGCCATGACCTCGGCAAACCGCTGCACTGCAGCAGCAGCCGAATCATGTTCCGCCTCGGTCAACGGACGCAATCGAAGCCGAGGTTGCCGCGCAGGAGATGAGTCTGGGCCAATAGGCAAGGTTGGAAAGACCTCACCTCCATCACGAGCAGCAATATCGGCCTCAATGTCAAGACTGACTGTGTCCACCAGCATGTCATCGACACCAGAGTCATCAGCAGGATTTCCTGGCTCTACCGGTGTAGCAGCCGGTGGAGAGGAAGCCAGGATAAAGCAGCTATCCATGACGCTAGAATGAGGTCCACACTCGACGGCGGTTCGTCGGAGGTCAAGTGCACGGTTAGCAAGACGGTCGGCGTGGGCATTGGCGCTCCTGTCGATATGCCGCAGTTGGTGCCAGTCAAGGCGAGCCAACTCCGTTCGCACTTGACCTCGCAAGCGCCTAAGCCGTCGGTTGTTGCAGCCGAGCGATCCGCGTACCTGAGCCAGCACCAGGTTGCTATCACCTTCGACGAGCAATCGCGTGGCACCATGGTGGACTGCGCTCTGGACCCCCACCAGCAGAGCTGTGTACTCAGCAGTGTTATTCGTTTCACTGCTGGCGGGGAGAAAGTGTGAGCACGTCCACACCACGGTGCCACTCGAGTCAAAGAGAGCCGCACCAGCGCCCCCCGGGTCCAGGGTTCTGCCGGCATGCACCGTCGAAACGCAGAAGCCATGGCTCGGTCTCGGCCACACCAGCCGTCGCTTCCACTGATGGGGACGGACTTGCGGGACGTGGTGCAGGCGTAGGCGGCGGGGCCGTACGGACAGGGGCCGGAGCACCTTCCGCAGCAGTCACCCTGCCAACGGAGGAGGAAGTCCGCCGTAAGTAGGTTCGGCGCCCTGTGGAAGGCACCGTCACCACGACGCGAGGTCCCCAACGTGTCGTCGCTCGTCAAGGTGCAGCTGGCAGTGAAGGCCGGGCAGTGGGCGCTGGAACAGTCGTCTCGCCAGTGACAAGGTGGGCAACCGCCGCGGCCCCGATCGCGCAGTGACGTGGCCCCCACCGCGTGGCACGAGTACCGGATGCAGCGGGAGTCAGCGGTCGTCGCACTGCCGGAGCCGGGGTTATACGCACACCAGTCGGCGGCGTAGTGATGGCTGCTGCGTCCACTGAATGATGACGAGGCCCCCATCGAGTCGATCGTGCCGTACCCTAGCTGCAAGCACGATATCCTTGCCGTGCATGTCTTCATCGCGACCCAGCAGTGGGCCAGATCCACACTAGCGTCATCCATGAGCTCATCCAGGTCAGGAAACGCCGCTTCCAAGTCATCAAGGCGGCGGCGTTTGCCAGCGACCCGGACTTCACGCTGTGACAGCGATGGGCACCACATGGGGGGGACATGCTGGTGCCCGGCGGAAGCGGGAGTGGTAGGTACGGCGCTCTGTTGGTGGTCAACGTCTGCGGCTACAGTGCGGCTTGATGCAGCTGCTGCTGCCGCAGACGCCACCGCAAAGAGGGGCCCGGTAGGTGGAAGGACCACCTCTTCGTGCGAGACAGCACACACGGGACGAGAACGATAGAGTTTAGGCGACGAACCGGGAGGAGCACGTGCAGCAGGGGCGCGTAGGACGGACTGTCACGACAGCCCAAGGCATGTTTCGTAGCTGCTGCACGTGTGCTATGTCCAAGCCTACACGTGCACCCGCTGTGGAAGCGGTCCACGAAGCAGGTGCCACGGTGGGCGGTTCGTCGGTGACAGGCCAGCGCTGCCATATCGCACGCAGTGTACGCACACAACGTGCAATGAAATGTGGGGGCGTTACGTGCGTACACAGCCAGCACAGGGTCCTGTTGACCGGTTGCAGGCTGTGCTGCAGCTTGGCAGCGGCCCTTGGCGACCGTCGTCCTCGCCACGCTTGCTCTCTTCGTCTTGCAAAAATTGTGCATCGAAATCAAGCGTCGCGCTGCCGTGTGGCAGCGAAGAGGCATACCCAGCTCGGTCGGGCTGCATGGGTGCCTGCCCGCCGAGCTGGTCGTCACAAACCTGTAAACATGGGACATATACGGATGCTGCAGTGGACACGGCCTCGTGAGAGGCGTCGTGCATCCCCATAGGAAGGGCCGTGGCCACTGCAGTGTATCCAGCTCGGGAAGGCAGCTCCGTAGCTACATGCTCGAGCCGGTCGTCATCATTTGAGGAGGTGGCAGCGTCGTCGTCCATCGAGGAGGCAGTGTCGTCGTCGGGGGGCCCGCCGTCGCTGCTTTCGCTATCCTCTGGGTCGCTGGGGCCTTGGAAGGCTCCCATTGCGCGAGCCGTTGCGGCTACGAGCGCGGACCCGAGCTGCACCCGGTCAGGCAGCATGCGTGCCGCTCTGCCGGGTGGAGGAGCAACAATCGCGGGGTCTCGAGCGGCGGCGGGGGCTTCCGGAGCGAGCGGGAGGGCGGGGGGACCCGTCGCGCACGCGTCTGGACCCGTGGGGTGCCTGTGGGCACCCGGGGAGCCGATGCTCTGTAGATGTCCATGCTGGACCCGGTCGGGCAGCATGCTTGCCGCCCTGCCGGGCCCAGCAGCATCAATCGTAGTGTCGTGGGCCGCTCCCACGTCTGGGAGGGCACTCCGTAACGTGTAGATGCCCTTGGTGCACGTCTTGGTACCCGGGCGCCGCATGCTTGCGCCCGGGGAGCCGTCGCTCTGCAGTCCTTGTCCGTGTGTCGGCGATACCCGGTCGGGCAGCGTAACGCCCGCCCTGCCGGGTATGCCAACAATCGCATCTTCATCCTGCGAGGCCACGGCAGCGGCGGGAGCGTCCGGCGAGGCGGGGGAAGCCAAACGGCGCGCGGAGGAGGCGGCGAGCGGTGTGCTTGAGGCCCCGAACGGGCCGACGCACGCTGCGCCATCTTGATCCGTGGCCATCCGCGCGTGTTGTTGCGCGTTTCGAGAAGCCACGGCGACTCCTATACTTAAGCCAAGTATAGGGCCGAAGGTACCTTCACCGGTACCAACGGGGTGTCGCCGGGCCTCTCCCCGGTCTTCGACGGTACCCAATGTCGGGACCGGAGACCGGGCTTTCGCGCGCGCGCCAGAGACGTCGCCGCGCGCAGGCATTTGCAGGGCCAAGGGCGAGGCGTGTTCCGAACACGTGCCCGAAGTGGCGGCGTTCAACTCCGCCGTCACCGCCGCGGGGGGCGGTGTCGCGCGTGGCGGCGTCCGCGGCCCATTTTCGCCATCGGCGGGGCCGAAAACGGGGGCGCCAAAAATCCCTGGATGCGCCTGTCCCACGTCGGCTCGTCCCATCCCGTATGGTCCCACTTCAAGTGGGAAAGGGACTGCGGAACGTTCCGGGAACGGGCGCATCAGATTTACAGCCGTCCTATCCCCGATGACGAGTTGCGTGTCATCGAGGATGGAGGACGGCGATTGGTCAAAATCCACCCCAGTCTCCGCATCAGACGACGCGTCGTAGAACGACCCGTCGCTGGCGAGACTGGAGTGGTCGTCCGTCGAGCACTCGCTGTCGCTGGACGGCGAGCGCTCGGAGTGCCAGTCCGGCCACCAGAAGCGCATAGAAATGCGTAGGTGTAGAGCCGGGGCAAAACGAAAAAAGACCAAACAACAAACGAACAATGTATTGATCGAGAGTTATGTAGAAAAGACTAGAGTAGTACCTCGTCGGCCTCGCGGGGGAAAGGTGTACGCCCCCGGAGACCTGCCCAGCAACCGCCGAGCGTGTCCGAAAATGGATGTGAAAGAGACCGACAAAAGTCGGAAACCAGTTTTCACACTGATTAGAACAGATACTACACTTGATCTTAGCTAAAAAGCCTAGAAGGTATGGCTTGAAAGCAATACAGAGGACAGAATGCAATACTGTCGATACAATAGCGAATGTTGACAATAGGAATTTGAATGTTACATTAAATTCGAAATGCGAAAGTGATATTTCAAACAATGAAATAGGGCAACACATACTAGGAATCTAACGTCAGTTTTTGGTGCTGCACGCGTGTATGTTGATAGTGTGTGTACGTTGTGAATGATGTAAAGTAATCATGACAATGCGATATGTAAAAGTTGTTGAAAAGGTAAATGCAAGTTGGCCTCACGGGAGAAAGGTGTAAGCCCCCGGAGACCGCCCCGTCTTAGTAGCAAGCTACTTCGACAGGATGTCCAAAAATGAATGTGAAAAAGACCGACAAAAGTCGGAAACCAGTTTTCACACTGATTAGAACAGAGAAGTATATTTATTACCGTCCGGTTAGTCTATTTCTAAAGGGCATAGAAATACCCAATAGAAACTATGTGGTGTGTAAGGTAGGTACAGGTTGCACCACACAGAGCTGAACTATAACGTACCAGAAGGATTTCAGGGCGGTTCCCTACTTGGGTATGGCCCTGTCGGCCACTATGGGCCCGAGTTCCGACTAGCGGTGGCCTTGATGTGACGGAGTCCCCCCGGTCTCCGTCACCCGACTGCCCCTTGCATCTCGTCTTGAGCGTCCATGTCTTCGTCCGTGAACTTGGTCTCGACTTGAACCTTGAACGTCACCTTGGCCCTGCTGCCTCGCGCGGTGTTGGCTGCAATGTAGATTCCAGATGCGGCGGCTGGACTTAATGCACTCAGCAGAAAGGTGCCTGTCCAGCCGCTTCGCATCGCGCTTCAGCACGCCAAGTTGCTCGGTGTAAACCGCAAGGTTACCACCGGCGACTGCACCAAGCGAACCATAGACGAGCGCCGAAAGGTGAACCGTCCAGCCTTGACGCTCTAGGTGTCGCTTGACGCAGTCGTACTTGGCGCGCTTAAGCGCAGCAATCCGCGCGAGCGACGACGTCCTCGGGTCGTCTGTAGCTTGGTCTTCAAAGGCCACAGCCAGATCTACAACCGACACCGAACGTGTGGTGTGGTTGTAGACCTGCAAGTCCGGCCGCAGAGCAGGTCTGGGGAGCGAGGGTACGGTTTGGTTAACCCTCAGCTCAACCCTTTCCTTCCGATCACCCGCCGACGACGCTATCGCCCGCTCAATGATCGTCAGAGCGTCGTCGTGGCGGGTGCGGACTGCATCCATGGTGCCGGCACAGTGATTCAACACATGTGCCAGCGTCTCGGTCCTTGAGCAGCCAGGGAATCGACACTTGTCGTGCGTCCGAAGACGCCGGCGCTTCAAGACACTGTGGGTATCCAGCTGGTTGAGACGACCACCCACCGCAAAGCGGTAGTCGCTCTCCCAGAGGCCACGGGGCCGCGAGAGGAAGGCGCTGCCAGCACCACCAAAGGTGCGAGCAGCCTTCCCTTGGTCCTTCATCGCGGCCCATCGCTTCCAGTGCTTGTTCTTGAGGTGCAGCTTCACGTGCCGAAGGACATCCCGATGGTCCAACCAACCGTCGTGGTGGGGCACGCGAAGCTGCAACCTCTTGGCCGGCGTCCCCGTCTCCTCCACCGCTGGCGCCATCTCAAACTTGAGGCCAAAGCGGTGAAGGTGACCTCGGACGTCGAACCACAGCGACCCAATGTCCGCATTCCGTCGCTTGGGCGGCGCTGGGTCCGACGTCCCCAGCTTACTGTTGAGAAGGAGCTCGCCCAGCTCCTCCTCACGGTCCTTCCACAGCACGACATCCAACTTGTAGCGGGCCTCTGCAATTTGACGGAGCTGCTGGCGGGCAATGCGCTGGGTGGCAGGGTCAGAAGAGTGCAACATCTGCCACCCATGTGCCACTTGAAGTGCCCGTGCAGCTCCGTCAAGGGCAGAAGCCCCAAACCTCCACGAGAAACAGGAGCGTAAAGAAACGCTGTCGTAGCGCTAGTCGGCAGCCGCAGCAGGTGGCGGAGACCGTGAACAATGTGGCGATCGAAGCCCTCCAGCTGCTGTGCGAACGGTCGCAAGTGCCGGAGGGCGTACTCGACGCGCGGGTAAAGTACACCTTGACCGCCTTGACCACCTGCCACGGCGCCAGCCCGGACTGCAGCAGTGCCGTCGCATCATGCTTGAGCTGGGCGATAGCTGGGCCCAGCTCGACGCGACGGCGCACATGGTCGAAGCCATCCCCGATCCCCAAGTACTGGTAAGAGTCGGAGGCGCTGAGCGCGGGGATCGGGGTGCCGTTCAGCTGCAGCCCGAGGTCGCTGGTCTGGTGGAGACCACGCACATCTCGCTGGACTGACATGGTGCTGCACTTCAGCGAGTTAGCTTTCATGCCAGTCCAGCGTAGGAAGTCGTGCACCACCGAGTGTTGACGCTGGATACCGTCCACGGTGCTGCTGAATGTCTTCAAGTCGTCTGCGTAAGCAGCAGCACCGGGACGGTCGTCGCAGGACATCTTCACTCCAGTGTCCGGCAGCGACTTGAGCGCGTGAAGCAGCGGGGCGATCGCGGCGGTGAAGAGATGGGGGCTGAGTGGGCAGCCTTGAAACACCCCCACCTTCAACGCGATCGGTGCCGTGGTCCCATCCACAGCGTTACCAATTGTAAACGCTGCGTCTGCGTATAGACCACGGCAACAAGCGACAAACTCGGGCGGAACACCCTGCCGTTGTAGCGCTTCCCATAGCAAGTCGTGTGGCACGCTACCAAAAGCGTTGGCAAAGTCGTACCACACGACATGCAACTCTTGATGCTTGCGGCGGGCTTGGTCGACGAGCATGGCTGCGAGAAAGTTGTGTTCCCCGCAGCCGTTCATGGCTCGAAAGCCCTTCTGCGCGTCGGCATGGCGACCGTTGACGTCGAGCCAGCGCGTAAAGCGACGCGACAAGACGCCGGCGTACAACTTGTAGATGGCCTGCTGCAAGCAGATCGGCCGCCAATTGGATGGGTCGAGCCGATCGCCCTTCTTGTGCAGCAGGCGCACCACGCCAACCTTCCAGCTCTGCGGCACACGCTTGGACTGCCAGCAGCGCGCGAACGCCGCATGCAGGGCGGGCAGAAGCTGGGCCGTGAACAGCTTGAAGATGTCATAGCCGACACCGTCCAAGCCAGGGCTGGAACTGCCACGCGCACGCTGCACTTGGTCCTCGATCTCATGCGAAGACGGCCCATCCGTGAGCAGCGCCATGTCAACTGTCGCTGGAGGCAAGCGGTCCATGGCCGCGCGGAACGAGGCTCCAACTGGCGCCATAGGGTCGAATGCACCCACCGGGGAGTTCACCTCGGTAAAGAACCGGTGCAGGCTCTCCCATGGAATGGGGCAGGTGCCTTCCTCCACGTCCACACAGTCCGGCGGAGGCGCAGAGGCGCTGGCTGGCGTAGCCGCAGCATCGTCTGCCTCGCGCTTGGACCGAGCCGTCGCCAGGATGCTCTCAACACACACCTTCTCCGAAGTCTCGAAGAGGTGGCGGAGGCGTTGCTGCGAAACGGATGAGTGGATCCTCCCCACACGACGACGTGCCTTGGCCACAACCTTGCGGTTGCCCGGCTCGCCACGCTGGACAGCATGCATGGCGTCCAGAGCCTCGTCAAGCCGGTGCTCACGGTGATGACGTGTCACACGGGGCGGACGTGTGCGCCGGCGCCCCATGCCACCACCGGAGTGACCACGGCGACGACGTGAACGGCTGCCACCTTGGCGCTGACCGTCTGGCGTCACGGCCTGCGCCGGACCTTGGTGTGGCTCCGGTCGCCTGGCAGGACGCACGTCTGGATAGTGCAGCTGCGGGCGCTGGGAGTGAGGTTGGGCGGGGTGCTGTGACCGGGAGTAAGGCTGCAGTTGATCGTACAGCGCATACGGGAGGGCTGTGATGTAGCCCTCCGCCTTCTCCCAGTCATCAGCGTCCGTTATCTTGGCAGCTAGCTTCGCTGCTAGCCGCTCCACCAACTTGCCCGCAGCCTCTTCCTCGTCTTCGTCCAGCTGCCGTAGGCGCAGTTGCGACCGGCGCTGAGGCACTGCATCAGGCCCTACACTCATCGCTGCATACACCTCGCCATCATCGATGTCCCCCATGTCATCATCATCTGCGGGGCTTGGGGGGTCATCAGTGCCCATCGCGACATGCGGTGTGGCAGGCGGAGGTGCAGCTGCGGGTGCAGGGGCCGTCGTGGAGGTGGAGGTGCATCCATGTCCATCGGTATGCACCCCACACTCCAACGTGGTCGTGCGGCGGTCAAGAGCGGCATTGGCGAGGCGGTCGGCATGACCATTCGCCTGCCTGTAGATGGAATGGAGCGTGGCCCGCTCCATCCGCGCCAGCTCCGCCTTGACCGCAATGCGCAGTTGCCTCAGGCGCTTGTTGCGTGTGGCGAAGATGCCACGCACCTGCTGGATGACAAGAGTGCTGTCACCCTCGATCCGCAGGCGCGTGACACCGTGGTCGGCGGCAGCCCGTGTGCCGAGCAGCAGCGCGGTGTACTTGGCCGTGTTGTTGGTTTCGCCGCTGCTCGGCATGTAGTGGGAACACGTCCACACTACGGGGCCGCTGGGCTTGAATAGCGCAGCGCCGGCGCCGCCAGGCCCAGGGTTTGCCCGGCAGGCACCGTCAAAGCGCAGCAGCCACTCGCCGTCCATGTCTGGGTCGTCGTTGACGTCCTCGTCGTCGCTGTCACCAGCCTTGGTCTCCTCCTCCTCCGTTAACTCTGGCGGGAGGAGACGGTCGGCAATCCTTGACACCACCACGCTGCGAGGCAGTGGTGGACCCCAACGTGGGGCGGGAGCCTCGGAGAGGCGGGACGCAACGCGATAAGCAACCAGCTGCCTTGGGAGCGGGGGGCTCCATCTTGACTCTGTTGATCTGTCATGAGTGGTGCTCGACTGTGGGGGGGACACAGTGAGCACCGGAGGGTCTTGGCGGGGCAGCACGGGTTCGGTGTCGGCCACCGTAGCGGTGGCATTAACTGCACCAGCAGTGGGGCTGATGTCCCCGGCTGCTGATGCGGTCGCAGCCGAAGTGTCGCGGAGACTGGCGCACGCTTGCGCGTGGTTAGCTGCAGCCAGCCTCGACACGAAAGGTGTGCCGCACGCACAACCTGCCGAGAACCGGTCGAGGAAGGCGATGCGGCGATGCCTTGAGTCCCGGTGGCGCTTGAGCGAAGCAAAGCTTGACGCCGTATATGCACATAGCGTGCACATGAAGTGCGGCGCGTTGTGGGCATACACGGACAGGACGGAGGCCGGAAGTGCGCTGGCCGCGGATGGCCTAAGCGCTGAGTTCATGGGGCCGGCCTCAATGTCCTCGAGCAGCAGTTGCTCGGCTTGCTCGCGTTCCTCCCCGTCATCCTCGTCGTTCAAGCGGCGACGCTTGCCGTTGAGGCGGAGCACGAGAGGAGGAGACGGCGGAGTGAGGCTTGCTGCCTGCCACGTCGCGCCCTGATCCACCTCCATGGGGACGGCTGCGGTCGTGGCAGGAGCCTGTGCAGCACCCACGGGCAGCATGCTACCCGCCCTGCCGGGTGTGCAGTCATCATCATGGGGACAGGGCCCAGCAACAGCGGACGGCTCGTCGCCGCAAGGCATCGGGGCGTCACACCCGACTCGGTCAGGCAGTATGGGAGTCTGCCTGCCGAGCCGGTCGTCACAGGTACGTGAGACATCAACAACATCATAAACAATTGCTGCAGTGGACACGGCCTCGCTGATGGTAGCGTACAGGTCCGCGGGAGCGGCCGCGGCCACTGCAGTGTATCCAGCTCGGGCAGGCAGCTCCGTAGCTACATGCCCGAGCCGGTCGTCATCACTTGAGGAGGTGGCAGCGTCGTCGTCCATCGAGGAGGCAGTGTCGTCGTCGGGGGCCCCGCCGTCGCTGCTTTCGCTATCCTCTGGGTCGCTGGGGCCTTGGAAGGCTCCCATTGCGCGAGCCGTTGCGGCTACGAGCGCGGACCCGAGCTGCACCCGGTCAGGCAGCATGCGTGCCGCTCTGCCGGGTGGAGGAGCAACAATCGCGGGGTCTCGAGCGGCGGCGGGGGCTTCCGGAGCGAGCGGGAGGGCGGGGGGACCCGTCGCGCACGCGTCTGGACCCGTGGGGTGCCTGTGGGCACCCGGGGAGCCGATGCTCTGTAGATGTCCATGCTGGACCCGGTCGGGCAGCATGCTTGCCGCCCTGCCGGGCCCAGCAGCATCAATCGTAGTGTCGTGGGCCGCTCCCACGTCTGGGAGGGCACTCCGTAACGTGTAGATGTTGTAAGTGCATGATGCACTGGATTCGACTCCAGAGATTCGACCCATGATAGGGTATGTCTAGAATGTTCTTTAGGGTTCTATGCATTATTATAGGTCGTACGGCAGCTAGACGTATGGATAGTTCTCACTTGTAGATTGACAAACCACTGATGAGGCCCCCGGCGGGGCGGCCGAAACGCGTCTGGTGCGCGGTAATATACAAGTCATTTACTTTACTTAACTCCTACTTCTTACAGGTTATGAGCCCAAGTGCTCGCTGCAGACACCTCACCAAGGACCAACTTGTGCGAGGGACACCCCGTCAGAGAAGGCGCTCGATGCACGAGTAAGGCGCCGAAGAATTCATCGACAGGGATCGTTGACGGTGCGCGTGCAGTCGAAAAGGGTTTGTGCAAGGGTGGTGACGCGAGATGGTCTGAATGCGCGAGTGCTATCGAAGGAAGAGTCAAGTCAAGTGGTGACAAGTGTATTTGTGGTCAAGAAGAAGTGGAAACTACATGCAAGGCGAACGACGACTACGAGATGTCAAGATGTGACATGGTGCTGGACGATGGGGGAGCTGGAATACCTGGAACGCTCGGTATCATCGAGGTTGGCTGGAGCGCAGGGGCAAGACTCAATCAAGATTCCCATGGTGCACGGATGCAGCAGTGAGGATTACAGGCGGGTCGATACCAAAGTGGTCTGCATCTCATGTCGTCGAGGGGGAGTGTTGTAAGTGCATGATGCACTGGATTCGACTCCAGAGATTCGACCCATGATAGGGTATGTCTAGAATGTTCTTTAGGGTTCTATGCATTATTATAGGTCGTACGGCAGCTAGACGTATGGATAGTTCTCACTTGTAGATTGACAAACCACTGATGAGGCCCCCGGCGGGGGGCCGAAACGTGTCTGGTGCGCGGTAATATACAAGTCATTTACTTTACTTAACTCCCGCTTCTTACAGTAGATGCCCTTGGTGCACGTCTTGGTACCCGGGCGCCGCATGCTTGCGCCCGGGGAGCCGTCGCTCTGCAGTCCTTGTCCGTGTGTCGGCGATACCCGGTCGGGCAGCGTAACGCCCGCCCTGCCGGGTATGCCAACAATCGCATCTTCATCCTGCGAGGCCACGGCAGCGGCGGGAGCGTCCGGCGAGGCGGGGGAAGCCAAACGGCGCGCGGAGGAGGCGGCGAGCGGTGTGCTTGAGGCCCCGAACGGGCCGACGCACGCTGCGCCATCTTGATCCGTGGCCATCCGCGCGTGTTGTTGCGCGTTTCGAGAAGCCACGGCGACTCCTATACTTAAGCCAAGTATAGGGCCGAAGGTACCTTCACCGGTACCAACGGGGTGTCGCCGGGCCTCTCCCCGGTCTTCGACGGTACCCAATGTCGGGACCGGAGACCGGGCTTTCGCGCGCGCGCCAGAGACGTCGCCGCGCGCAGGCATTTGCAGGGCCAAGGGCGAGGCGTGTTCCGAACACGTGCCCGAAGTGGCGGCGTCCAACTCCGCGTCACCGCCGCGGGGCGGTGTCGCGCGTGGCGGCGTCCGCGGCCCATTCTCGCCATCGGCGGGGCCGAAAACGGGGGCGCCAAAAATCCCTGGATGCGCCTGTCCCACGTCGGCTCGTCCCATCCCGTATGGTCCCACTTCAAGTGGGGAAGGGACTGCGGAACGTTCCGGGAACGGGCGCATCAGATTTACAGCCGTCCTATCCCCGATGACGAGTTGCGTGTCATCGAGGATGGAGGACGGCGATTGGTCAAAATCCACCCCAGTCTCCGCATCAGACGACGCGTCGTAGAACGACCCGTCGCTGGCGAGACTGGAGTGGTCGTCCGTCGAGCACTCGCTGTCGCTGGACGGCGAGCGCTCGGAGTGCCAGTCCGGCCACCAGAAGCGCATAGAAATGCGTAGGTGTAGAGCCGGGGCAGAACGAAAAAAGACCAAACAACAAACGAACAATGTATTGATCGAGAGTTATGTAGAAAAGACTAGAGTAGTACCTCGTCGGCCTCGCGGGGGAAAGGTGTACGCCCCCGGAGACCTGCCCAGCAACCGCCGAGCGTGTCCGAAAATGGATGTGAAAGAGACCGACAAAAGTCGGAAACCAGTTTTCACACTGATTAGAACAGATACTACACTTGATCTTAGCTAAAAAGCCGAGAAGGTATGGCCTGAAAGCAATACAGAGGACAGAATGCAATACTGTCGATACAATAGCGAATGTTGACAATAGGAATTTGAATGTTACATTAAATTCGAAATGCGAAAGTGATATTTCAAACAATGAAATAGGGCAACACATACTAGGAATCTAACGTCAGTTTTTGGTGCTGCACGCGTGTATGTTGATAGTGTGTGTACGTTGTGAATGATGTAAAGTAATCATGACAATGCGATATGTAAAAGTTGTTGAAAAGGTAAATGCAAGTTGGCCTCACGGGAGAAAGGTGTAAGCCCCCGGAGACCGCCCCGTCTTAGTAGCAAGCTACTTCGACAGTATGTCCAAAAATGAATGTGAAAAAGACCGACAAAAGTCGGAAACCAGTTTTCACACTGATTAGAACAGATACTACACTTGATCTTAGCTAAAAAGCCTAGAAGGTATGGCTTGAAAGCAATACAGAGGACAGAATGCAATACTGTCGATACAATAGCGAATGTTGACAATAGGAATTTGAATGTTACATTAAATTCGAAATGCGAAAGTGATATTTCAAACAATGAAATAGGGCAACACATACTAGGAATCTAACGTCAGTTTTTGGTGCTGCACGCGTGTATGTTGATAGTGTGTGTACGTTGTGAATGATGTAAAGTAATCATGACAATACGATATGTAAAAGCTGTTGAAAAGGTAAGTGTAAGTTGGCCTCACGGGAGAAAGGTGTAAGCCCCCGGAGACCGCCCCGTCTTAGTAGCAAGCTACTTCGACAGGATGTCCAAAAATGAATGTGAAAAAGACCGACAAAAGTCGGAAACCAGTTTTCACACTGATTAGAACAGAGAAGTATATTTATTACCGTCCGGTTAGTCCATTTCTAAAAGTATAGAAATACCCGATAGAAACTATGTGGTGTGTAAGTTAGGTACAGGTTGCACCACATAGAGCTAAACTATAACGTACCAGAGGTATTTGAGGGCGGTTCCATACGTGGGTATGGTCCTGTCGGCCACTATGGGCCCGAACGACGCTTAGTGGCGGCCTTGATGTGACGGAGTCCCCCCGGTCTCCGTCACCCGACTGCCCCTTGCATCATGTCTTGAGCGTCTTCGAGCTTGGTCGCGAACCTCAGCTTGAACTTGAACCCCAGCTTGACCTTGAACTCTAGCTTGACCTTGAACTCTAGATTGACCACGATCGTGAGCTTGACCTTGGCCTTGACGTGCGCGGTGCGTACTGCAGTGCAGGTTCCAGATGCGGCGGCTGGACTTAATGCACTCAGCAGAAAGTTGCCTGTCCAGCCGCTTCGCATCGCACTTCAGCACACCAAGTTGCTCGGTGTAAACCGCGAGGTTACCACCGGCAACAGCGCCAAGCGAGCCATAAACGAGCGCCGAAAGGTGTACCGTCCAACCTTGACGCTCGAGATGGCGCTTGACGCAGTCGTACTTGGTGCGCTTGAAGGCAGCCACCCGCACTAGCGCGGAGCTGTTCGCATCAGCACTCGCTTGTTCTTCGAACGCTACGGCCAGGTCCACCACAGCCACAGTCTTCTTGCTGTGGTTGAACAGCTGTAGATCTGGCCGCAGCGCTGGTCCCGCAAGTCCAGGCACCGTTTGGTTGACGCGAAGCTCTACCCGGTCTGTCTGTCCACCAGACCTCGAAAGTAGAGCCCGCTCGATGACCTTGAGAGCGTCATCGTGTCGTCCACGAGCAGCGTCCATCGTGCCAGCACAGTGGTTTAGCACATGTGCCAACGTCTCCGAGCGTGAGCATCCAGGGTGTCTGCATTTGTCGTGCGCCCGGAGACGTCGACGCTTGAGCACACTGTGTGTGTCCAGCTGGTTCAAGCGGGCGGTCACTGCGAAGCGGTAGTCGGATTCCCACATGCCTCGCGGCCGAGTAAGGAGCCCACTACCAGCTCCACCATGGGTCCGTGCCGTCTTGCCTTGGTCGCGCATGGCCGCCCACTTGGTCCAGTGCTTGTTCTTCAAGTGTAGCTTCACGTGCCGCAGGACCGAACGATGGTCAAGCCACTTAGCGTGGTGCGGCACGCGAAGCTGGAAGCTCACCGCAGATTCACCTGTATCCACACACGCTGGAGATGTCTCCAGCTGTAGACCAAAGCGCTGCAGATGACCGCGCACGTCAAACCACAGCGACCCAATGTCAGCGTTACGACGTTTGGGTGGGGCTGGGTCTGACGAACCGAGCTTGCTGTTGAGGAGGAGCTGACATAGCTCCTCCTCGCGGTCCTTCCATGCTTGACCATCCAGCTTGTATCGGGCGTCAGCTATCTGACGAAGCTGCAGGCGGGCGATACGTTGGGTGGCAGGGTCAGGTGAGTTCAGCATCTGCCACCCATGAGCCACTTGCAACGCACCATGCAGCTCCGTCAGCGGCAACAAACCCAAACCACCACGTGACACCGGCGTGTAGAAGAACGCGGTGGTTGAGTTTGTTGGTAGCCGCAGCAGGTGGCGTAGGCCGCGCACAAAGTGGCGATCGAAGCCCTCCAGCTGTTGAGCAAACGGTCTCAGGTGCCGGAGGGCGTAGTCGACCCGCGGGTAAAGGTACACCTTCAACGCCTTCACCACCTGCCATGGTGCCAATCCAGATTGAAACAGTGCTGTCGCGTCGTGCTTGAGCTGCGTAATAGCTGGAGCAAGCTCGACGCGACGGCGGACGTGGTCAAAACCATCCCCGATCCCCAAGTACTTGTACGTTTCATCCACGGAAAGTGAGGGGATCGGGGTACCATCCAGTTCGAGTCCAATGTCTTGAACTTGTAAAACGTAGCGACTGTTGCGCTGAACCGACATGGTGCTGCACTTCAGTGGGTTGGCAGCCATGCCGGTCCAACGCAGGAAGTCAACCAAAAGATTGTGCTGGCTCTTGATGCCGTCCTCGCTGCCGCTAAAAATCTTCAAATCATCGGCATACGCGGCGGCACCGGGACAGTCATCACCTGACATCTGCACTCCTGTGGCCGGCAGCCGCTGCAACGGAAAGAGCAGCGGGCCGATCGCAACGTTAAACAACTGCGGACTCAGCGGACAGCCTTGGAATACACCCACTTGCTGCCGGATCGGAGCTGTGGGGCCATCAACGGCGTTGCCCACCACAAAATCTGCTTGATCGTAGAGACCCTTGCACATGTCCACGTAGGCGGTGGGGACACCCAGGCAACGAAGCGAGTCACACAGCAACGCGAAGGGCACAGTGCCGAAAGCGTTCTTCAGGTCATACCAGACCTGGAACAGTGGGCGACGCTTGCGACGAGAGTTGTCAACTAACATGGCCGCGAGGAAATTGTGTTCCCCGCAGCCGTTCACCACCCGAAACCCTTTCTGACCCGGGGCGTGCCGTGCATTGACGTCCATCCATCGTACGAGACGCCGCGCAAGCACGCCAGTGTAAAGCTTGTAAATGGCTTGCTGGAGGCATATGTGCCTCCAGTTCGCCGGGTCATCACGTGGGCCCTTCTTGTAGAGCAGCCTCACGATGCCAACCTTCCAGCTATGGGGAACCATCTTCTCCACCCAGCAGCGCTTGAAAATTGCCGTCAGGACTGTCAGCAGCTGTGGACCGAAGTGCTTGTACACGTCAAAGCCGACGCCGTCAAGCCCAGGACTGGAAGCACCACGCGCATGTTGAAGCTGATCTTCAATGTCGTCAGCAGTCGGCGCCGCAGTAAGCAGCCCCTTGAGTCGCGAGGCAGCAGGAATCTGGGCCATGGCCGTGCGAAAAGCATCACCAACTGGAGCATCCACGTCAAAGGCCCGTCGGGGCGTATTAACTCCATCGAAATATCGCCACAGGTCATCACTGGATATGGGGCAGACTCCATCATCCACTTCATCCGTGGCACTGGTCACCCCAGCCTCCAACCCCGTTGCTGCCTGCGTGCGGCGAGCATTGGAGAGGATCGCATCCACACAAGCCTTCTCATCGGTGTCGAATTTGTGGCGCAGGCGCTGCTGGTCCAGCGCCGAGTTAATGCGCCCGACGCGGCGGCGGGCCTTGCTGATGGCCGGGCGGTTGCTTGGGGCGCTGCGTTGCACCGCATGGAGCTCGTCCAGGGCCTCGTCAAAACGGTGCTCTCGATGGTGGCGGGTTACCCGCGGTGGGCGTCCACGATGCTTGGGCTTAGCGCCCGACCGGCCAGTGCCACGACGGCGCCGACGGGTGCCACATCGCTGTCCATCGGACTCGACAGGCCCAGGTCGCGGCTTATGTGGAGGGCCGAGAGGCTTGCCTCCCGCCTGTGCGTGCCGGCGTTCGCAAGACCGACTCTGGCCACGAGGTGGGACCTGGGTACAGCTCGAGGCCTGGGAGTACGGTTGCAATTTGTCATACAAGGTGTACGGGAGGGCAGTAATGTAGCCCTCCACCGACTCCCAGTCGTCAGCATCCGTGATCTTGGCAGCGAGTAGAGCTCCAAGCCGCTCCACCAGAGCACGAGCTGCTTCATCTTCTTCGTCTGTGAGCTTGCGTAGGCGAGGCCGTCGTTGCGGAACCGCATCGGGACCAATACGCATGGCCGCGTATACCTCACCGTCATCAATGTCCTCCATGGACTCGACATCGTCCAGCCCCTCAAGGTCGTCATCAGGAGTAAGGGGTGCTGGGGGCGGGGGCACCGGTGTGGCAAAGTCACTACTCAAATTTTGTACGAGGATCGGTGGCCACACCTTTAAAGCGCCGCTTACTGGTGGAAAAGGAGGCCATGAGACTCGGCGATCCAATACGGAGGTGGAAGATGATCTTAACGGGATCGGCGAACCGGTCCAACTGTCGTTAGACTAATGGGAGTGAATCGACCTGGGACGGAGCGATCTGGAACGATTTACATGGAACAATCTGGGACAAGGATCTGGGACCGGGTGATGGGATATGACTCTGCGACGAAGGTGTAACACCTTGCAGAATGTTATGGGGCGATTTGGAACCAGACTTCGGGATGAAGTCATACAGCTCATTGGAATGCCGGTCAAGAAGAAGTATACGTACATTGAAGCAGGCTAAGATCAGATCGCAGATCGGCATGTTGTGGCAACGGTTTGTTGGAGAATTGACACATCTGGGACAAGGTGACTCCCAAAGTGCATCTGGGACCAGGTGGTACAGGTCGGTGAATCGGCAAAGAAGGTGCAACACCATACGGATCGGTGATACTCTTTACCGATCCTAAATTGGGAGTACTGATTTTGGTTAATTATACGCCGATCTGGAAGTTTTGCATACTCAGGGGAGTCAAGGAAACCGATGTCGAGACGTATGAATGAAGTGGTCGATTGGATAACACTGGAGGATGATATTGAAGCACGTGTGAGGAGATGAAAAAAAGTGTTAATTGCCGATTTAGACCGGATCGACCTCCAACATCTCGATATTGGATGACAGATCGGTCATGTTTCACACTGATCATGAATATATGGTTGATGAAGACACTGGATCATGTGGAATATACTTGGTAGAGGTCACTAAGTGATGTCAAGAAGTTTCATGCCGAAAGAGCCAGTGGAAGCTGTCCGAATTGACGTCGCAAAATGGATTTAGACGCCTTCGGCATTTGGGCACTATTTTGGGCTTTTGGGTACCAAAAATGAGTATTTGGTACCCCATTTGGGATTTGGTCCTCTTTTGGCGTTCAGGTACGGTATCGGGAATATTGGCGCTATCATTGGAGTACAGGGCACGAAATTTCGACACGTGGCAAGGGGGGCGATCCAGATTCAAGGCGATATCGGTTTGAAGAGTGACCTATAGTTAAGAATAGGCTTAAGGGTAGGTTGGATAGTAATTTGGTTGGTTAATAAACAGACTTGAACTCTACTTCTTCTGCTCACGACGCACGTAATCCTCCCCTCTTCTCCAGGCAAGATTGATTTGGCTTCCCCGGCGGGTTAAGGCACGCGTGTTACAGGGACACAGAAGACCGATCTTGGATTGTTGGCCAAGATCGAGAAGAGCGATCCCGGGATATCTGGCCCGGATCGATCAAGTACTCACACTCAACTCAACTGCTAGGGTAGCAGCACACAACGGAAAAGGATTTTGGACACAGGATCGCGAGACGGCTCAAGTGGTCAGAAGATCTGGACAAGGCGTTCAAGACAAGACCGAGCAGGATCGAAGCGATCCCCTGGACAGATCGACACGTTTCATTTTGGCGAAACAAGACACCGATCTACCCAAATTGCGCACTTCCGGCAAGATCGGCCGATCCCAAGACCAGATCGGACAGATCCCAAGGCAAGATGGACGCAAGACTTTTATTTGCTGAGTGAAGATTTCCGCACAGCAAAGACCCCGATCTCGAGGACAAATCAAGATCGGTGCGATCCAAGATCGGGATCGCAGAACCCCGTTCGTGGTGTGAAGATTTCCGCACCGGAAGCGGACCCTCAACCCAACCTCTCAGCGAGATCGACATCTCCCAAGGCCGTTACGAAGAGCTCAAGCCAGCCCAACCGACGGGTACACAAGGTGAGCACAAGGTCATACAACAAGGCACGGATCGAAGTACCCCCTCCGTGAGTCGGCAAGTCTGGGCAAGTGGAAGATCGACACTCATACAAGCAATTTTGTGAGATCGACTTCACCACACCGGTATGGTGTCCTGCCGCAAGCCGATGTTGCTCGTACGAGTGCAGCCATCACCAGTTGGATGGTCTGCGCACTCCAGTACGGTACGGCGGAGGTCGAGCCCACGGTTGGCGAGGCGGTCAGCTTGGGCGTTGGCTTGGCGATCAATGTGGTGGAGCGTAAAGACTCCCACTCGCGCCAGCTCAACCTTGACTTGGTCCCGAAGGCGGCGAAGGGCGGCGCTGCGAGTGGCGAAGATGCCACGCACCTGCTGGATGACCAGCGTGCTGTCACCCTCGATGCGCAGGCACGTGACACCATGATCGGCAGCAGCCCTTGTACCGAGCAGTAGAGCGGTATACTCAGCGGTGTTGTTGGTTTCGCCGCTGCTCGGCATGTAGTGTGAGCATGTCCACACTACGGGGCCGCTGGGCTTGAACAACGCAGCGCCGGCGCCGCCTGGACCAGGGTTCTTGCGGCAGGCACCGTCGAAGCGCAGCAGCCACTCGCGATCACCTTCATCAGCGTCGTCCTCGTCGTCGCTTTCGCCTACCTTCGTCTCTTCCTCCTCCGTCAGCTCCGGCGGGAGCAGACGGTCAGCGATCCTCGACACCACCACGCTGCGAGCCAGTGGTGAACCCCATCGTGGGGCAGGAACAGCGGAGAGGCGAGACGCGAGACGCGAAGCAACCACCTGCCGAGGAAGCGGAGAGCTCCATCTTGAAACCTTGGACCTGTCATCAGTGGTGCTCGCATGTGGGGGGGGACACAGCGAGCACCGGAGGGTCTTGGCGGGGCAGCACGGGCTTGGCTGTAGCCACCGTAGCGCTGGCATCGACTTCACCAGCAGTGGGGCTGAGATCCCCTGCTGCTGGCATAGCCTCAGCCGAAGTGTCTTTGAGACTGGCGCACGCTTGCGCGTGGTTTGCTGCAGCCAGCCTCGACACGAAAGGTGTGCCGCACGCACAACCTGCCGAGAACCGGTCGAGGAAGGCGATGCGGCGATGCCTTGAGTCCCGGTGGCGCTTGAGCGAAGCAAAGCTTGACGCCGTATATGCACACAGCGTGCACGTGAAGTGCGGCGCGTTGTGGGCATACACAGACAGGACGGAGGCCGGAAGTGGGCTAGTCGCGGATGGCCAAAGCGCTAAGTTCATGGGGCCGGCCTCAACGTCCTCGAGCAGCAGTTGCTCGGCTTGCTCGCGCGGGTCGTCGTCGGCGTCATCGCTCAAGCGGCGACGCTTGCCGCCGAGGCGGAGCACGAGAGGCGGCGAGCCCGGTACATGGCTGGCTGCCTGCCACGTCGCGCACTGGTCAACCTCCATAGGGACGGCAGCGGTCGTGGCAGGAGCCTGTGCAGCACCCGCAGGCAGCATGCTACCCGCCCTGCCGGGTGTGCAGTCATCATCATGGGGACAGGGCCCAGCAACAGCGGACGGCTCGTCGCCGCAAGGCATGGGAGCGCCGCACCCGACTCGGTCAGGCAGTATGGGAGCCTGCCTGCCGAGCCGGTCGTCACAGGTACGTGAGACATCAACAACATCATAAACAATTGCTGCAGTGGACGCGGCCTCGCTGATGGTAGCGTGCATGCCCGCGGGAGCGGCCGCGGCCACTTCAGTGTATCCAGCTCGGGCAGGCAGCTCCGTAGCTACATGCCCGAGCCGGTCGTCATCACTTGAGGAGGAGGCAGTGTCGTCATCGGGGGCCCCGCCGTCGCTGCTTTCGCTATCCTCTGGGTCGCTGGGGCCTTGGAAGGCACCCAGTGCGCGAGCCGTTGCGGCTACGAGCGCGGACCCGAGCTGCACCCGGTCGGGCAGCATGCGTGCCGCCCTGCCGGGTGGAGGAGCAACAATCGCGGAGGCAGGAGCAGCGTCGGGGGCCTGGCCGGCGAGTGGGAGGGCGGGGGGAGCCATGTCGCGTGTCGTCGTACCCGGGCAGGGCGTCTGTGGGCCCGGGGAGCCGATGCTCTGAAGTAGTCCATGCTGGAACCGGTCAGGCAGCATGCCGCTCACCCTGCCGGGCCCAGCATCAGCAATCGCAGTGTCTTGAGGCCTGCCTACGTCTAGACAGACCATCGTAGCAGCGTAGGTGTCCTTGGTGCACGTCCTAGAACCCGGGTGCTGCCTGCAGGCACCCAGGGAGCCGTCGCTCTGTAGTCCTTGAGCATTCCGTGGCGCTACCCCATCGGGCAGCGTAACACCTGCCCTGCCGGGTCGGAAATCAAACGCTATCGAGTCTTGAGGGGCAGCGGCGGGCGCAGCAGCAGCCAGGGGGTCTTGGGTAGCCAAACGGCGCGCGAGGGAAGCCGATGGTGGTCTTGGGGCCCCATGGGGGCCGGCACACTCAGTGCAGTCGTGAGTCGTAGCCAGTGGCGCGGTGGCAGCAAAGTTTCCTTGAGCGACGGCGACCCCAATACTTAGACCAAGTATAGGCCCGAAGGTACCTTCACGGTTACCAACGGGGGGGTCGCCGGGCCTCTTCCCAGTCAATGATGGCACCCAAAATCGAGGCCGGAGACCGGGGGGCCTCGCGCGCGACAGAGACCTCTGTGCGCGCGGAAACTTGGTAGGCACTGGGCGACGCGGGATCCAAACCCGTGCCCGAAGTTGCGGCGCCTAACTCCGCGTCATCACCGCGAGGCGATGGCGCGCGTAGACGCACTCGGGGCCTATTTTGGGGCCCCGGAAGGGAATTATTGGAGGTACCAGTGTGTACCCCTACCCCTTGTCCGACGGCGATCGTTCCCAGGCAGTTTCGTCCCACCCGTTCCGCAAAGAAGGGTGACGAACTTTCTGGGAACAGTCTTAAATCAGACTGCCCCGCCTCTTCCCCAGTGACCAGTTGCGTGTCATCTGGGAGAGAGGGCATTTCGTCGTGTCCCACTCCAGTTTCGTCATCAGGCGACGCGTCATAGAAAGATGCATCGCTGGCGAGACTGGAGTGGCTGTCCGTAGAGCACTCACTATCGCTAGATAGAGAGCGCTCTCGAGGCTCCCAACCCGGCCACCAAAATCGCATAGAAGGGGCGATAGTGGAAAGGCCAGGGCAGAAAGGACAGATAGACAAACGGTATAGAACGAACTAAGATAGAACGAACAAAAGTAGAAAAGAAGCAAGTTTATTGTAGTCGGCCTCACGAGGGTTAGGTGTAAGCCACTCGGAGACCTTCCTAAAATAGTATCGCTACTATATCAGGATGTCCAAAAACGAATGTGAAAAAGACCGACAAAAGTCGGAAACCAGTTTTCACACTGATTAGAACAGATACTACACTTGATCTTAGCTAAAAAGCCTAGAAGGTATGGCTTGAAAGCAATACAGAGGACAGAATGCAATACTGTCGATACAATAGCGAATGTTGACAATAGGAATTTGAATGTTACATTAAATTCGAAATGCGAAAGTGATATCTCAAACAATGAAATAGGGCAACACATACTAGGAATCTAACGTCAGTTTTTGGTGCTGCACGCGTGTATGTTGATAGTGTGTGTACGTTGTGAATGATGTAAAGTAATCATGACAATGCGATATGTAAAAGATGTTGAAAAGGTAAATGCAAGTTGGCCTCACGGGAGAAAGGTGTAAGCCCCCGGAGACCGCCCCGTCTTAGTAGCAAGCTACTTCGACAGGATGTCCAAAAATGAATGTGAAAAAGACCGACAAAAGTCGGAAACCAGTTTTCACACTGATTAGAACAGAAAAGTGTGTGTATTACCGTCTGGTTAGTCTATTTCTAAAGGGTATAGAAATACCCAATAGAAACTATGTGGTGTGTAAGTTAGGTACAGGTTGCACCACATAGAGCTGAACTATAACGTACCAGAAGGATTTCAGGGCGGTTCCCTACGTGGGTATGGCCCTGTCGGCCACTATGGGCCCGAGTTCCGACTAGCGGCGGCCTTGATGTGACGGAGTCCCCCCGGTCTCCGTCACCCGACTGCCCCTTGCATCTCGTCTTGAGCGTCCATGTCTTCGTCCTTGGACTTGGTCTCGACTTGAACCTTGAACGTCACCTTGGCCCTGCTGCCTCGCGCGGTGTTGGCTGCAATGTAGATTCCATATGCGGCGGCTGGACTTAATGCACTCAGCAGAAAGGTGCCTGTCCAGCCGCTTCGCATCGCGCTTCAGCACGCCAAGTTGCTCGGTGTAAACCGTAAGGTTACCACCGGCGACTGCACCAAGCGAACCATAAACGAGCGCCGAAAGGTGAACCGTCCAACCTTGACGCTCGAGATGGCGCTTGACGCAGTCGTACTTGGCGCGCTTGAGCGCAGCAATCCGCGCGAGCGACGACGTCCTCGGGTCGTCTGTAGCTTGGTCTTCAAAGGCCACAGCCAGATCTACAACCGACACCGAACGTGTGGTGTGGTTGTAGACCTGCAAGTCCGGCCGCAGAGCAGGTCCGGGGAGCGAGGGTACGGTTTGGTTAACCCTCAGCTCAACCCTTTCCTTCCGATCACCCGCCGACGACGCTATCGCCCGTTCAATGATCGTCAGAGCGTCGTCGTGGCGGGTGCGGACTGCATCCATGGTGCCGGCACAGTGATTCAACACATGTGCCAGCGTCTCGGTCCTTGAGCAGCCAGGGAATCGACACTTGTCGTGCGTCCGAAGACGCCGGCGCTTCAAGACACTGTGGGTATCCAGCTGGTTGAGACGACCACCCACCGCAAAGCGGTAGTCGCTCTCCCAGAGACCACGGGGCCGCGAGAGGAAGGCGCTGCCAGCACCAACCAAAGGTGCGAGCAGCCTTCCCTTGGTCCTTCATCGCGGCCCATCGCTTCCAGTGCTTGTTCTTGAGGTGCAGCTTCACGTGCCGAAGGACATCCCGATGGTCCAACCAACCGTCGTGGTGGGGCACGCGAAGCTGCAACCTCTTGGCCGGCGTCCCCGTCTCCTCCACCGCTGGCGCCATCTCAAATTTGAGGCCGAAGCGGTGAAGGTGACCCCGGACGTCGAACCACAGCGACCCAATGTCCGCATTCCGTCGCTTGGGCGGCGCTGGGTCCGACGCCCCCAGCTTACTGTTGAGAAGGAGCTCGCCCAGCTTTTCCTTACGGTCCTTCCACAGCACGACATCCAACTTGTAGCGGGCCTCTGCAATTTGACGGAGCTGCTGGCGGGCAATGCGCTGGGTGGAAGGGTCAGAAGAGTGCAACATCTGCCACCCATGCGCCACTTGAAGTGCCCGTGCAGCTCCGTCAAGGGCAGAAGCCCTAAACCTCCACGAGAAACAGGAGCGTAAAGAAACGCTGTCGTAGCGCTAGTCGGCAGCCGCAGCAGGTGGCGGAGGCCGTGAACAAGGTGGCGATCGAAGCCCTCCAGCTGCTGTGCGAACGGTCGCAAGTGCCGGAGGGCGTACTCGACGCGCGGGTAAAGTACACCTTGACCGCCTTGACCACCTGCCACGGCGCCAGCCCGGACTGCAGCAGTGCCGTCGCATCATGCTTGAGCTGGGCGATAGCTGGGCCCAGCTCGACGCGACGGCGCACATGGTCGAAGCCATCCCCGATCCCCAAGTACTGGTAAGAGTCGGAGGCGCTGAGCGCGGGGATCGGGGTGCCGTTCAGCTGCAGCCCGAGGTCGCTGGTCTGGTGGAGACCACGCACATCTCGCTGGACTGACATGGTGCTGCACTTCAGCGAGTTAGCTTTCATGCCAGTCCAGCGTAGGAAGTCGTGCACCACCGAGTGTTGACGCTGGATACCGTCCACGGTGCTGCTGAATGTCTTCAAGTCGTCTGCGTAAGCAGCAGCACCGGGACGGTCTTCGCTTGACAGCTTCACTCCAGTGTCCGGCAGCGACTTGAGCGCGTGAAGCAGCGGGGCGATCGCGGCGGTGAAGAGATGGGGGCTGAGTGGGCAGCCTTGAAACACCCCCACCTTCAACGCGATCGGTGCCGTGGTCCCATCCACAGCGTTACCAATTGTAAACGCTGCGTCTGCGTAGAGACCACGGCAACAAGCGACAAACTCGGGCGGAACACCCTGCCGTTGTAGCGCTTCCCATAGCAAGTCGTGTGGCACGCTACCAAAAGCGTTGGCAAAGTCGTACCACACGACATGCAACTCTTGATGCTTGCGGCGGGCTTGGTCGACGAGCATGGCTGCGAGGAAGTTGTGTTCCCCGCAGCCGTTCATGGCTCGAAAGCCCTTCTGCGCGTCGGCATGGCGACCGTTGACGTCGAGCCAGCGCGTAAAGCGACGCGACAAGACGCCGGCGTACAACTTGTAGATGGCCTGCTGCAAGCAGATCGGCCGCCAATTGGATGGGTCGAGCCGATCGCCCTTCTTGTGCAGCAGGCGCACCACGCCAACCTTCCAGCTCTGCGGCACACGCTTGGACTGCCAGCAGCGCGCGAACGCCGCATGCAGGGCGGGCAGAAGCTGGGCCGTGAACATCTTGAAGATGTCATAGCCGACACCGTCCAAGCCAGGGCTGGAACTGCCACGCGCACGCTGCACTTGGTCCTCGATCTCATGCGAAGACGGCCCATCCGTGAGCAGCGCCATGTCAACTGTCGCTGGAGGCAGGCGGTCCATGGCCGCGCGGAACGAGGCTCCGACTGGCGCCATAGGGTCGAAGGCACCCACCGGGGTGTTCACCTCGGTAAAGAACCGGTGCAGGCTCTCCCCTGGAATAGGGCAGGTGCCTTCCTCCACGTCCACACAGTCCAGCGGAGGCGCAGAGGTGCTGGCTGGCGTAGCCGCAACCTCATCTGCCTCGCGCTTGGACCGAGCCGTCGCCAGGATGCTCTCAACACACACCTTCTCCGAAGTCTCGAAGAGGTGGCGGAGGCGTTGCTGCGAAATGGAGGAGGTGATCCTCCCCACACGACGACGTGCCTTGACCACAACCTTGCGGTTGCCCGGCTCGCTACGCTGGACAGCATGCATGGCATCCAGAGCCTCGTCAAGCCGGTGCTCACGGTGATGACGTGTCACACGGGGCGGACGTGTGCGCCGGCGCCCCATGCCACCACCGGAGTGACCACGGCGACGACGTGAACGGCTGCCACCTTGGCGCTGACCGTCTGGCGTCACGGCCTGCGTTGGACCTTGGTGTGGCTCCGGTCGCCTGGCAGGATGCACGTCTGGATGGTGCAGCTGCGGGCGCTGGGAGTGAGGTTGGGCGGGGTGCTGTGTCTGGGAGTAAGGCTGCAGTTGATCGTACAGCGCATACGGGAGGGCTGTGATGTAGCCCTCCGCCTCCTCCCAGTCATCAGCATCCGTTATCTTGGCAGCTAGCTTCGCTGCTAGCCGCTCCACCAACTTGCCCGCAGCCTCTCCCTCGTCTTCGTCTAGCTGCCGTAGGCGCAGTCGCGACCGGCGCTGAGGCACTGCATCAGGCCCTACACTCATCGCTGCATACACCTCGCCATCATCGATGTCCCCCATGTCATCAGCATCTGTGGGGCTCGGGGGATCATCAGTGCCCACCGCGACATGCGGTGTGGCAGGCGGAGGTGCAGCCGCGGGTGCAGGGGCCGTCGTGGAGGTGGAGGTGCATCCATGTCCATCGGTATGCACCCCACACTCCAACGTGGTCGTGCGGCGGTCAAGAGCGGCATTGGCGAGGCGGTCGGCATGACCATTCGCCTGCCTGTCGATGGGATGGAGCGTGGCCTGCTCCATCCGCGCCAGCTCCGCCTTGACCGCAATGCGCAGTTACCTCAGGCGCTTGTCGCGTGTGGCGAAGATGCCACGCACCTGCTGGATGACAAGAGTGCTGTCACCCTCGATCCGTAGGCGCGTGACACCGTGGTCGGCGGCAGCCCGTGTGCCGAGCAGCAGCGCGGTGTACTCGGCCGTGTTGTTGGTTTCGCCGCTGCTCGGCATGTAGTGGGAACACGTCCACACTACGGGGCCGCTGGGCTTGAATAGCGCAGCGCCGGCGCCGCCAGGCCCAGGGTTTGCCCGGCAGGCACCGTCAAAGCGCAGCAGCTACTCGCCGTCCATGTCTGGGTCGTCGTTGACGTCCTCGTCGTCGCTGTCACCAGCCTTGGTCTCCTCCTCCTCCGTTAACTCTAGCGGGAGGAGACGGTCGGCAATCCTTGACACCACCACGCTGCGAGGCAGTGGTGGACCCCAACGTGGGGCGGGAACCTCGGAGAGGCGGGACGCAACGCGATAAGCAACCAGCTGCCTTGGGAGCGGGGGGCTCCATCTTGACTCTGTTGACCTGTCATGAGTGGTGCTCGACTGTGGGGGGACACAGTGAGCACCGGAGGGTCTTGGCGGGGCAGCACGGGTTCGGTGTCGGCCACCGTAGCGGTGGCATTGACTGCACCAGCAGTGGGGCTGAGGTCCCCGGCTGCTGATGCGGTCGCAGCCGAAGTGTCGCGGAGGCTGGCACACGCGCGAGCGTGGTTAGCTGCAGCCAGCCTCGACACGAAAGGTGTGCCGCACGCACAACCTGCCGAGAAGCGGTCGAGGAAGGAGATACGTCGGTGCCGTGAGTCCCTGTGGCGCTTGAGCGAAGCAAAGCTTGACGCCGTATATGCACACAGCGTGCACGTGAAGCGCTGCGCGTTGTGGGCATACACGGCCAGGACGGAGGCCGGGAGTGCGCTAGCCGTGGATGGCCAAAGCGCTGAGTTCATGGGGCCGGCCTCAACGTCCTCGAGCAGCAGTTGCTCGGCTTGCTCGCGCGGGTCGTCGTCACCGTCATCGCTCAAGCGGCGACGCTTGCCGTTGAGGCGGAGCACGAGAGGAGGAGACGGCGGAGTAGATGGCTTGCTGCCTGCCACGTCGCGCCCTGGTCCACCTCCATGGGGACGGCTGCGGTCGTGGCAGGAGCCTGTGCAGCACCCACGGGCAGCATGGTACCCGCCCTGCCGGGTGTGCAGTCATCATCATGGGGACAGGGCCCAGCAACAGCGGACGGCTCGTCGCCGCAAGGCATCGGAGCGTCGCACCCGGCTCGGTCGGGCAGTATGGGAGCCTGCCTGCCGAGCCGGTCGTCACAGGTACGTGAGACATCAACAACATCATAAACAATTGCTGCAGTGGACACGGCCTCGCTGGTGGTAGCGTGCATGCCCGGGGAGCGGCCGCGGCCACTGCAGTGTATCCAGCTCGGGCAGGCAGCTCCGTAGCTACATGCCCGAGCCGGTCGTCATCACTTGAGGCGGTGGCAGCGTCGTCGTCCATCGAGGAGGCATGTCGTCGTCGGGGGCCCCGCGGTCGCTGCTTTCGCTATCCTCTGGGTCGCTGGGGCCTTGAAGGCACCCAGTGCGCGAGCCGTTGCGGCTACGAGCGCAGACCCGAGCTGTACCCCGGTCGGGCAGCATTCTGCCGCCCTGCCGGGTGGAGGAGCAACAATCGCGGGGTCCTCGAGCGGCGGCGGGGGGCTTCCGGAGCGAGCGGGAGGGCGGTGGGGACCCGTCGCGCACGCGTCTGGACCCGGGGCTGCCTGTGGGCACCCGGGGAGCCGTCGCTCTGTAGATGTCCATGCTGGACCCGGTCGGGCAGCATGCCTGCCGCCCTGCGGGCCCAACATCATCGCTGCAGTGTCTTGGGCCGCCCCACGTCTGGGAGGGCGCTCCGCAACGTGTAGATGCCTAATGCACGTCTTGGTACCCGGGGCCGCATGCTTGCGCCGGGAGCCGTCGCTCTGCAGTTGTCCGTGTCGGCGATACCGGGTCAGGCAGAGTAACGCCCGCCCTGCCGGGTATGCCAACAATCGCCTCTTCATCCTGCGAGGCCACGGCAGCGGGGGAGCGTCCGAGAGCCGGGGAAGCCAAACGGCGCGCGGGAGGAGGCGGCGGCGGCATCTTGAGGCCCCGACGGGCCGACGGCGCCATCTTGGCCCGTGGAGTCTTGATCGTTGTCTTGATGCGTTTCGAGAATAGGGCGACCCCTATGCTGAAAACAAGTATAGTGTCGAAGGTACCTGCGGAGGTACCAACGGGGGGTCGCCGGGCCTCTTCCCGGTCAATGATGGCACCCAAAATCGGGGCCGGAGACCGGGGGACCTCGCGCGCGACAGAGACCTCTGTGCGCGCGGAAACTTGGTAGGCACTGGGCGATGCGGGATCCAAACCCGTGCCCGAAGTTGCGGCGCCTAACTCCGCGTCATCACCGCGAGGCGATGGCGCGCGTAGACGCACTCGGGGCCCATTTTGGGGCCCCGGAAGGGAATTATTGGAGGTACCAGTGTGTACCCCTACCCCTTGTCCGACGGCGACCGTTCCCAGGCAGTTTCGTCCCACCCGTTCCGCAAAGAAGGGTGACGAACTTTCTGGGAACAGTCTTAAATCAGACTGCTCCGTCTCTTCCCCAGTGACCAGTTGCGTGTCATCTGGGAGAGGGGGAATTTCGTCGTGTCCCACTCCAGTTTCGTCATCAGGCGACGCGTCATAGAAAGATGCATCGCTGGCGAGACTGGAATGGCTGTCCGTGGAGCACTCACTTTCGCTAGATAGAGAGCGCCCTCGAGGCTCCCAACCCGGCCACCAGAAGCGCATAGAGATGCGTTGGTGGAAAGGCCAGGGCAGAAGGACAGATAGACAAAAAGATCGAACAAAATAGAACGAAGTAGAAAAGAACAAGGTATTTATTACGTATCGTTGGCCTCGCGAGGGTTAGGTGTAAGCCACTCGGAGACCTTCCTAAAATAGTATCGCTACTATATCAGGATGTCCAAAAACGAATGTGAAAAAGACCGACAAAAGTCGGAAACCAGTTTTCACACTGATTAGAACAGATACTACACTTGATCTTAGCTAAAAAGCCGAGAAGGTATGGCCTGAAAGCAATACAGAGGACAGAATGCAATACTGTCGATACAATAGCGAATGTTGACAATAGGAATTTGAGGATGTTACATTAAATTCGAAATGCGAAAGTGATATTTCAAACAATGAAATAGGGCAACACATACTAGGAATCTAACGTCAGTTTTTGGTGCTGCACGCGTGTATGTTGATAGTGTGTGTACGTTGTGAATGATGTAAAGTAATCATGACAATGCGATATGTAAAAGATGTTGAAAAGGTAAATGCAAGTTGGCCTCACGGGAGAAAGGTGTAAGCCCCCGGAGACTGCCCCGTCTTAGTAGCAAGCTGACTTCGACGGCGGTGCGTACTGCAGTGCAGGTTCCAGATGCGGCGGCTGGACTTAATGCACTCAGCAGAAAGTTGCCTGTCCAGCCGCTTCGCATCGCGCTTCAGCACACCAAGTTGCTCGGTGTAAACCGCGAGGTTACCACCGGCAACAGCGCCAAGCGAGCCATAAACGAGCGCCGAAAGGTGTACCGTCCAACCTTGACGCTCGAGATGGCGCTTGACGCAGTCGTACTTGGTGCGCTTGAAGGCAGCCACCCGCACTAGCGCGGAGCTGTTCGCATCAGCACTCGCTTGTTCTTCGAACGCTACGGCCAGGTCCACCACAGCCACCGTCTTCTTGCTGTGGTTGAACAGCTGCTAGATCTGGCCGCAGCTCTGGTCCCGCAAGTCCAGGCACCATTTGGTTGACGCGAAGCTCTACCCGGTCTGTCTGTCCACCAGACCTCGAAAGTAGAGCCCGCTCGATGACCTTGAGAGCGTCATCGTGTCGGGCACGAGCAGCGTCCATCGTGCCAGCACAGTGGTTTAGCACATGTGCCAACGTCTCCGAGCGTGAGCATCCAGGGTGTCTGCATTTGTCGTGCGCCCGGAGACGTCGACGCTTGAGCACACTGTGTGTGTCCAGCTGGTTCAAGCGGGCGGTCACTGCGAAGCGGTAGTCGGATTCCCACATGCCTCGCGGCCGAGTAAGGAGCCCACTACCAGCTCCACCATGGGTCCGTGCCGTCTTGCCTTGGTCGCGCATGGCCGCCCACTTGGTCCAGTGCTTGTTCTTCAAGTGTAGCTTCACGTGCCGCAGGACCGAACGATGGTCAAGCCACTTAGCGTGGTGCGGCACGCGAAGCTGGAAGCTCACCGCAGATTCACCTGTATCCACACACGCTGGAGATGTCTCCAGCTGTAGACCAAAGCGCTGCAGATGACCGCGCACGTCAAACCACAGCGACCCAATGTCAGCGTTACGACGTTTGGGTGGGGCTGGGTCTGACGAACCGAGCTTGCTGTTGAGGAGGAGCTGACATAGCTCCTCCTCGCGGTCCTTCCATGCTTGACCATCCAGCTTGTATCGGGCGTCAGCTATCTGACGAAGCTGCAGGCGGGCGATACGTTGGGTGGCAGGGTCAGGTGAGTTCAGCATCTGCCACCCATGAGCCACTTGCAACGCACCATGCAGCTCCGTCAGCGGCAACAAACCCAAACCACCACGTGACACCGGCGTGTAGAAGAACGCGGTGGTTGAGTTTGTTGGTAGCCGCAGCAGGTGGCGTAGGCCGCGCACAAAGTGGCGATCGAAGCCCTCCAGCTGTTGAGCAAACGGTCTCAGGTGCCGGAGGGCGTAGTCGACCCGCGGGTAAAGGTACACCTTCAACGCCTTCACCACCTGCCATGGTGCCAATCCAGATTGAAACAGTGCTGTCGCGTCGTGCTTGAGCTGCGTAATAGCTGGAGCAAGCTCGACGCGACGGCGGACGTGGTCAAAACCATCCCCGATCCCCAAGTACTTGTACGTTTCATCCACGGAAAGTGAGGGGATCGGGGTACCATCCAGTTCGAGTCCAATGTCTTGAACTTGTAAAACGTAGCGACTGTTGCGCTGAACCGACATGGTGCTGCACTTCAGTGGGTTGGCAGCTATGCCGGTCCAACGCAGGAAGTCAACCAAAAGAGTGTGCTGGCTCTTGATGCCGTCCTCGGTGCCGCTAAAAATCTTCAAATCATCGGCATACGCGGCGGCACCGGGACAGTCATCACCTGACATCTGCACTCCTGTGGCCGGCAGCCGCTGCAACGCAAAGAGCAGCGGGCCGATCGCAACGTTAAACAACTGCGGACTCAGTGGACAGCCTTGGAATACACCCACTTGCTGCCGGATCGGAGCTGTGGGGCCATCAACGGCGTTGCCCACCACAAAAGCTGCTTGATCGTAGAGACCCTTGCACATTTCCACGTAGGTGGTGGGGACTCCCAGGCGACGAAGCGAGTCCCACAGCAACGCGAAGGGCACACTACCGAAAGCGTTCTTCAGGTCATACCAGACCTGGAACAGTGGGCGACGCTTGCGACGAGAGTTGTCAACTAACATGGCCGCGAGGAAATTGTGTTCCCCGCAGCCGTTCACCACCCGAAACCCTTTCTGACCCGGGGCGTGCCGTGCATTGACGTCCATCCATCGTACGAGACGCCGCGCAAGCACGCCAGTGTAAAGCTTGTAAATGGCTTGCTGGAGGCATATGTGCCTCCAGTTCGCCGGGTCATCACGTGGGCCCTTCTTGTAGAGCAGCCTCACGATGCCAACCTTCCAGCTATGGGGAACCATCTTCTCCACCCAGCAGCGCTTGAAAATTGCCGTCAGGACTGTCAGCAGCTGTGGACCGAAGTGCTTGTACACGTCAAAGCCGACGCCGTCAAGCCCAGGACTGGAAGCACCACGCGCATGTTGAAGCTGATCTTCAATGTCGTCAGCAGTCGGCGCCGCAGTAAGCAGCCCCTTGAGTCGCGAGGCAGCAGGAATCTGGGCCATGGCCGTGCGAAAAGCATCACCAACTGGAGCATCCACGTCAAAGGCCCGTCGGGGCGTATTAACTCCATCGAAATATCGCCACAGGTCATCACTGGATATGGGGCAGACTCCATCATCCACTTCATCCGTGGCACTGGTCACCCCAGCCTCCAACCCCGTTGCTGCCTGCGTGCGGCGAGCATTGGAGAGGATCGCATCCACACAAGCCTTCTCATCGGTGTCGAATTTGTGGCGCAGGCGCTGCTGGTCCAGCGCCGAGTTAATGCGCCCGACGCGGCGGCGGGCCTTGCTGATGGCCGGGCGGTTGCTTGGGGCGCTGCGTTGCACCGCATGGAGCTCGTCCAGGGCCTCGTCAAAACGGTGCTCTCGATTGTGGCGGGTTACCCGCGGTGGGCGTCCACGATGCTTGGGCTTAGCGCCCGACCGGCCAGTGCCACGACGGCGCCGACGGGTGCCACATCGCTGTCCATCGGACTCGACAGGCCCAGGTCGCGGCTTATGTGGAGGGCCGAGAGGCTTGCCTCCCGCCTGTGCGTGCCGGCGTTCGCAAGACCGACTCTGGCCACGAGGTGGGACCTGGGTACAGCTCGAGGCCTGGGAGTACGGTTGCAATTTGTCATACAAGGTGTACGGGAGGGCAGTAATGTAGCCCTCCACCGACTCCCAGTCGTCAGCATCCGTGATCTTGGCAGCGAGTAGAGCTCCAAGCCGCTCCACCAGAGCACGAGCTGCTTCATCTTCTTCGTCTGTGAGCTTGCGTAGGCGAGGCCGTCGTTGCGGAACCGCATCGGGACCAATACGCATGGCCGCGTATACCTCACCGTCATCAATGTCCTCCATGGACTCGACATCGTCCAGCCCCTCAAGGTCGTCATCAGGAGTAAGGGGTGCTGGGGGCGGGGGCACCGGTGTGGCAAAGTCACTACTCAAATTTTGTACGAGGATCGGTGGCCACACCTTTAAAGCGCCGCTTACTGGTGGAAAAGGAGGCCATGAGACTCGGCGATCCAATACGGAGGTGGAAGATGATCTTAACGGGATCGGCGAACCGGTCCAACTGTCGTTAGACTAATGGGAGTGAATCGACCTGGGACGGAGCGATCTGGAACGATTTACATGGAACAATCTGGGACAAGGATCTGGGACCGGGTGATGGGATATGACTCTGCGACGAAGGTGTAACACCTTGCAGAATGTTATGGGGCGATTTGGAACCAGACTTCGGGATGAAGTCATACAGCTCATTGGAATGCCGGTCAAGAAGAAGTATACGTACATTGAAGCAGGCTAAGATCAGATCGCAGATCGGCATGTTGTGGCAACGGTTTGTTGGAGAATTGACACATCTGGGACAAGGTGACTCCCAAAGTGCATCTGGGACCAGGTGGTACAGGTCGGTGAATCGGCAAAGAAGGTGCAACACCATACGGATCGGTGATACTCTTTACCGATCCTAAATTGGGAGTACTGATTTTGGTTAATTATACGCCGATCTGGAAGTTTTGCATACTCAGGGGAGTCAAGGAAACCGATGTCGAGACGTATGAATGAAGTGGTCGATTGGATAACACTGGAGGATGATATTGAAGCACGTGTGAGGAGATGAAAAAAGTGTTAATTGCCGATTTAGACCGGATCGACCTCCAACATCTCGATATTGGATGACAGATCGGTCATGTTTCACACTGATCATGAATATATGGTTGATGAAGACACTGGATCATGTGGAATATACTTGGTAGAGGTCACTAAGTGATGTCAAGAAGTTTCATGCCGAAAGAGCCAGTGGAAGCTGTCCGAATTGACGTCGCAAAATGGATTTAGACGCCTTCGGCATTTGGGCACTATTTTGGGCTTTTGGGTACCAAAAATGAGTATTTGGTACCCCATTTGGGATTTGGTCCTCTTTTGGCGTTCAGGTACGGTATCGGGAATATTGGCGCTATCATTGGAGTACAGGGCACGAAATTTCGACACGTGGCAAGGGGGCGATCCAGATTCAAGGCGATATCGGTTTGAAGAGTGACCTATAGTTAAGAATAGGCTTAAGGGTAGGTTGGATAGTAATTTGGTTGGTTAATAAACAGACTTGAACTCTACTTCTTCTGCTCACGACGCACGTAATCCTCCCCTCTTCTCCAGGCAAGATTGATTTGGCTTCCCCGGCGGGTTAAGGCACGCGTGTTACAGGGACACAGAAGACCGATCTTGGATTGTTGGCCAAGATCGAGAAGAGCGATCCCGGGATATCTGGCCCGGATCGATCAAGTACTCACACTCAACTCAACTGCTAGGGGTAGCAGCACACAACGGAAAAGGAAAAGGATTTTGGACACAGGATCGCGAGACGGCTCAAGTGGTCAGAAGATCTGGACAAGGCGTTCAAGACAAGACCGAGCAGGATCGAAGCGATCCCCTGGACAGATCGACACGTTTCATTTTGGCGAAACAAGACACCGATCTACCCAAATTGCGCACTTCCGGCAAGATCGGCCGATCCCAAGGCAAGATTGACGCAAGACTTTTATTTGCTGAGTGAAGATTTCTGCACAGCAAAGACCCCGATCTCGAGGACAAATCAAGATCGGTGCGATCCAAGATCGGGATCGCAGAACCCCGTTCGTGGTGTGAAGATTTCCGCACCGGAAGCGGACCCTCAACCCAACCTCTCAGCGATATCGACATCTCCCAAGGCCGTTACGAAGAGCTCAAGCCAGCCCAACCGACGGGCACACAAGGTGAGCACAAGGTCATACAACAAGGCACGGATCGGAGTACCCCCTCCGTGAGTCGGCAAGTCTGGGCAAGTGGAAGATCGACACTCATACAAGCAATTTTGTGAGATCGACTTCACCACAATGGTGCGCGTGCCCGGATCTTCTGAGGCCTCTGGATTTCACCGTGAGTCCACTGCAAAGATGTCAAGATTAAGCAAGAACCTGGGATTGAAGTGTCAGCGACAAAGGTATCGACGCAGACACGCAGAAGCACAAGATCCTCAGATCATCAGAGTTTTGGGAGGGGCTCTGATGAAATGAAAATGAAAGAGGAAGATCGAGAGATCAATCTGGAAGAAAAACCTTAATTCCCTCCTAGGGTCCCTTCGGGGGCCACCGCAGATCGCTCTGCAAAGAGCGATCTGCTGGATGAAAATCCAATGGTGAAAACCAAATCGGCGAAAGCCAAACCTATATCTTAGTCGATAGATCGCCCGACCTCAAGCCGAAGAGCACAATCGCGAGATCGACCACATCAGAACGATCCGCGACGAGATCGATGGGATTAGATGTCAAAGATCGCCAGATCGGCCGAACCGTGCAATCGAAGATCGGAGCCAAAGAGGAATACGATGAAACACCAGATAAGATCGCGATGCCAAAGACGGAATATAACCCAATAAATATCGCGTCCATCGAGAAGGAGACGACGGGTGAAACGCGGGAGCGTGCAAAACGGCAGTACTATTATGGCCAGTTGAAGACGCTGCTCAAGACGGACCCAGTGTTCAAGATATTAAGGCCCAAGGTGATTGGTCATCTGGATAGGCCGATCTCGGTCCCACTTCCCGGGACCAACAAAGTCGACGAGATCAATGTGATTTTGCAGATGTTGGATGACATGGGTATCTGCCCTGACGCTTTTGATGGAGATGAACTGCTGAGTTGCAGCTTGGAACAGTTGAAGGACGCGGCGGATGAGTTTGTAGAGATCATGATAATGCTGGTGGGCAAAGCGAATACTCCTGAAGACAAGATCGGGACGCCCTCGGGCTCGCTCTGTAAACACCCCGCGGGATCGCCCCGCTACGCCTCGGATGACTCCGAGAGCGAGTCAGATGGATCCATCAGCATTCGTCAGATGTCTCTAGGACCATCGGGTGGAAGGTTTTTAAAGGACAAGATCGGACAAGCCAAGATCGACGCCTATAAGGGACAAGCCAAGAGCAACATGCCGCAGAGATCGGCCAGTACCCGCACTGGGCTGGAGGATCAAGAAGAGGGCGATCTAAGTCGGTACTTCAATTCAGCCATGAAGAAGTACGAGGCGGAGCAACGTACAGCTCAGCGAATGAATCGACAGCCAAACCGCTACCCAGATCGACGTACTTTGCTCCAACCTTCACACGAAAGCCTTGACATGCCGGATGTGGAGATGGAGTCGGTGGGGTCGGACATTTACCAACATATCCATGAGGCGGCGGAATACGACCCGGATGATCTATGGATGCCCGAACCTTGGCGCCCTCAAGTAGCCGCGACCGGTGCGACTACCGGAGGGGGAAACATCACGCAGAGGATCAGAATCTCAGCGATTTCTGAGCTGAAAGAATTCTCAGGGAAGGATCGGGAAGAAGACAAAGCACGGACCTGGATCGGCAAAGTGAAATCAGCGTTTATCCGGGACCAAGCACCGGACGAGGAGAGATGTCTGGTCTTCGGTGATCTCATGGTGGGCCCAGCCCGCTACTGGTACCGACAGCTGAGTAGATCGACGAGATTCAATTGGAAAGAATTGATGAACAGTTTTCTTGTGGAGTATGCGGACACGGGATGTCCGCGAGCAGGCAGTACTACCATGCAAAGAAACGATCGGAGGAAGATCCTTTACAGTACCTGTATCGGCTTAATGTGATGGGAATGCAGGCGAAGATACCGGTGATGACTGGATTGCCAGCTGCGCGCAAGGAACATGTCAATCATTTCATTGACACCTTGGACGACCCCGATCTGTCCAATCAATTGCTACTGCTGAATGTAGAAGACGCGGAGGCCATGCAAAAGACACTGCACGGATATCAACAAGGAGATCGCGTCAAGGGAAAGTGATGATGGGATCGTCCAAATTCAGGCAGAAGGGAACTCAGGGTCCAGCGCTGTCTAAGCCTGCACGAGCGGTAAGGATGGTCCGTACCGAGGACGTCTGCAGCGAGTCAGGATCGGACACCTGCGGATCGGATTTGGAAGATCGATTGAGATCGATCCATGTGGCTGCTACTGCGGATCGCCGTTCATCCCCCAATGACGTTGCAGCAAACGCGAGATCGGTCGACCCGAACACTCGTCAAGACTATCAAGATCGCAATATGCCATTGAAGCCGTGTACTCATTGCGGATCGACCAAGCATGGAGATCTCGGTTGCTGGAAGCGGCTCACTTGCCAGAAGTGTGGGCGTAAAGGACACCCCTCTGACAATTGTTTTTTTCGTGTGTCGTGCTTGCGGTGAGATGCACGACCCGGGGAAGTGTCCCATGGAGGAGTTCTATAACATGATCCGTCAGTGGTACGTCCCGAATAAGCATGCGGGGATGCTACCAGAGAAGGCCGAGAAGATGTTAAACTAGGACGCTCGCCAGGTTTGAATCTGGTACGAGCCGAGCGTTCTGGGCTCTGCATTATTGCATACGTGGAAAAAAAAGAAGACAGATCGCGAGAGTAAGCAAGATATTGACGTGGAAACAAATATATCTCGTTCGAAGTTAAAACGTGTCGCTTTCGTGTCCCATCTGAAGCGGATCGATGAGTACTCACGATCTAAACCAGCGATGGAGATCGAGCTCGCTTATGGTGAATCTCGCGGATACTGGAAACATTATTCACCCGGGAAGTGGTTCAAACAAGCGAAAGCCGTTGGCAAGATCAACAACGTAAAAGCTACTCTGTTATTTGATTCTGGTGCTGAAGTGTCGATCATTGACACCACCTTTGCTCGTGAGGTCGGTTGCAATATTGACGAAAGTCAACGACAAGAATGTATCGGGATTGGAGAAACTCCGTACATGACGGTAGGACGTACCAAGATCAAGGTGACCCTCGCGGGATCGCTGGTATACTATTTCAATGTATGGGTAGGCGATCTGGCAGGGCAAGAAGCGATTCTGGGTATGGATTTTATGGTGCCTGCTGGAGTGCGGCTCGATCTAGCGGATGGCGCGCTATGTCTACCAGAAGAAATCCGCATTCATCTCGCAGGACGTCGCCCCGCGTACGGATCGAAGATACAACATATAACGGCGAAGGACCAACACGTGGTGATCCCGTTCGGAGAGTCAAGGGAAGTGAAGATCGGGATCGGAGGGGCTAAGATGAAGTTGTGGGTCGCTAGAGGACTAGATTGGGTCCCCACTGTGATCTCGGGGTGGGGTAAGACGAAATACCTGCAGATGACCAACATTGGCGACCGGGAGATCATACTGCCCACCCACACTATATTAGGCATGTGGGTCGAAGGCGATATGGTACCGCGAACCCAAGGTTTGGTGACAGTCGGGTCGGGGAAGTACAAGGAATGGCAAACTCTGGCATATGAGGCTACAACGGATCGAGTGAACGAACTCCCGAAAGAACCGATCGGACCATTGGTAGATCGTCCTACGTATGCCGCTCCCAAACGCATCTTGAAACGTCCGTCTGATGCGTTACAGAACCTGTCTCCGGCGATCTCCACGGTAACGCCGCAAGCTAACGATGACGATTCGCAAAAAGGCAGATGCTGTAGTTGCGAGGGAAGTAACGGTCAGGGAGCCGAACTATCGCGGATGGAGAACGGTCATGAGATCGGTACCCAACATGCAACGAAGGGAGACCGCGACACCGGTCAAGAAGGGCTACGTGACAGATCGTCTCTACCGAAGGCTGAGCCGACTGACCGACTGTTGAAATTGGGCCAGCCGGAAGAGACGAAGGAGCCTAAAGAAGAAATAATGCTAAATACTGAAGACGTCGAGATTGCAGAAATACCAGTTTATCACCACGAGAGCGGAGATTTGTTTGCGGAAGATATCGAGCAGCATATGGCCGTGCTACCAGAGATGTCGGCGACTACGGAAGAAGTTACGATTGAGGACATTCAGATCGGTGATCCCGATGTGCCTCTCACCACAGATCAACAACGGCTCAGATCGCTGATCTGGAAGAGCCGTCACCTCCTCATGGGTAAAGGTAATGCTCTACCACCCGCAGCACGAGGCGCGATCTGTGATATTGATGTCGGTGGGGCAGCACCGATAGCGCAAAGAGTGCGTCCGGTCGCACCCAAATATCGGGAGAAGCTGTCAGATCTCATCAAAGGACTATTAGCAGCCAAAATCGTTCAGCCATCCACGTCACCTTGGGCGTCTCCGATAGTGGTGATCATCAAGAAGAACGGAGTGGATATTCGCCTTTGCATTGATTATCGAAGAGTTAACCAGCTGACGCGTCTGATGGTTTATCCCATGCCGTTGATCAGCGATCTGTTGGAAGATCTGGATAAAGCTCTATGGTACTGTTCGCTAGACATGGCTAGTGGATTTTGGGTCGTCGAAATGACTGAACGAGCAAAACTGATCTCAGCGTTTGTCACACCGTTTGGCTTGTTCGAGTGGCTGCGAATGCCTTTTGGGCTTAAGAACGCGCCCCAGATCTACCAACGTCTGGTGGACAATGCGTTGTATGGATATCTCAAGATCGGCCAGAGATCAGCTTCTGATGGCCCGATCGACGTGTTCAAAGATGGAGAACCTGAGACAGATCGACGACCGTCTATACTGGGACGCCGATCTTACATTGACGATATTCTCATACCAGCCACGTCATGGGGATCTTTGTACACAAAAGTAGAACGGTTGCTGGAGGCATGTGATAAGTGGAATCTGTCTATCAGCCTCACGAAGAGCTTTTGGGGGTGCCGTAAGGTCGATTATTTGGGACATCGAGTGTCGATGGATGGTCTGGAGGCTCAGCCCAAGAACCTAGAGTCGTTGGTTAACATCCCGTTTCCTAGCACGCTACGAGCTATGCAATCCTTTCTCGGGAGCTTGAACTACTACCGTCGCTTCATTGAGGATTTCGCGGTGTATGCCGCGGTGTTGTATGAGTTAAGAGAATCGGATTTCTTCGAGATCGGCCGATCTCAGCTTGCAGCAGGAGACGAATGCTCCAACGAGGGTCGATGGACGGAAGCCAAGGTTGCTTTCACTATGCTAAAAGCTAAGATAGCTACAGCTCCCATGCTCAAGCATTTCGACTCAGATCGGTCCCCCGTAATCGTGGTCTACGCTAGCAAGTGGGCTGTCTCAGCGGCCCTGATACAGGAGTACGATGGCGTGTACCATCAGGTGACGTTTACTAGCCGCACTTTAAAGCATAATGAGCTTAACTACGGAACGGTAGAAAAAGAAGTGCTGGCGCTACTTCGTGTGTTGGATGTATGCTATACTACGCTTGCCTCGCGGGAGATCACTGTACTGACCCGACATTCTACGTTAGCCTGGTTGATGCAGTCTCGAGGGCTCAACGGGAGATTAGGACGGTGGGCTGCTTTGTTGTCAAATTGGACTATGGAGGTGAAGAAATGTGAAATAGGAGAGGAAGAGATCCTGGGCATGTTAGCAGCGAGTATCACTCCGAGAGGAGAAGTGGAAGAGATGCTGATTGCGATCTCCCCACGAAAAGACTGTCGACTCAAAATATCGATGTCTCCTCCAACGGTGGAAACAGATGAGGAGTTGCTGGTGGCCAGTTTCGATGGATCGGCTAGGATAAAAAAGAAAGGAGGGTCGTTCAGTGCCGTGATATGGAAGTTACCCGAATGGACGATCGTGGCGGCCGAATCGAGATATGTTCACGATCTGACTGTGAATGAAGCTGAGTATAATGGCTTGCTACTGTGCTTTGAGTTACTCGCCGATCTGGATAGGGGGGCGAGTAATACTGTGTGGAGATTCCAGTCTGGTGATTCGACAGATGCGCGGTGAGATCGACTGCAAGGCACCGGGCCTTCAGCTTCTGAGACACAAAGCGTTGGAGAAGCTGCAGTCATGGCCTAGTCACGAGTTTCTGCATATGAAGCGAGAGTGGAATCAGAGCGCAGATCGACTAGCCAGCACAGCATTGCAGAGCGAAAAGGGAAGAACGGTTGTAGCTGAAGAGGATTGGCGAGATCTGATGACTCTGAACCGTCTTGATGAATTGTTGAAGCCCAAGCAAGATGATCAGCTAGATCGGGTAACTGCGATCGCGAGATCAGCCAGGAGGATACGTCATGAACCTGAAGTGATACAGGAGGAGATAGTACAGAGGATCAGGATTCAACGAATTGTCCAAGCTCAAGATGAAGAGCGTTGGATTGTCAATCTCAAGACATATCTAAGTGGCGATGTATTAAACTTGGATGCAGTAGAAGTGAAGATGTGCGCCAAACTGGCGCCGGAATACGAGATCGATGAGAACAGTCTGCTATTTTTTTGCCCCATGGCGAAAAGAGAGTCGAAAGATCGCGATGGTTTGATGCGGTTGGTGATCCCGGAGACGTTGCAGCAGGATTTATTGCATCACTATCACACGAGTCTGGAAGGAGGCCATCAGGGTATTGGCCGAACCTATCAGAGGATCAGATCGCGATTTCATTGGAGAGGACTGTATCGGAGCGTTCAACGATATGTGGGCGAATGTACCGACTGTGAGACCGGGAAAGGAAACCCGATGATTAATGGGAAATCCCCGGGCAATCTACACGCAACCTATCCATTCCAGATCATCGCCATGGATCATATACCGTCATTGCCCAAGTCCATCAAGGGGAACACCGAACTGCTCATTTGGGTCGACCTTTTCTCGGGATATGTGATGGCAACGGCTAGCTCCTCTCGGACGGCACAAACAATAGCGGAGAATTACGAAGAATGTGTGTTTCGACGCTTCGGAGCTAGCGAGGCTATCAGGCACGATAGAGAACCGGGATTTATGTCCGACTTCTTTCGAGCCTTCAGTCGGATCGTAGGACAAAAACAGCGTGCTACTATGGCTTACAGGCCACAAGCAAATGGAACAGCCGAACGAATGGTGCAAACCCTGACACATTCACTCAAGATGTACGTGGCTGAAGTTGACCAGCGAGACTGGGATGAGTATGCTGAGCGGCTCACATTTTCCATTAACACTGCACAAGATCGGATCCGGGGGGATACCCCGTTTTATCTGATTCATGGGTGGGACCCGCGATCGACTTTGGAGGCTACGCTACCAGTGGGGAATACGGGGACACGAGATCGCGATCCAAGAGGTGGAGATACAAAATCCCAAGACAATACCAGTGAGCCCGATCTGCAGTGAACGATCGTTTACAAGCCGCAATCCAGGAGCGAGCAGATCGACACAACGAAGATCTGGAACCACACGAGATCGAAGTAGGAGCGCAAGTTTGGCTATACCTGGACCGAGTTAAAGAGGGATATGCGAAGAAGCTAGCGCACATGTGGCATGGGCCATTCCGAGTTGCAGACGTATGTGGAGATCATGCTGTAAAATTGGAGATCGCTGGAACCCCATATCGGTTATTTCCGATTGTACACATATCGAAGCTAAAAAAGGTAAAGACGTTCCCTAAACGCCCGAAGGATCAGCTTACGATAGAGGAATCAGATCGCTTGGATTTCGATGAAGCTCTGCTGCCAGAAGACAGTTGGGATGGCGATCTTGAAGAAGGGGAATACGAAGTAGAGGCAATATTGGACGTGCGATCTGGTAGAAAAAACCCGTTATGGGCGAGTACACCGGCAGTTTCTGGTGAAGTGGAAGGGATATCCCGATCTAAGTTGGGTGGACGAGGCCGATCTAAGTTGTGGGGCGATCTTGCAAGAGTTTGAGCGGAACCGAGTGAGTCGAAACCGTTTCGACGTAATGCAGTCTCATGAAGGCAAGTCGGACGAACCTTAACAGTTCGAACAAGTATGCGGGAGGTAACATATGCGGATGTAGGGGTTGAAAGATGTGCTAGACGGTAGCACATGCTGGTGGATGAGGTGTTTGTATGTGAGTATGGAGATAGTCAAGTGAATTACCTTCCTGAATGATGTGGAGCGATGAGGATCGAGATCGTGGAAGCTGCAAAGAATTGAAGTACCAAAAAGAAGACGATTGAATGACTTACACGATCATGAAAGACGATCGGGCTTGGATATCGACATTGGACTAAGACGATGGAGCAGGTTTGAACTTGTCCTGCGGACGAGGGATCTGCGATCCGGGATGATCTAGATGGCGCGGAGACCCAGGCCGATCGGGGACCGCTGGGGTGTGTCCTGCGAGATCGGGCGATCCGGGCGACAGGTCGCGATCCGGAGACAGAAACATGGTGGGTCCTTCTGATGAGATCAGCGAGGTGGGTGGATGCGTCGGAGAGGCCATGAGACGGACTTGAGTGCTTGGAACGAAGTTGATGAGTGACTGTACTGAGATCAATTGCTGTACAAAAGACTTCAGTACAGGGGGCGGTTGTGGCAAAGTCACTACTCAAATTTTGTACGAGGATCGGTGGCCACACCTTTAAAGCGCCGCTTACTGGTGGAAAAGGAGGCCATGAGACTCGGCGATCCAATACGGAGGTGGAAGATGATCTTAACGGGATCGGCGAACCGGTCCAACTGTCGTTAGACTAATGGGAGTGAATCGACCTGGGACGGAGCGATCTGGAACGATTTACATGGAACAATCTGGGACAAGGATCTGGGACCGGGTGATGGGATATGACTCTGCGACGAAGGTGTAACACCTTGCAGAATGTTATGGGGCGATTTGGAACCAGACTTCGGGATGAAGTCATACAGCTCATTGGAATGCCTGTCAAGAAGAAGTATACGTACATTGAAGCAGGCTAAGATCAGATCGCAGATCGGCATGTTGTGGCAACGGTTTGTTGGAGAATTGACACATCTGGGACAAGGTGACTCCCAAAGTGCATCTGGGACCAGGTGGTACAGGTCGGTGAATCGGCAAAGAAGGTGCAACACCATACGGATCGGTGATACTCTTTACCGATCCTAAATTGGGAGTACTGATTTTGGTTAATTATACGCCGATCTGGAAGTTTTGCATACTCAGGGGAGTCAAGGAAACCGATGTCGAGACGTATGAATGAAGTGGTCGATTGGATAACACTGGAGGATGATATTGAAGCACGTATGAGGAGATGAAAAAAGTGTTAATTGCCGATTTAGACCGGATCGACCTCCAACATCTCGATATTGGATGACAGATCGGTCATGTTCCACACTGATCATGAATATATGGTTGATGAAGACACTGGATCATGTGGAATATACTTGGTAGAGGTCACTAAGTGATGTCAAGAAGTTTCATGCCGAAAGAGCCAGTGGAAGCTGTCCGAATTGACGTCGCAAAATGGATTTAGACGCCTTCGGCATTTGGGCACTATTTTGGGCTTTTGGGTACCAAAAATGGGTATTTGGTACCCCATTTGGGATTTGGTCCTCTTTTGGCGTTCAGGTACGGTATCGGGAATATTGGCGCTATCATTGGAGTACAGGGCACGAAATTTCGACACGTGGCAAGGGGGCGATCCAGATTCAAGGCGATATCGGTTTGAAGAGTGACCTATAGTTAAGAATAGGCTTAAGGGTAGGTTGGATAGTAATTTGGTTGGTTAATAAACAGACTTGAGCTCTACTTCTTCTGCTCACGACGCACGTAATCCTCCCCCTCTTCTCCAGGCAAGATTGATTTGGCTTCCCCGGCGGGTTAAGGCACGCGTGTTACAGGGACACAGAAGACCGATCTTGGATTGTTGGCCAAGATCGAGAAGAGCGATCCCGGGATATCTGGCCCGGATCGATCAAGTACTCACACTCAACTCAACTGCTAGGGTAGCAGCACACAACGGAAAAGGAAAAGGATTTTGGACACAGGATCGCGAGACGGCTCAAGTGGTCAGAAGATCTGGACAAGGCGTTCAAGACAAGACCGAGCAGGATCGAAGCGATCCCCTGGACAGATCGACACGTTTCATTTTGGCGAAACAAGACACCGATCTACCCAAATTGCGCACTTCCGGCAAGATCGGCCGATCCCAAGACCAGATCGGACAGATCCCAAGGCAAGATGGACGCAAGACTTTTATTTGCTGAGTGAAGATTTCCGCACAGCAAAGACCCCGATCTCGAGGACAAATCAAGATCGGTGCGATCCAAGATCGGGATCGCAGAACCCCGTTCGTGGTGTGAAGATTTCCGCACCGGAAGCGGACCCTCAACCCAACCTCTCAGCGATATCGACATCTCCCAAGGCCGTTACGAAGAGCTCAAGCCAGCCCAACCGACGGGTACACAAGGTGAGCACAAGGTCATACAACAAGGCACGGATCGAAGTACCCCCTCCGTGAGTCGGCAAGTCTGGGCAAGTGGAAGATCGACACTCATACAAGCAATTTTGTGAGATCGACTTCACCACACCGGTATGGTGTCCTGCCGCAAGCCGATGTTGCTCGTACGAGTGCAGCCATCACCAGTTGGATGGTCTGCGCACTCCAGTACGGTACGGCGGAGGTCGAGCCCACGGTTCGCGAGGCGGTCAGCATGTGCGTTGGCCTGGAGATCAATGTGGTGGAGCGTAAAGACTCCCACTCGCGCCAGCTCAACCTTGACTTGGTCCCGAAGGCGGCGAAGGGCGGCGCTGCGAGTGGCGAAGATGCCACGCACCTGCTGGATGACCAGCGTGCTGTCACCCTCGATGCGCAGGCACGTGACGCCATGATCGGCAGCAGCCCTTGTACCGAGCAGCAGAGCGGTATACTCAGCGGTGTTGTTCGTCTCGCTGCTGCTCGGCATGTAGTGTGAGCATGTCCACACTACGGGGCCGCTGGGCTTGAACAACGCAGCGCCGGCGCCGCCTGGGCCAGGGTTCTTGCGGCAGGCACCGTCGAAGCGCAGCAGCCATTCGCCATCACCTTCATCAGCGTCGTCCTCGTCGTCGCTTTCGCCTACCTTCGTCTCTTCCTCCTCCGTCAGCTCCGGCTGGAGCAGACGGTTAGCGATCCTCGACACCACCACGCTGCGAGGCAGTGGTGAACCCCATCATGGGGCGGGAGCCTCGGCGAGGCGTGACGCAACGCGAGAAGCAACCAGCTGCCTTGGGAGCGGGGGGCTCCATCTTGACTCTGTTGACCTGTCATGAGTGGTGCTAGACTGTGGGGGGGACACAGTGAGCACCGGAGGGTCTTGGCGGGGCAGCACGGGTTCGGTGTCGGCCACCGTAGCGGTGGCATTAACTGCACCAGCAGTGGGGCTGAGGTCCCCGGCTGCTGATGCGGTCGCAGCCGAAGTGTCGCGGAGACTGGCGCACGCTTGCGCGTGGTTAGCTGCAGCCAGCCTCGACACGAAAGGTGTGCCGCACGCACAACCTGCCGAGAACCGGTCGAGGAAGGCGATGCGGCGATGCCTTGAGTCCCGGTGGCGCTTGAGCGAAGCAAAGCTTGACGCCGTATATGCACACAGCGTGCACGTGAAGTGCGGCGCGTTGTGGGCATACACGGACAGGACGGAGGCCGGAAGTGCGCTGGCCGCGGATGGCCTAAGCGCTGAGTTCATGGGGGCGGCCTCGACGTCCTCGAGCAGCAGTTGCTCGGCTTGCTCGCGTTCGTCCCCGTCATCCTCGTCGTTCAAGCGGCGACGCTTGCCGTTGAGGCGGAGCACGAGAGGAGGAGACGGCGGAGTGAGGCTTGCTGCCTGCCACGTCGCGCCCTGGTGCACCTCCATGGGGACGGCTGCGGTCGTGGCAGGAGCCTGTGCAGCACCCACGGGCAGCATGCTGCCCGCCCTGCCGGGTGTGCAGTCATCATCATGGGGACAGGGCCCAGCAACAGCGGACGGCTCGTCGCCGCAAGGCATGGGAGCGTCACACCCGACTCGGTCAGGCAGTATGGGAGCCTGTCTGCCGAGCCGGTCGTCACAGGTACGTGAGACATAAATAATTGCTGCAGTGGACACGGCCTCGCTGGCGGTGTCGTGGCAGCCCATGGTGGGGGCCGCGGCCACTGCAGTGTATCCAGCTCGGGCAGGCAGCTCCGTAGCTACATGCCCGAGCCGGTCATCATCACTTGAGGAGGAGGCAGCGTCGTCGTCCATCGAGGAGGCAGTGTCGTCGTCGGGTGCCCCGCCGTCGCTGTTTTCGCTATCCTCTGGGTCGCTGGGGCCTTGGAAGGCACCCAGTGCGCGAGCCGTTGCGGCTACGAGCGCGGACCCGAGCTGCACCCGTTCGGGCAGCATGCGTGCCGCCCTGCCGGGTGGAGGAGCAACAATCGCGGGGTCTCGAGCGGCGGCGGGGGCTTCCGGAGCGAGCGGGAGGGCGGGGGGGGGGGCCCGTTGCGCACGCGTCTGGACCCGGGGGCTGCCTGTGGGCACCCGGGGAGCCGACGCTCTGTAGATGTCCATGCTGGACCCGGTCGGGCAGCATGCTTGCCGCCCTGCCGGGCCCAACATCATCGCTAGCAGTGTCTTGGGCCGCTCCCACGTCTGGGAGGGCGCTCCGTAACGTGTAGATGCCCTTGGTGCACGTCTTGGTACCCGGGCGCCGCATGATTGCGCCCGGGGAGCCGTCGCTCTGCAGTCCTTGTCCGTGTGTCGGCGATACCCGGTCGGGCAGCGTAGCGCCCGCCCTGCCGGGTATGCCAACAATCGCATCTTCATCCTGCGAGGCCACGGCAGCGGCGGGAGCGTCCGGCGAGACGGGGGAAGTCAAACGGCGCGCGGAGGAGGCGGGAGGCGGTCTCGTGGCCTCTGCAAGGCCGGCGGAGACGACGCTATCTTGGCCCGAGGAGTCTTGAGCGTTGTCTTGAATGGTGTCGTGAATTGCGGCGACCCCTATACTGAAACCAAGTAAATTGCCGAAGGTACCATCGGAGGTACCAACGGGGGGTCGCCGGGCCTCTTCCCGGTCAATGATGGCACCCAAAATCGGGGCCGGACACCAGACGGGGCTCACGCGCGACAGAGACCTCTGCGCGCGCGGAAACTTGGTAGGCACTGGGCGATGCGGGATCCGAACCCGTGCCCGAAGTTGCGGCGCCTAACTCCGCGTCATCACCGCGAGGCGATGGCGCGCGTAGACGCACTCGGGGCCCATTTTGGGGCCCCGGAAGGGAATTATTGGAGGTACCAGTGTGTACCCCTACCCCTTGTCCGACGGCGACCGTTCCCAGGCAGTTTCGTCCCACCCGTTCCGCAAAGAAGGGTGACGAACTTTCTGGGAACAGTCTTAAATCAGACTGCCCCGCCTGTTCCCCAGTGACCAGTTGCGTGTCATCTGGGAGAGGGGGAATTTCGTCGTGTCCCACTCCAGTTTCGTCATCAGGCGACGCGTCGTAAAACGACGCATCGCTGGCGAGACTGGAATGGCTGTCCGTAGAGCACTCACTATCGCTAGATAGAGAGCGCTCTCGAGGCTCCCAACCCGGCCACCAAAATCGCATAGAAGGGGCGATAGTGGAAAGGCCAGGGCAGAAAGGACAGATCGACAAACGGTATAGAACGAACTAAGATAGAACGAACAAAAGTAGAAAAGAAGCAAGTTTATTGTAGTCGGCCTCATGAGGGTTAGGTGTAAGCCACTCGGAGACCTTCCTAAAATAGTATCTCTACTAAGTCAGGACGTCCAAAAATGAATGTGAAAAAGACCGATAAAAGTCGGAAACCAGTTTTCACACTGATTAGAACAGATACTACACTTGATCTTAGCTAAAAAGCCGAGAAGGTATGGCCTGAAAGCAATACAGAGGACAGAATGCAATACTGTCGATACAATAGCGAATGTTGACAATAAGAATTTGAATGTTACATTAAATTCGAAATGCGAAAGTGATATCTCAAACAATGAAATAGGGCAACACATACTAGGAATCTAACGTCAGTTTTTGGTGCTGCACGCGTGTATGTTGATAGTGTGTGTACGTTGTGAATGATGTAAAGTAATCATGACAATGCGATATGTAAAAGTTGTTGAAAAGGTAAATGCAAGTTGGCCTCACGGGAGAAAGGTGTAAGCCCCCGGAGACCGCCCCGTCTTAGTAGCAAGCTACTTCGACAGGATGTCCAAAAATGAATGTGAAAAAGACCGACAAAAGTCGGAAACCAGTTTTCACACTGATTAGAACAGAGAAGTATATTTATTACCGTCCGGTTAGTCCATTTCTAAAAGTATAGAAATACCCGATAGAAACTATGTGGTGTGTAAGGTAGGTACAGGTTGCACCACACAGAGCTAAACTATAACGTACCAGAGGGATTTGAGGGCGGTTCCCTACTTGGGTATGGCCCTGTCGGCCACTATGGGCCCGAGTTCCGACTAGCGGTGGCCTTGATGTGACGGAGTCCCCCCGGTCTCCGTCACCCGACTGCCCCTTGCATCTCGTCTTGAGCGTCCATGTCTTCGTCCTTGGGCTTGGTCTCGACTTGAACCTTGAACTTCACCTTGGCCCTGCTGCCTCGCGCGGTGTTGGCTGCAATGTAGATTCCATATGCGGCGGCTGGACTTAATGCACTCAGCAGAAAGGTGCCTGTCCAGCCGCTTCGCATCGCGCTTCAGCACGCCAAGTTGCTCGGTGTAAACCGCAAGGTTACCACCGGCGACTGCATCAAGCGAACCGTAGACGAGCGACGAAAGGTGAACCGTCCAACCTTGACGCTCAAGGTGTCGCTTGACGCAGTCGTACTTGGCGCGCTTGAGCGCAGCAATCCGCGCGAGCGACGACGTCCTCGGGTCGTCTGTAGCTTGGTCTTCAAAGGCCACAGCCAGATCTACAACCGACACCGAACGTGTGGTGTGGTTGTAGACCTGCAAGTCCGGCCGCAGAGCAGGTACGGGGAGCGAGGGTACGGTTTGGTTAACCCTCAGCTCAACCCTTTCCTTCCGATCACCCGCCGACGACGCTATCGCCCGTTCAATGATCGTCAGAGCGTCGTCGTGGCGGGTGCGGACTGCATCCATGGTGCCGGCACAGTGATTCAACACATGTGCCAGCGTCTCGGTCCTTGAGCAGCCAGGGAATCGACACTTGTCGTGCGTCCGAAGACGCCGGCGCTTGAGGACACTGTGCGTGTCGAGCTGGTTGAGACGACCACCCACCGCGAAGCGGTAGTCGCTCTCCCAAAGCCCTCGGGGCCGCGAAAGGAAGGCGCTCCCAGCACCACCAAGGGTGCGAGCAGCCTTGCCTTGATCCGTCATCGCGGCCCATCGCTTCCAGTGCTTGTTCTTGAGGTGCAGCTTCACGTGCCGAAGGACATCCCGATGGTCCAACCAACCGTCGTGGTGGGGCACGCGAAGCTGCAACCTCTTGGCCGGCGTCCCCGTCTCCTCCACCGCTGGCGCCATCTCAAACTTGAGGCCGAAGCGGTGAAGGTGACCCCGGACGTCGAACCACAGCGACCCAATGTCCGCATTCCGTCGCTTGGGCGGCGCTGGGTCCGACGCCCCCAGCTTACTGTTGAGAAGGAGCTCGCCCAGCTCCTCCTCACGGTCCTTCCACAGCACGACATCCAACTTGTAGCGGGCCTCTGCAATTTGACGGAGCTGCTGGCGGGCAATGCGCTGGGTGGAAGGGTCAGAAGAGTGCAACATCTGCCACCCATGCGCCACTTGAAGTGCCCCGTGCAGCTCCGTCAAGGGCAGAAGCCCCAAACCTCCACGAGAAACAGGAGCGTAAAGAAACGCTGTCGTAGCGCTAGTCGGCAGCCGCAGCAGGTGGCGCAGACCGCGAGCAAGGTGGCGATCGAAGCCCTCCAGCTGCTGTGCGAACGGTCGCAAGTGCCGGAGGGCGTACTCGACGCGCGGGTAAAGGTACACCTTGACCGCCTTGACCACCTGCCACGGCGCCAGCCCGGACTGCAGCAGTGCCGTCGCATCATGCTTGAGCTGGGCGATAGCTGGTCCCAGCTCGACGCGACGGCCCACATGGTCGAAGCCATCCCCGATCCCCAAGTACTGGTAAGAGTCGGAGGCGCTGAGCGCGGGGATCGGGGTGCCGTTCAGCTGCAGCCCGAGGTCGCTGGTCTGGTGGAGACCACGCACATCTCGCTGGACTGACATGGTGCTGCACTTCAGCGAGTTAGCTTTCATGCCAGTCCAGCGTAGGAAGTCGTGCACCACCGAGTGTTGACGCTGGATACCGTCCACGGTGCTGCTGAATGTCTTCAAGTCGTCTGCGTAAGCAGCAGCACCGGGACGGTCGTCGCAGGACATCTTCACTCCAGTGTCCGGCAGCGACTTGAGCGCGTGAAGCAGCGGGGCGATCGCGGCGGTGAAGAGATGGGTGCTGAGTGGGCAGCCTTGAAACACCCCCACCTTCAACGCGATCGGTGCCGTGGTCTCATCCACAGCGTTACCAATTGTAAACGCTGCGTCTGCGTAGATACCACGGCAACAAGCGACAAACTCGGGCGGAACACCCTGCCGTTGTAGCGCTTCCCAAAGCAAGTCGTGTGGCACGCTACCAAAAGCGTTGGCAAAGTCGTACCACACGACATGCAACTCTTGATGCTTGCGGCGGGCTTGGTCGACGAGCATGGCTGCGAGGAAGTTGTGTTCCCCGCAGCCGTTCATGGCTCGAAAGCCCTTCTGCGCGTCGGCATGGCGACCGTTGACGTCGAGCCAGCGCGTAAAGCGACGCGACAAGACGCCGGCGTACAACTTGTAGATGGCCTGCTGCAAGCAGATCGGCCGCCAATTGGATGGGTCGAGCCGATCGCCCTTCTTGTGCAGCAGGCGCACCACGCCAACCTTCCAGCTCTGCGGCACACGCTTGGACTGCCAGCAGCGCGCGAACGCCGCATGCAGGGCGGGCAGAAGCTGGGCCGTGAACAGCTTGAAGATGTCATAGCCGACACCGTCCAAGCCAGGGCTGGAACTGCCACGCGCACGCTGCACTTGGTCCTCGATCTCATGCGAAGACGGCCCATCCGTGAGCAGCGCCATGTCAACTGTCGCTGGAGGCAGGCGGTCCATGGCCGCGCGGAACGAGGCTCCAACTGGCGCCATAGGGTCGAAGGCACCCACCGGGGAGTTCACCTCGGTAAAGAACCGGTGCAGGCTCTCCCCTGGAATGGGGCAGGTGCCTTCCTCCACGTCCACACAGTCCGGCGGAGGCGCAGAGGTGCTGGCTGGCGTAGCCGCAGCCTCATCTGCCTCGCGCTTGGACCGAGCCGTCGCCAGGATGCTCTCAACACACACCTTCTCCGAAGTCTCGAAGAGGTGGCGGAGGCGTTGCTGCGAAATGGAGGAGTTGATCCTCCCCACACGACGACGTGCCTTGGCAACAACCTTGCGGTTGCCCGGCTCGCTACGCTGGACAGCATGCATGGCGTCCAGAGCCTCGTCAAGCCGGTGCTCACGGTGATGACGTGTCACACGGGGCGGACGTGTGCGCCGGCGCCCCATGCCACCACCGGAGTGACCACGGCGACGACGTGAACGGCTGCCACCTTGGCGCTGACCGTCTAGCGTCATGGCCTGCGCTGGACCTTGGTGTGGCTCCGGTCGCCTGGCAGGACGCACGTCTGGATGGTGCAGCTGCGGGCGCTGGGAGTGAGGTTGGGCGGGGTGCTGTGTCTGGGAGTAAGGCTGCAGTTGATCGTACAGCGCATACGGGAGGGCTGTGATGTAGCCCTCCGCCTCCTCCCAGTCATCACCGTCCGTTATCTTGGCAGCTAGCTTCGCTGCTAGCCGCTCCACCAACTTGCCCGCAGCCTCTTCCTCGTCTTCGTTTAGCTGCCGTAGGCGCAGTCGCGACCGGCGCTGAGGCACTGCATCAGGCCCTACACTCATCGCTGCATACACCTCGCCATCATCGATGTCCCCCATGTCATCATCATCTGCGGGGCTTGGGGGATCATCAGTGCCCACCGCGACATGCGGTGTGGCAGGCGGAGGTGCAGCTGCGGGTGCAGGGGCCGTCGTGGAGGTGGAGGTGCATCCATGTCCATCGGTATGCACCCCACACTCCAACGTGGTCGTGCGGCGGTCAAGAGCGGCATTGGCGAGGCGGTCGGCATGACCATTCGCCTGCCTGTCGATGGGATGAAGCGTTGCCCGCTCCATCCGCGCCAGCTCCGCCTTGACCGCAATGCGCAGTTGCCTCAGGCGCTTGTTGCGTGTGGCGAAGATGCCACGCACCTGCTGGATGACAAGAGTGCTGTCACCCTCGATCCGCAAGCGCGTGACACCGTGGTCGGCGGCAGCCCGTGTGCCGAGCAGCAGCGCGGTGTACTCGGCCGTGTTGTTGGTTTCGCCGCTGCTCGGCATGTAGTGGGAACACGTCCACACTACGGGGCCGCTGGGCTTGAATAGCGCAGCGCCGGCGCCGCCAGGCCCAGGGTTTGCCCGGCAGGCACCGTCAAAGCGCAGCAGCCACTCGCCGTCCATGTCTGGGTCGTCGTTGACGTCCTCGTCGTCGCTGTCACCAGCCTTGGTCTCCTCCTCCTCCGTTAACTCTGGCGGGAGGAGACGGTCGGCAATCCTTGACACCACCACGCTGCGAGGCAGTGGTGGACCCCAACGTGGGGCGGGAACCTCGGAGAGGCGGGACGCAACGCGAGAAGCAACCAGCTGCCTTGGGAGCGGGGGGCTCCATCTTGACTCTGTTGACCTGTCATGAGTGGTGCTCGACTGTGGGGGGGACACAGTGAGCACCGGAGGGTCTTGGCGGGGCAGCACGGGTTCGGTGTCGGCCACCGTAGCGGTGGCATTGACTGCACCAGCAGTGGGGCTGAGGTCCCCGGCTGCTGATGCGGTCGCAGCCGAAGTGTCGCGGAGGCTGGCGCACGCTTGCGCGTGGTTAGCTGCTGCCAGCCTCGACACGAAAGGTGTGCCGCACGCACAACCTGCCGAGAAGCGGTCGAGGAAGGAGATGCGTCGGTGCCGTGAGTCCCTGTGTCGCTTGAGCGAAGCAAAGCTTGAGGCCGTATATGCACACAGCGTGCACGTGAAGCGCTGCGCGTTGTGGGCATACACGGCCAGGACGGAGGCCGGGAGTGCGCTAGCCGTGGATGGCCAAAGCGCTGAGTTCATGGGGCCGGCCTCAACGTCCTCGAGCAGCAGTTGCTCGGCTTGCTCGCGTTCCTCCCCGTCATCCTCGTCGTTCAAGCGGCGACGCTTGCCGTTGAGGCGGAGCACGAGAGGAGGAGACGGCGGAGTGAGGCTTGCTGCCTGCCACGTCGCGCCCTGATCCACCTCCATGGGGACGGCTGCGGTCGTGGCAGGAGCCTGTGCAGCACCCACGGGCAGCATGCTACCCGCCCTGCCGGGTGTGCAGTCATCATCATGGGGACAGGGCCCAGCAACAGCGGACGGCTCGTCGCCGCAAGGCATCGGAGCGTCACACCCGACTCGGTCAGGCAGTATGGGAGCCTGCCTGCCGAGCCGGTCGTCACAGGTACGTGAGACATAAACAATTGCTGCAGTGGACACGGCCTCGCTGGCGGTGTCGTGGCAGCCCATGGTGGGGGCCGCGGCCACTGCAGTGTATCCAGCTCGGGCAGGCAGCTCCGTAGCTACATGCCCGAGCCGGTCGTCATCACTTGAGGAGGTGGCAGCGTCGTCGTCCATCGAGGAGGCAGTGTCGTCGTCGGGGGCCCCGCCGTCGCTGCTTTCGCTATCCTCTGGGTCGCTGGGGCCTTGGAAGGCACCCAGTGCGCGAGCCGTTGCGGCTACGAGCGCGGACCCGAGCTGCACCCGGTCGGGCAGCATGCGTGCCGCCCTGCCGGGTGGAGGAGCAACAATCGCGGGGTCTCGAGCGGCGGCGGGGGCTTCCGGAGCGAGCGGGAGGGCGGGGGGGACCCGTTGCGCACGCGTCTGGACCCGGGGGCTGCCTGTGGGCACCCGGGGAGCCGACGCTCTGTAGATGTCCATGCTGGACCCGGTCGGGCAGCATGCTTGCCGCCCTGACGGGCCCAACATCATCGCTTGCAGTGTCTTGGGCCGCTCCCACGTCTGGGAGGGCGCTCCGCAACGTGTAGATGCCCTTGGTGCACGTCTTGGTACCCGGGCGCCGCATGCATTGCGCCCGGGGAGCCGTCGCTCTGCAGTCCTTGTCCTTGTGTCGGCGATACCCGGTCGGGCAGCGTAACGCCCGCCCTGCCGGGTATGCCAACAATCGCATCTTCATCCTGCGAGGCCACGGCAGCGGCGGGAGCGTCCGACGAGGCGGGGGAAGCCAAACGGCGCGCGGAGGAGGCGGGAGGCGGTCTCGTGGCCTCTGCAAGGCCGGCGGAGACGACGCTATCTTGGCCCGAGGAGTCTTGATCGTTGTCTTGAATGGTGTCGTGAATAGCGGCGACCCCTATACTTAAACCAAGTATATTGTCGAAGGTACCTTCGGAGGTACCAACGGGGAATCGCCGGGCCTCTTCCCGGTCAATGATGGCACCCAAAATCGGGGCCGGAGACCGGGGGGCCTCGCGCGCGACAGAGACATCTGTGCGCGCGGAAACTTGGTAGGCACTGGGCTATGCGGGATCCGAACCCGTGCCCGAAGTTGCGGCGCCTAACTCCGTGTCATCACCGCGAGGCGATGGCGCGCGTAGACGCACTCGGGGCCCATTTTGGGGCCCCGGAAGGGAATTATTGGAGGTACCAGTGTGTACCCCTACCCCTTGTCCGACGGCGACCGTTCCCAGGCAGTTTCGTCCCACCCGTTCCGCAAAGAAGGGTGACGAACTTTCTGGGAACAGTCTTAAATCAGACTGCCCCGCCTGTTCCCCAGTGACCAGTTGCGTGTCATCTGGGAGAGGGGGCATTTCGTCGTGTCCCACTCCAGTTTCGTCATCAGGCGACGCGTCGTAAAACGACGCATCGCTGGCGAGACTGGAATGGCTGTCCGTGGAGCACTCACTATCGCTAGATAGAGAGCGCTCTCGAGGCTGCCAATCCGGCCACCAGAAGCGCATAGTGATGCGTTGGTGTAGAGCCGGTGCAGAAGACAGAAAGACGAAAAAATCGAACAAAATAGAACGAAGTAGAAAAGGAAAAGTGTATTGATTACGTATAGTTGGCCTCGCGAGGGTTAGGTGTAATCCCCCGGAGACCTTCCTGAAAAGTATCGCTACTCTATCAGGACGTCCAAAAATGAATGTGAAAAAGACCGACAAAAGTCGGAAACCAGTTTTCACACTGATTAGAACAGATAAGGGTGTGTATTACCGTCTGGTTAGTCTATTTCTAAAGGGTATAGAAATACCCAATAGAAACTGTGTGGTGTGTAAGTTAGGTACAGGTTGCACCACACAGAGCTAAACTATAACGTACCAGAGGGATTTGAGGACGGTTCCCTACTTGGGTATGGCCCTGTCGGCCACTATGGGCCCGAACGACGCTTAGCGGCGGCCTCGATGGGACGGAGTCCCCCCGGTCTCCGTCACCCGACTGCCCCTTGCATCTTGTCTTGAGCGTCCATGTCTTCGGCCTTGAACGTGGGCTTGACTTGGACCTTGAGCTTGATCGTGACCATTCTGTCGCTCGCGGTGCTGGCCGCAGTGCAAATTCCATATGCGGCGGCTGGACTTAATGCACTCAGCAGAAAGGTGCCTGTCCAGCCGCTTCGCATCGCGATTCAGCACGCCAAGGTGATCGGTGTAAACCGCAAGGTTACCACCGGCGACTGCGCCAAGCGAACCATAGACGAGCGCTGAAAGGTGGACCGTCCAACCTTGACGCTCTAGGTGTCGCTTGATGCAGCCATACTTGGTGCGCTTAAGCTCAGCAATCCGCGCGAGCGACGACGTCCTTGGGTCGTCCGTGGCTTGGTCTTCAAACGCCACCGCAAGGTCTACAACCGACACCGAACGTGTGGTGTGGTTGTAGACCTGCAAGTCCGGCCGCAGAGTAGGTCCGGGGAGCGAGGGTACGGTTTGGTTAACCCTCAGCTCAACCCTTTCCTTCCGATCACCCGCCGACGACGCTATCGCCCGTTCAATGATCGTCAGAGCGTCGTCGTGGCGGGTGCGGACTGCATCCATGGTGCCGGCACAGTGATTCAACACATGTGCCAGCGTCTCGGTCCTTGAGCAGCCAGGGAATCGACACTTGTCGTGCGTCCGAAGACGCCGGCGCTTGAGGACACTGTGCGTGTCGAGCTGGTTGAGACGACCACCCACCGCGAAGCGGTAGTCGCTCTCCCAAAGCCCTCGGGGCCGCGAAAGGAAGGCGCTCCCAGCACCACCAAGGGTGCGAGCAGCCTTGCCTTGATCCGTCATCGCGGCCCATCGCTGCCAGTGCCTGGTCTTGAGGTGCAGCTTCACGTGCCGAAGGACATCCCTATGGTCCAACCAACCATCGTGGTGGGGCACGCGAAGCTGCAACCTTTGCGCCGGGGTCCCTGTCTCCTCCACCGCCGGAGCCATCTCGAACTTGAGGCCGAAGCGGTGAAGGTGACCACGGACGTCGAACCACAGCGACCCTATGTCCCCATTTCGACGCTTGGGCGGGGCTGGGTCCGACGTCCCCAGCTTGCTGTTGAGAAGGAGCTCGCCCAGCTCCTCCTCACGGTCCTTCCACACCAGAACGTCCAGCTTATAGCGGGCCTCTGCAATCTGACGGAGCTGCTGACGGGCTATGCGCTGGGTGGCAGGGTCAGAAGAGTGCAACATCAGCCACCCATGTGCCACTTGAAGTGCCCCGTGCAGCTCCGTCAACGGCAGAAGCCCCAACCCTCCACGAGAAACAGGAGCGTAAAAGAACGCCGTCGTGGCGTTGGTCGGCAGCCGCAGCAGGTGGCGCAGGCCGCGAACAAGGTGGCGATCGAAGCCCTCCAGCTGCTGGGCAAACGGGCGCAGGTGCCGGAGGGCGTACTCGACGCGAGGGTACAGGTACACCTTGACCGCCTTGACCACCTGCCACGGCGCCAGCCCGGACTGCAGCAGGGCCGTCGCATCATGCTTGAGCTGGGTGAGAGCTGGTCCCAGCTCAACGCGACGGCGCACATGGTCGAAGCCATCCCCGATCCCCAAGTACTGGTAGGAGTCGGAGGCGCTGAGCGCGGGGATTGGGGTGCCGTCCAGCTGCAGCCCGAGGTCGCTGGTCTGGTGGAGACCACGCACATCCCGCTGGACTGACATGGTGCTGCACTTCAGCGGGTTGGCTCTTCATGCCAGTCCAGCGCAGGAAGTCTTGCACCACCGAATGTTGACGCTTGATGCCGTCCACGGTGCTGCTGAATGTCTTCAAGTCGTCGGCGTAAGCAGCAGCACCGGGACGGTCTTCGCTTGACATCTTCACGCCAGTGTCCGGCAGCGACTTGAGCGCGTGAAGCAGCGGGGCGATCGCGGCGGTGAAGAGATGGGGGCTGAGTGGGCAGCCTTGAAACACCCCCACCTTCAACGCGATCGGTGCCGTGGTCCCATCCACAGCGTTACCAATTGTAAACGCTGCGTCTGCGTAGAGACCACGGCAACAAGCGACAAACTCGGGTGGAACACCCTGCCGATGTAGCGCTTCCCAGAGCAAGTCGTGTGGCACGCTACCAAAAGCGTTGGCAAAGTCGTACCACACGACATGCAACTCCTGATGCTTGCGCCGGGCTTGGTCGACGAGCGTGGCTGCGAGAAAGTTGTGTTCCCCGCAGCCGTTCATGGCTCGAAAGCCCTTCTGCGCGTCGGCGTGGCGGCCGTTGACGTCGAGCCAGCGCGTAAAGCGACGCGACAAGACACCGGCGTACAACTTGTAGATGGCCTGCTGCAAGCAGATCGGCCGCCAATTGGATGGGTCGAGCCGATCGCCCTTCTTGTGCAGCAGGCGCACCACGCCAACCTTCCAGCTCTGCGGCACACGCTTGGACTGCCAGCAGCGCGCGAACGCCGCATACAGGGCGGGCAGAAGCTGGGCCGTGAACAGCTTGAAGATGTCATAGCCGACACCGTCCAAGCCAGGGCTGGAACTGCCACGCGCACGCTGCACTTGGTCCTCGATCTCATGCGAAGACGGCGCATCCGTGAGCAGCGCCATGTCAACTGTCGCAGGAGGCAGGCGGTCCATGGCCGCGCGGAACGAGGCTCCAACTGGCGCCATAGGGTCGAAGGCACCCACCGGGGTGTTCACCCCGGTGAAGAACCGGTGCAGGCTCTCCCCCTGGAATGGGGCAGGTGCCTTCCTCCACGTCCACACCGTCCGGCGGAGGCGCAGAGGTGCTGGCTGGCGTAGCCGCAGCCTCATCTGCCTCGCGCTTGGACCGAGCCGTCGCCAGGATGCTCTCAACACACACCTTCTCCGAAGTCTCGAAGAGGTGGCGGAGGCGTTGCTGCGAAATGGAGGAGTTGATCCTCCCCCACACGACGACGTGCCTTGGCCACAACCTTGCGGTTGCCCGGCTCGCTGCGCTGGACAGCATGCATGGCGTCCAGAGCCTCGTCAAGCCGGTGCTCACGGTGATGACGTGTCACACGGGGCGGACGTGTGCGCCGGCGCCCCTTGCCACCACCGGAGTGACCACGGCGACGACGTGAACGGCTGCCACCTTGGCGCTGACCGTCTTGCGTCACGGCCTGCGCTGGACCTTGGTGTGGCTCCTGTCGCCGGTCAGGACGCACGTCTGGATGCTGCTGCGGGCGCTGTGAGTGAGGTTGGGCGGGGTGCTGTGTCTGGGAGTAAGGCTGCAGCTGATCGTACAGCGCATACGGGAGGGCTGTGATGTAGCCCTCCGCCTCCTCCCAGTCATCAGCGTCCGTTATCTTGGCAGCTAGCCTCGCAGCCAGCCGCTCCACCAACTTGCCCGCAGCCTCTTGCTCGTCCTCGTCCAGCTGCCGAAGGCGCAGCCGTGACCGGCGCTGAGGCACTGCATCAGGCCCCACACTCATCGCTGCATACACCTCGCCATCATCGATGTCCCCCATGTCATCATCATCTGCGGGGCTTGGGGGACATCGGTGCCCACCGCGACATGCGGTGTGGCAGGCGGAGGTGCAGCTGCGGGTGCAGGGGCCGTCGTGGAGGTGGAGGTGCATCCATGTCCATCGGTATGCACCCCACACTCCAACGTGGTCGTGCGGCGGTCAAGAGCGGCGTTGGCGAGGCGGTCGGCATGACCATTCGCCTGCCTGTCGATGGGATGGAGCGTGGCCCGCTCCATCCGCGCCAGCTCCGCCTTGACCGCAATGCGCAGTTGCCTCAGGCGCTTGTTGCGTGTGGCGAAGATGCCACGCACCTGCTGGATGACAAGCGTGCTGTCACCCTCGATCCGCAAGCGCGTGACACCGTGGTCGGCGGCAGCCCTTGTGCCGAGCAGCAGCGCGGTGTACTCGGCCGTGTTGTTGGTTTCGCCGCTGCTCGGCATGTAGTGGGAACACGTCCACACTACGGGGCCGCTGGGCTTGAACAACGCAGCGCCGGCGCCACCAGGCCCAGGGTTTGCCCGGCAGGCACCGTCAAAGCGCAGCAGCCACTCGCCGTCCTTGTCTTGGTCATCGGTGACGTCCTCGTCGTCGCTGTCCCCAGCCTTGGTCTCCTCTTCCTCCGTTAACTCTGGCGGGAGGAGACGGTCGGCAATCCTTGACACCACCACGCTGCGAGGCAGTGGTGGACCCCAACGTGGGGCGGGAACCTCGGAGAGGCGTGACGCAACGCGAGAAGCAACCAGCTGCCTTGGGAGCGGAGGGCTCCATCTTGACTCTGTTGACCTGTCATGCGTGGTGCTCGACTGTGGGGGGACACAGCGAGCACCGGAGGGTCTTGGCGGGGCAGCACGGGTTCGGTGTCGGCCACCGTAGCGGTGGCATTGACTGCACCAGCAGTGGGGCTGAGGTCCCCTGCTGCTGGCGTAGTCGCAGCCGAAGTGTCGCGGAGGCTGGCGCACGCTTGCGCGTGGTTAGCTGCTGCCAGCCTCGACACGAAAGGTGTGCCGCACGCACAACCTGCCGAGAAGCGGTCGAGGAAGGAGATGCGTCGGTGCCGTGAGTCCCTGTGTCGCTTGAGCGAAGCAAAGCTTGAGGCCGTGTATGCACACAGCGTGCACGTGAAGCGCTGCGCGTTGTGGGCATACACGGCCAGGACGGAGGCCGGGAGTGCGCTAGCCGTGGATGGCCAAAGCGCTGAGTTCATGGGGCCGGCCTCAACGTCCTCGAGCAGCAGTTGCTCGGCTTGCTCGCGCGGGTCGTCGTCGCCGTCATCGCTCAAGCGGCGACGCTTGCCGCCGAGGCGGAGCACGAGAGGAGGAGACGGCGGAGTGAGGCTTGCTGCCTGCCACGTCGCGCCCTGGTCCACCTCCATGGGGACGGCTGCGGTCGGGGCAAGAGCCTGTGCAGCACCCACGGGCAGCATGCTACCCGCCCTGCCGGGTGTGCAGTCATCATCATGGGGACAGGGCCCAGCAACAGCGGACGGCTCGTCGCCGCAAGGCATCGGAGCGTCACACCCGACTCGGTCAGGCAGTATGGGAGCCTGCCTGCCGAGCCGGTCGTCACAGGTACGTGAGACATAAACAATTGCTGCAGTAGACACGGCCTCGCTGGCGGTGTCGTGGCAGCCCATGGTGGGGGCCGCGGCCACTGCAGTGTATCCAGCTCGGGCAGGCAGCTCCGTAGCTACATGCCCGAGCCGGTCGTCATCACTTGAGGAGGAGGCAGCGTCGTCGTCCATCGAGGAGGCAGTGTCGTCGTCGGGTGCCCCGCCGTCGCTGTTTTCGCTATCCTCTGGGTCGCTGGGGCCTTGGAAGGCACCCAGTGCGCGAGCCGTTGCGGCTACGAGCGCGGACCCGAGCTGCACCCGTTCGGGCAGCATGCGTGCCGCCCTGCCGGGTGGAGGAGCAACAATCGCGGGGTTTCGAGCGGCGGCGGGGGCTTCCGGATCGAGCGGGAGGGCGGGGGGACCCGTTGCGCACGCGTCTGGACCCGGGGGCTGCCTGTGGGCACCCGGGGAGCCGACGCTCTGTAGATGTCCATGCTGGACCCGGTCGGGCAGCATGCTTGCCGCCCTGACGGGCCCAACATCATCGCTTGCAGTGTCTTGGGCCGCTCCCACGTCTGGGAGGGCGCTCCGCAACGTGTAGATGCCCTTGGTGCACGTCTTGGTACCCGGGCGCCGCATGATTGCGCCCGGGGAGCCGTCGCTCTGCAGTCCTTGTCCTTGTGTCGGCGATACCCGGTCGGGCAGCGTAACGCCCGCCCTGCCGGGTATGCCAACAATCGCATCTTCATCCTGCGAGGCCACGGCAGCGGCGGGAGCGTCCGGCGAGGCTGGGGAAGCCAAACGGCGCGCGGAGGAGGCGGGAGGGTGTCTCGAGGCCCCTGAAGGGCCGGCGGAGACGCTGCGCCATCTTGATCCAGGGGAGTCTTGAGCGTTGTCTTGATGGTTGTCGAGAAGCACGGCGACCCCTATACTTAAACCAAGTATATTGCCGAAGGTACCTTCGGAGGTACCAACGGGGGGTCGCCGGGCCTCTTCCCGGTCAATGATGGCACCCAAAATCGGGGCCGGAGACCGGGGGGCCTCGCGCGCGACAGAGACCTCTGTGCGCGCGGAAACTGGTAGGCACTGGGCGATGCGGGATCCGAACCCGTGCCCGAAGTTGCGGCGCCCAACTCCGCGTCATCGCCGCGAGGCGATGGCGCGCGTAGACGCACTCGGGGCCCATTTTGGGGCCCCGGAAGGGAATTATTGGAGGGTACCAGTGTGTACCCCTACCCCTTGTCCGACGGCGACCGTTCCCAGGCAGTTTCGTCCCACCCGTTCCGCAAAGAAGGGTGACGAACTTTCTGGGAACAGTCTTAAATCAGACTGCCCCGCCTCTTCCCCAGTGACCAGTTGCGTGTCATCTGGGAGAGGGGGGCATTTCGTCGTGTCCCACTCCAGTCTCGTCATCAGGCGACGCGTCATAGAAAGACGCATCGCTGGCGAGACTGGAATGGCTGTCCGTAGAGCACTCACTATCGCTAGATAGAGAGCGCTCTCGAGGCTCCCAATCCGGCCACCAGAAGCGCATAGTGATGCGATAGGTGTAGAGCCAGGGCAGAAGACAGAAAGACGAAAAAAAACGAACTAAAATAGAACGAAGTAGAAAAGGAAAAGTGTATTGATTACGTATAGTACGCCTCGCGAGGGTTAGGTGTAAGCCCCCGGAGACCGCCCCGTCCTAGTAGCAAGCTACTTCGACAGGACGTCCAAAAATGAATGTGAAAAAGACCGACAAAAGTCGGAAACCAGTTTTCACACTGATTAGAACAGAGAAGTATATTTATTACCGTCCGGTTAGTCCATTTCTAAAAGTATAGAAATACCCGATAGAAACTATGTGGTGTGTAAGTTAGGTACAGGTTGCACCACACAGAGCTGAACTATAACGTACCGGAGGGGTTTAGAGGGCGGTTCCCTACTTGGGTATGGCCCTGTCGGCCACTATGGGCCCGAGTTCCGACTAGCGGTGGCCTTGATGTGACGGAGTCCCCCCGGTCTCCGTCACCCGACTGCCCCTTGCATCTCGTCTTGAGCGTCCATGTCTTCGTCCTTGAACGTGGCTCGACTTGACCTGAACTTCACCGTGGCCCTGCTGCCTCGCGCGATGCTGACTGCAGTGCAGGTTCCATATGCGGCGGCTGGACTGTATGCAAGCTGCAGACAACTGCCTGTCCAGCCGCTTCGCATCACGCTTGAGCAGCCCCAGGTGGTCGGTGTAAACCGCAAGGTTACCACCGGCGACTGCACCAAGCGAGCCGTAAACGAGCGCCGACAGATGAACTGTCCATCCTTGGCGCTCGAGGTGTCGCTTGATGCAGTCGTACTTGGCGCGCTTGAGCTCAGCAATCCGCGCGAGCGACGACGTCCTCGGGTCGTCTGTGGCTTGGTCTTCAAAGGCCACAGCCAGGTCTACAACCGACACCGAACGTGTGGTGTGGTTGTAGACCTGCAAGTCCGGCCGCAGAGCAGGTCCGGGGAGCGAGGGTACGGTTTGGTTAACCCTCAGCTCAACCCTTTCCTTCCGATCACCCGCCGACGACGCTATCGCCCGCTCAATGATCGTCAGGGCGTCGTCGTGGCGGGTGCGGACTGCATCCATGGTGCCGGCACAGTGATTCAACACATGTGCCAGCGTCTCGGTCCTTGAGCAGCCAGGGAATCCGACACTTGTCGTGCGCCCGAAGACGCCGGCGCTTGAGGACACTGTGCGTGTCGAGCTGGTTGAGACGACCACCCACCGCAAAGCGGTAGTCGCTCTCCCAAAGCCCTCGGGGCCGCGAAAGGAAGGCGCTCCCAGCACCACCAAGGGTGCGAGCAGCCTTGCCTTGATCCGTCATCGCGGCCCATCGCTGCCAGTGCCTGGTCTTGAGGTGCAGCTTCACGTGCCGAAGGACATCCCTATGGTCCAACCAACCATCGTGGTGGGGCACGCGAAGCTGCAACCTTTGCGCCGGGGTCCCTGTCTCCTCCACCGCCGGAGCCATCTCGAACTTGAGGCCGAAGCGGTGAAGGTGACCCACGGACGTCGAACCACAGCGACCCAATGTCCGCATTCCGTCGCTTGGGCGGCGCTGGGTCCGACGCCCCCAGCTTACTGTTGAGAAGGAGCTCGCCCAGCTCCTCCTCACGGTCCTTCCACAGCACGACATCCAACTTGTAGCGGGCCTCTGCAATTTGACGGAGCTGCTGGCGGGCAATGCGCTGGGTGGCAGGGTCAGAAGAGTGCAACATCTGCCACCCATGTGCCACTTGAAGTGCCCCGTGCAGCTCCGTCAAGGGCAGAAGCCCCAAACCTCCACGAGAAACAGGAGCGTAAAGAAACGCTGTCGTAGCGCTAGTTGGCAGCCGCAGCAGGTGGCGCAGACCGCGAACAAGGTGGCGATCGAAGCCCTCCAGCTGCTGTGCGAACGGTCGCAAGTGCCGGAGGGCGTACTCGACGCGCGGGTAAAGGTACACCTTGACCGCCTTGACCACCTGCCACGGCGCCAGCCCGGACTGCAGCAGTGCCGTCGCATCATGCTTGAGCTGGGCGATAGCTGGTCCCAGCTCGACGCGACGGCGCACATGGTCGAAGCCATCCCCGATCCCCAAGTACTGGTAAGAGTCGGAGGCGCTGAGCGCGGGGATCGGGGTGCCGTTCAGCTGCAGCCCGAGGTCGCTGGTCTGGTGGAGACCACGCACATCTCGCTGGACTGACATGGTGCTGCACTTCAGCGAGTTAGCCTTTATGCCAGTCCAGCGTAGGAAGTCGTGCACCACCGAGTGTTGACGCTGGATACCGTCCACGGTGCTGCTGAATGTCTTCAAGTCGTCTGCGTAAGCAGCAGCACCGGGACGGTCTTCGCTGGACATCGTCACTCCAGTGTCCGGCAGCGACTTGAGCGCGTGAAGCAGCGGGGCGATTGCGGCGGTGAAGAGGTGGGGGCTGAGTGGGCAGCCTTGAAACACCCCCACCTTCAACGCGATCGGTGCCGTGGTCCCATCCACAGCGTTACCAATTGTAAACGCTGCGTCTGCGTAGAGACCACGGCAACAAGCGACAAACTCGGGCGGAACACCCTGCCGTTGTAGCGCTTCCCATAGCAAGTCGTGTGGCACGCTACCAAAAGCGTTGGCAAAGTCGTACCACACGACATGCAACTCTTGATGCTTGCGGCGGGCTTGGTCGACGAGCATGGCTGCGAGGAAGTTGTGTTCCCCGCAGCCGTTCATGGCTCGAAAGCCCTTCTGCGCGTCGGCATGGCGACCGTTGACGTCGAGCCAGCGCGTAAAGCGACGCGACAAGACGCCGGCGTACAACTTGTAGATGGCCTGCTGCAAGCAGATCGGCCGCCAATTGGATGGGTCGAGCCGATCGCCCTTCTTGTGCAGCAGGCGCACCACGCCAACCTTCCAGCTCTGCGGCACACGCTTGGACTGCCAGCAGCGCGCGAACGCCGCATGCAGGGCGGGCAGAAGCTGGGCCGTGAACAGCTTGAAGATGTCATAGCCGACACCGTCCAAGCCAGGGCTGGAACTGCCACGCGCACGCTGCACTTGGTCCTCGATCTCATGCGAAGACGGCCCATCCGTGAGCAGCGCCATGTCAACTGTCGCTGGAGGCAGGCGGTCCATGGCCGCGCGGAACGAGGCTCCAACTGGCGCCATAGGGTCGAAGGCACCCACCGGGGAGTTCACCTCGGTAAAGAACCGGTGCAGGCTCTCCCCTGGAATAGGGCAGGTGTCTTCCTCCACGGCCACACAGTCCGGCGGAGGCGCAGAGGTGCTGGCTGGCGTAGCCGCAGCCTCGTCTGCCTCGCGCTGGGACCGAGCCGTCGCCAGGATGCTCTCAACACACACCTTCTCCGAAGTCTCGAAGAGGTGGCGGAGGCGTTGCTGCGAAATGGAGGAGGTGATCCTCCCCACACGACGACGTGCCTTGGCAACAACCTTGCGGTTGCCCGGCTCGCTACGCTGGACAGCATGCATGGCGTCCAGAGCCTCGTCAAGCCGGTGCTCACGGTGATGACGTGTCACACGGGGCGGACGTGTGCGCCGGCGCCCCATGCCACCACCGGAGTGACCACGGCGACGACGTGAACGGCTGCCACCTTGGCGCTGACCGTCTAGCGTCACGGCCTGCGCTGGACCTTGGTGTGGCTCCGGTCGCCTGGCAGGACGCACGTCTGGATGGTGCAGCTGCGGGCGCTGGGAGTGAGGTTGGGCGGGGTGCTGTGTCTGGGAGTAAGGCTGCAGTTGATCGTACAGCGCATACGGGAGGGCTGTGATGTAGCCCTCCGCCTCCTCCCAGTCATCAGCGTCCGTTATCTTGGCAGCTAGCCTCGCTGCTAGCCGCTCCACCAACTTGCCCGCAGCCTCTCCCTCGTCTTCGTTTAGCTGCCGTAGGCGCAGTCGGGACCGGCGCGGAGGCACTGCATCAGGCCCTACACTTATCGCTGCATACACCTCGCCATCATCGATGTCCCCCATGTCATCATCATCTGCGGGGCTTGGGGGATCTTCAGTGCCCACCGCGACATGCGGTGTGGCAGGCGGAGGTGCAGCTGCGGGTGCAGGGGCCGTCGTGGAGGTGGAGGTGCATCCATGTCCATCGGTATGCACCCCACACTCCAACGTGGTCGTGCGGCGGTCAAGAGCGGCGTTGGCGAGGCGGTCGACATGACCATTTGCCTGCCTGTCGATGGGATGAAGCGTTGCCCGCTCCATCCGCGCCAGCTCCGCCTTGACCGCAATGCGCAGTTGCCTCAGGCGCTTGTTGCGTGTGGCGAAGATGCCACGCACCTGCTGGATGACAAGAGTGCTGTCACCCTCGATCCGTAGGCGCGTGACACCGTGGTCGGCGGCAGCCCGTGTGCCGAGCAGCAGCGCGGTGTACTCGGCCGTGTTGTTGGTTTCGCCGCTGCTCGGCATGTAGTGGGAACACGTCCACACTACGGGGCCGCTGGGCTTGAACAACGCAGCGCCGGCGCCACCAGGCCCAGGGTTTGCCCGGCAGGCACCGTCAAAGCGCAGCAGCCACTCGCCGTCCATGTCTGGGTCGTCGTTGACGTCCTCGTCGTCGCTGTCACCAGCCTTGGTCTCCTCCTCCTCCGTTAACTCTGGCGGGAGGAGACGGTCGGCAATCCTTGACACCACCACGCTGCGAGGCAGTGGTGGACCCCAACGTGGGGCGGGAACCTCGGAGAGGCGGGACGCAACGCGAGAAGCAACCAGCTGCCTTGGGAGCGGGGGGCTCCATCTTGACTCTGTTGACCTGTCATGAGTGGTGCTCGACTGTGGGGGGGACACAGTGAGCACCGGAGGGTCTTGGCGGGGCAGCACGGGTTCGGTGTCGGCCACCGTAGCGGTGGCATTGACTGCACCAGCAGTGGGGCTGAGGTCCCCGGCTGCTGATGCGGTCGCAGCCGAAGTGTCGCGGAGGCTGGCACACGCGCGAGCGTGGTTAGCTGCAGCCAGCCTCGACACGAAAGGTGTGCCGCACGCACAACCTGCCGAGAACCGGTCGAGGAAGGCGATGCGGCGGTGCCTTGAGTCCCGGTGGCGCTTGAGCGAAGCAAAGCTTGACGCCGTGTATGTACACAGCGTGCACGTGAAGCGCTGCGCGTTGTGGGCATACACGGCCAGGACGGAGGCCGGGAGTGCGCTAGCCGTGGATGGCCAAAGCGCTGAGTTCATGGGGCCGGCCTCAACGTCCTCGAGCAGCAGTTGCTCGGCTTGCTCGCGTTCATCGCCGTCATCCTCGTCGTTCAAGCGGCGACGCTTGCCGTTGAGGCGGAGCACGAGAGGAGGAGACGGCGGAGTGAGGCTTGCTGCCTGCCACGTCGCGCCCTGGTCCACCTCCATGGGGACGGCTGCGGTCGTGGCAGGAGCCTGTGCAGCACCCACGGGCAGCATGCTACCCGCCCTGCCGGGTGTGCAGTCATCATCATGGGGACAGGGCCCAGCAACAGCGGACGGCTCGTCGCCGCAAGGCATCGGAGCGTCACACCCGACTCGGTCAGGCAGTATGGGAGCCTGCCTGCCGAGCCGGTCGTCACAGGTACGTGAGACATAAACAATTGCTGCAGTGGACACGGCCTCGCTGGCGGTAGTCGTGGCAGCCCATGGTGAGGGGCCGCGGCCACTGCAGTGTATCCAGCTCGGGCAGGCAGCTCCGTAGCTACATGCCCGAGCCGGTCGTCATCACTTGAGGAGGTGGCAGCGTCGTCGTCCATCGAGGAGGCAGTGTCGTCGTCGGGGGCCCCGCCGTCGCTGTTTTCGCTATCCTCTGGGTCGCTGGGGCCTTGGAAGGCACCCAGTGCGCGAGCCGTTGCGGCTACGAGCGCGGACCCGAGCTGCACCCGGTCGGGCAGCATGCGTGCCGCCCTGCCGGGTGGAGGAGCAACAATCGCGGGGTCTCGAGCGGCGGCGGGGGCTTCCGGAGCGAGCGGGAGGGCGGGGGGACCCGTTGCGCACGCGTCTGGACCCGGGGGCTGCCTGTGGGCACCCGGGGAGCCGACGCTCTGTAGATGTCCATGCTGGACCCGGTCGGGCAGCATGCTTGCCGCCCTGACGGGCCCAACATCATCGCTTGCAGTGTCTTGGGCCGCTCCCACGTCTGGGAGGGCGCTCCGCAACGTGTAGATGCCCTTGGTGCACGTCTTGGTACCCGGGCGCCGCATGCTTGCGCCCGGGGAGCCGTCGCTCTGCAGTCCTTGTCCTTGTGTCGGCGATACCCGGTCGGGCAGCGTAACGCCCGCCCTGCCGGGTATGCCAACAATCGCATCTTCATCCTGCGAGGCCACGGCAGCGGCGGGAGCGTCCGACGAGGCGGGGGAAGCCAAACGGCGCGCGGAGGAGGCGGGAGGCGGTCTCGTGGCCTCTGCAAGGCCGGCGGAGACGACGCTATCTTGGCCCGAGGAGTCTTGATCGTTGTCTTGAATGGTGTCGTGAATAGCGGCGACCCCTATACTTAAACCAAGTATATTGTCGAAGGTACCTTCGGAGGTACCAACGGGGGGTCGCCGGGCCTCTTCCCGGTCAATGATGGCACCCAAAATCGGGGCCGGAGACCGGGGGGCCTCGCGCGCGACAGAGACCTCTGTGCGCGCGGAAACTTGGTAGGCACTGGGCGATGCGGGATCCGAACCCGTGCCCGAAGTTGCGGCGCCTAACTCCGCGTCATCGCCGCGAGGCGATGGCGCGCGTAGACGCACTCGGGGCCCATTTTGGGGCCCCGGAAGGGAATTATTGGAGGTACCAGTGTGTACCCCTACCCCTTGTCCGACGGCGACCGTTCCCAGGCAGTTTCGTCCCACCCGTTCCGCAAAGAAGGGTGACGAACTTTCTGGGAACAGTCTTAAATCAGACTGCCCCGCCTCTTCCCCAGTGACCAGTTGCGTGTCATCTGGGAGAGGGGGAATTTCGTCGTGTCCCACTCCAGTTTCGTCATCAGGCGACGCGTCATAGAAAGACGCATCGCTGGCGAGACTGGAATGGCTGTCCGTAGAGCACTCACTATCGCTAGATAGAGAGCGCTCCCGGGGCTCCCAATCCGGCCACCAAAATCGCATAGGAGGAGCGAAGTTGGATAGGCCAGGGCAGAAAGGACAGATAGACGAACGGTAAAGAACGAACTAGAAAGATAGAACGAACTTAAGTAGAAAAAAATCAAGTTTATTTTGTAGTCGGCCTCACGAGGGTTAGGTGTAAGCCCCCGGAGAGGGGGCCTCACGGGAAAAGTCCCGGAGACCCTCTTAGTAGCAAGCTACTTCGACAGGACGTCCAAAAATGAATGTGAAAAAGACCGACAAAAGTCGGAAAACCAGTTTTCACACTGATTAGAACAGATAAGGGTGTGTATTACCGTCCGGTTAGTCCATTTCTAAAGGGTATAGAAATACCCAATAGAAACTATGTGGTGTGTAAGTTAGGTACAGGTTGCACCACACAGAGCTAAACTATAACGTACCAGAGGGATTTAGAGGACGGTTCCCTACTTGGGTATGGCCCTGTCGGCCACTATGGGCCCGAACGACGACTTAGCGGCGGCCTCGATGGGACGGAGTCCCCCCGGTCTCCGTCACCAGACTGCCCCTTGCATCTTGTCTTGAGCGTCCATGTCTTCGGCCTTGAACGTGGGCTTGACTTGGACCTTGAGCTTGATCGTGACCATTCTGTCGCTCGCGGTGCTGGCCGCAGTGCAAATTCCATATGCGGCGGCTGGACTTAATGCACTCAGCAGAAAGGTGCCTGTCCAGCCGCTTCGCATCGCGATTCAGCACGCCAAGTTGCTCGGTGTAAACCGCAAGGTTACCACCGGCGACTGCACCAAGCGAACCGTAGACGAGCGACGAAAGGTGAACCGTCCAACCTTGACGCTCAAGGTGTCGCTTGATGCAGTCGTACTTGGCGCGCTTGAGCTCAGCAATCCGCGCGAGCGACGACGTCCTCGGGTCGTCTGTGGCTTGGTCTTCAAAGGCCACAGCAAGGTCTACAACCGACACCGAACGTGTGGTGTGGTTGTAGACCTGCAAGTCCGGCCGCAGAGCAGGTCCGGGGAGCGAGGGTACGGTTTGGTTAACCCTCAGCTCAACCCGGTCCTTCCGATCACCCGCCGACGACGCTATCGCCCGCTCGATGATCTTCAGGGCGTCGTCGTGGCGGGTGCGGACTGCATCCATGGTGCCGGCACAGTGATTCAGCACATGTGCCAGCGTCTCGGACCTTGAGCAGCCTAGGGAATCCGACACTTGTCATGCGCCCGAAGACGCCGGCGCTTGAGGACACTGTGCGTGTCGAGCTGGTTGAGACGACCACCCACCGCGAAGCGGTAGTCGCTCTCCCAAAGCCCTCGGGGCCGCGAAAGGAAGGCGCTCCCAGCACCACCAAGGGTGCGAGCAGCCTTGCCTTGATCCGTCATCGCGGCCCATCGCTGCCAGTGCCTGGTCTTGAGGTGCAGCTTCACGTGCCGAAGGACATCCCTATGGTCCAACCAACCATCGTGGTGGGGCACGCGAAGCTGCAACCTTTGCGCCGGGGTCCCTGTCTCCTCCACCGCTGGAGCCATCTCGAACTTGAGGCCGAAGCGGTGAAGGTGACCACGGACGTCGAACCACAGCGACCCAATGTCCGCATTCCGTCGCTTGGGCGGCGCTGGGTCCGACGCCCCCAGCTTGCTGTTGAGAAGGAGCTCGCCCAGCTCCTCCTCACGGTCCTTCCACACCACGACATCCAACTTGTAGCGGGCCTCTGCAATCTGACGGAGCTGCTGGCGGGCAATGCGCTGGGTGGCAGGGTCAGAAGAGTGCAACATCTGCCACCCATGCGCCACTTGAAGTGCCCCATGCAGCTCCGTCAACGGCAGAAGCCCCAAACCTCCACGAGAAACAGGAGCGTAGAAGAAACGCCGTCGTGGCGTTAGTGGGCAGCCGCAGCAGGTGGCGCAGGCCGCGAACAAGGTGGCGGTCGAAGCCCTCCAGCTGCTGTGCGAACGGTCGCAGGTGCCGGAGGGCGTACTCGACGCGCGGGTACAGGTACACCTTGACCGCCTTGACCACCTGCCACGGCGCCAGCCCGGACTGCAGCAGCGCCGTCGCATCATGCTTGAGCTGGGTGAGAGCTGGTCCCAGCTCTACGCGACGGCGCACATGGTCGAAGCCATCCCCGATCCCCAAGTACTGGTAAGAGTCGGAGGCGCTGAGCGCGGGGATCGGGGTGCCGTCCAGCTGCAGCCCGAGGTCGCTGGTCTGGTGGAGACCACGCACATCCCGCTGGACTGACATGGTGCTGCACTTCAGCGGGTTCGCCTTCATGCCAGTCCAGCGCAGGAAGTCTTGCACCACCGAGTGTTGACGCTTGATGCCGTCCACGGTGCTGCTGAATGTCTTCAAGTCGTCGGCGTAAGCAGCAGCACCGGGACGGTCTTCGCTTGACATCTTCACGCCAGTGTCCGGCAGCGACTTGAGCGCGTGAAGCAGCGGGGCGATCGCGGCGGTGAAGAGGTGGGGGCTGAGTGGGCAGCCTTGAAACACCCCCACCTTCAACGCGATCGGCGCCGTGGTCCCATCCACAGCGTTACCAATTGTAAACGCTGCGTCTGCGTAGAGACCACGGCAACAAGCGACAAACTCGGGCGGAACACCCTGCCGTTGTAGCGCTTCCCATAGCAAGTCGTGTGGCACGCTACCAAAAGCGTTGGCAAAGTCGTACCACACGACATGCAACTCTTGATGCTTGCGCCGGGCTTGGTCGACGAGCATGGCTGCGAGGAAGTTGTGCTCCCCGCAGCCGTTCATGGCTCGAAAGCCCTTCTGCGCGTCGGCGTGGCGGCCGTTGACGTCGAGCCAGCGCGTAAAGCGACGCGACAAGACACCGGCGTACAACTTGTAGATGGCCTGCTGCAAGCAGATCGGCCGCCAATTGGATGGGTCGAGCCGATCGCCCTTCTTGTGCAGCAGGCGCACCACGCCAACCTTCCAGCTCTGCGGCACACGCTTGGACTGCCAGCAGCGCGCGAACGCCGCATGCAGGGCGGGCAGAAGCTGGGCCGTGAACATCTTGAAGATGTCATAGCCGACACCGTCCAAGCCAGGGCTTGAACTGCCACGCGCACGCTGCACTTGGTCCTCGATCTCATGCGAAGACGGCGCATCCGTGAGCAGCGCCATGTCAACTGTCGCCGGAGGCAGGCGGTCCATGGCCGCGCGGAACGAGGCTCCAACTGGCGCCATAGGGTCGAAGGCACCCACCGGGGTGTTCACCCCGGTGAAGAACCGGTGCAGGCTCTCCCCTGGAATGGGGCAGGTGCCTTCTTCCACGTCCACACAGTCCGGCGGAGGCGCAGAGGTGCTGGCTGGCGTAGCCGCAGCCCCGTCTGCCTCGCGCTTGGACCGAGCCGTCGCCAGGATGCTCTCAACACACACCTTCTCCGAAGTCTCGAAGAGGTGGCGGAGGCGTTGCTGCGAAATGGAGGAGTTGATCCTCCCCACACGACGACGTGCCTTGGCCACAACCTTGCGGTTGCCCGGCTCGCTACGCTGGACAGCATGCATGGCGTCCAGAGCCTCGTCAAGCCGGTGCTCACGGTGATGACGTGTCACACGGGGCGGACGTGTGCGCCGGCGCCCCTTGCCACCACCGGAGTGACCACGGCGACGACGTGAACGGCTGCCACCTTGGCGCTGACCGTCTTGCGTCATGGCCTGCGCTGGACCTTGGTGTGGCTCCTGTCGCCGGTCAGGACGCACGTCGGATGTGCAGCTGCGGGCGCTGGGAGTGAGGTTGGGCGGGGTGCTGTGTCTGGGAGTAAGGCTGCAGTTGATCGTACAGCGCATACGGGAGGGCTGTGATGTAGCCCTCCGCCTCCTCCCAGTCATCAGCGTCCGTTATCTTGGCAGCTAGCCTCGCAGCCAGCCGCTCCACCAACTTGCCCGCAGCCTCTTGCTCGTCCTCGTCCAGCTGCCGCAGGCGCAGTCGGGACCGGCGCTGAGGCACTGCATCAGGCCCCACACGCATCGCTGCATACACCTCGCCATCATCGATGTCCCCCATGTCATCATCATCTGCGGGGCTTGGGGGGACATCGGTGCCCACCGCGACATGCGGTGTGGCAGGCGGAGGTGCAGCTGCGGGTGCAGGGGCCAGTCGTGGAGGTGGAGGTGCATCCATGTCCATCGGTATGCACCCCACACTCCAACGTGGTCGTGCGGCGGTCAAGAGCGGCGTTGGCGAGGCGGTCGGCATGACCATTTGCCTGCCTGTCGATGGGATGGAGCGTGGCCCGCTCCATCCGCGCCAGCTCCGCCTTGACCGCAATGCGCAGTTGCCTCAGGCGCTTGTTGCGTGTGGCGAAGATGCCACGCACCTGCTGGATGACAAGGGTGCTGTCACCCTCGATCCGCAGGCGCGTGACACCGTGGTCGGCGGCAGCCCTTGTGCCGAGCAGCAGCGCGGTGTACTCTGCCGTGTTGTTGGTTTCGCCGCTGCTCGGCATGTAGTGGGAGCACGTCCACACTACGGGGCCGCTGGGCTTGAACAGCGCAGCGCCGGCGCCGCCAGGGCCAGGGTTTGCCCGGCAGGCACCGTCAAAGCGCAGCAGCCACTCGCCGTCCTTGTCTTGGTCGTCGTTGACGTCCTCGTCGTCGCTGTCCCCAGCCTTGGTCTCCTCCTCCTCCGTTAACTCTGGCGGGAGGAGACGGTCGGCAATCCTCGACACCACCACGCTGCGAGGCAGTGGTGGACCCCAACGTGGGGCGGGAACCTCGGAGAGGCGTGACGCAACGCGAGAAGCAACCAGCTGCCTTGGGAGCGGAGGGCTCCATCTTGACTCTGTAGACCTGTCATGAGTGGTGCTCGACTGTGGGGGGACACAGCGAGCACCGGAGGGTCTTGGCGGGGCAGCACGGGTTCGGTGTCGGCCACCGTAGCGGTGGCATTGACAGCACCAGCAGTGGGGCTGAGGTCCCCTGCTGCTGGCGTAGTCGCAGCCGAAGTGTCGCGGAGGCTGGCACACGCGCGAGCGTGGTTAGCTGCAGCCAGCCTCGACACGAAAGGTGTGCCGCACGCACAACCTGCCGAGAACCGGTCGAGGAAGGCGATGCGGCGGTGCCTTGAGTCCCGGTGGCGCTTGAGCGAAGCAAAGCTTGACGCCGTATATGCACACAGCGTGCACGTGAAGCGCTGCGCGTTGTGGGCATACACGGACAGGACGGAGGCCGGAAGTACGCTGGCCGCGGATGGCCTAAGCGCTGAGTTCATGGGGCCGGCCTCAACGTCCTCGAGCAGCAGTTGCTCGGCTTGCTCGCGTTCCTCCCCGTCATCCTCGTCGTTCAAGCGGCGACGCTTGCCGTTGAGGCGGAGCACGAGAGGAGGAGACGGCGGAGTGAGGCTTGCTGCCTGCCACGTCGCGCCCTGGTCCACCTCCATGGGGACGGCTGCGGTCGTGGCAGGAGCCTGTGCAGCACCCACGGGCAGCATGGTACCCGCCCTGCCGGGTGTGCAGTCATCATCATGGGGACAGGGCCCAGCAACAGCGGACGGCTCGTCGCCGCAAGGCATCGGAGCGTCACACCCGACTCGGTCAGGCAGTATGGGTGCCTGCCTGCCGAGCCGGTCGTCACAGGTACGTGAGAAGCATAAACAATTGCTGCAGTGGACACGGCCTCGCTGGTGGTAGTCGTGGCATGCCCATGGTGGGGCCGCGGCCACTGCAGTGTATCCAGCTCGGGCAGGCAGCTCCGTAGCTACCTGCCCGAGCCGGTCGTCATCACTTGAGGCGGTGGCAGCGTCGTCGTCCATCAAGGCATGTCGTCGTCGGGGACCCCGCCGTCGCTGCTGCTGTATCGTCCTCAGGGTCTCTAGGGCCAGTTGAAGGCACCTAGGGCGCGAGCCGTTGCGGCTACGAGCGCGGACCCGTAGGTGCACCCGGTCGGGCAGCATTTCTGCCGCCCTGCCGGGTCTAGCAGCAACAATCGCGGGGTCCTGGAGCGGCGACGGGGGCCTTCCGGAGCGAGCGGGAGGGCGGGGGGAGCCGTTGCGCACGCGTCGTGGACCCGGGGTGCAGCCTGTGGGCACCCGGGGAGCCGATGCTCTGTAGATGTCCATGCTGGACCCGGTCGGGCAGCATGCTTGCCACCCTGCCGGGCCCAGCATCATCGTTTGCAGTGTCTTGTGGCCGCTCCCACGTCTGGGAGGGCGCTCCGCAACGTGTAGGTGCCCTTGGTGCACGTCTTAGAACCCGGGCGCTGCCTGCTAGCACCCGGGGAGCCGTCGCTCTGTAGGTCCTTGTCCTTGTGTCGAGCGATACCCGGTCGGGCAGCGTAACGCCCGCCCTGCCGGGTATGCCAACAAACGCATCTGTGGTCTTGAGAGGCCACGGCAGCGGCGGGAGCGTCCGACGAGGCTGGGGAAGCCAAACGGCGCGCGGAGGAGGCGGGAGGTGGCTGACTCGAGGCCGCTGCAAGGCCGGCGGAGACGATGCCATCTTGGGCCCGAGGAGTCTTGAGCGTTGTCTTGAATGGTTGTCGTCGAATAGTCGGCGACCCCTATACTTAAACCAAGTATATTGCCGAAGGTACCTTCGCTGGTACCAACGGGGGGGGTCGCCGGGACTCTTCCCGGTCAATGATGGCACCCAAAATCAGGGCCGGAGACCGGGGGGCCTCGCGCGCGACAGAGACCTCTGCGCGCGCGGAAACTTGGTAGGCACTGGGCGATGTGGGATCCGAACCCGTGCCCGAAGTTGCGGCGCCCAACTCCGCGTCACCGCCGCGAGGCGATGGCGCGCGTAGACGCACTCGGGGCCCATTTTGGGGCCCCGGAAGGGAATTATTGGAGGTACCAGTGTGTACCCCTACCCCTTGTCCGACGGCGACCGTTCCCAGGCAGTTTCGTCCCACCCGTTCCGCAAAGAAGGGTGACGAACTTTCTGGGAACAGTCTTAAATCAGACTGCCCCGCCTCTTCCCCAGTGACCAGTTGCGTGTCATCTGGGAGAGGGGGCATTTCGTCTGTCCCACTCCAGTCTCGTCATCAGGCGACGCGTCATAGAAAGACGCATCGCTGGCGAGACTGGAATGGCTGTCCGTAGAGCACTCACTATCGCTAGATAGAGAGCGCTCTCGAGGCTCCCAACCCGGCCACCAAAACCGCATAGAAGGGGCGATAGTGGAAAGGCCAGGGCAGAAAGGACAGATAGACAAACGGTACAGAACGAACTAAAAGGTAGAACGAACTAAGTAGAAAAGGAACAAGTGTATTGTTGATAGTCGGCCTCACGAGGGTTAGGTGTAAGCCACCCGGAGACCTTCCTAAAAAGTATCGCTACTATGTCAGGACGTCCAAAAATGAATGTGAAAAAGACCGACAAAAGTCGGAAACCAGTTTTCACACTGATTAGAACAGATAAGGGTGTGTATTACCGTCTGGTTAGTCTATTTCTAAAGGGTATAGAAATACCCAATAGAAACTGTGTGGTGTGTAAGTTAGGTACAGGTTGCACCACACAGAGCTAAACTATAACGTACCAGAGGGATTTGAGGACGGTTCCCTACTTGGGTATGGCCCTGTCGGCCACTATGGGCCCGAATCCGACGCTTAGCGGCGGCCTCGATGGGACGGAGTCCCCCCGGTCTCCGTCACCCGACTGCCCCTTGCATCTTGTCTTGAGCGTCCATGTCTTCGGCCATGAACGTGGGCTTGACTTGGACCTTGAGCTTGATCGTGACCATTCTGTCGCTCGCGGTGCTGGCCGCAGTGCAAATTCCATATGCGGCGGCTGGACTTAATGCACTCAGCAGAAAGTTGCTTGTCCAGCCGCTTCGCATCACGCTTCAGCACACCAAGGTGATCGGTGTAAACCGCAAGGTTACCACCGGCGACTGCGCCAAGCGAACCATAGACGAGCGCTGAAAGGTGGACCGTCCAACCTTGACGCTCTAGGTGTCGCTTGATGCAGCCATACTTGGTGCGCTTAAGCTCAGCAATCCGCGCGAGCGACGACGTCCTTGGGTCGTCCGTGGCTTGGTCTTCAAACGCCACCGCAAGGTCTACAACCGACACCGAACGTGTGGTGTGGTTGTAGACCTGCAAGTCCGGTCGCAAAGCAGGCCCGGGGAGCGAGGGTACGGTTTGGTTAACCCTCAGCTCGACCCGGTCCTTCCGATCACCCGCCGACGACACAACAGCCCGCTCGATTATCTTCAAGGCGTCGTCGTGGCGGGTGCGAACTGCATCCATGGTGCCGGCACAGTGGTTCAGCACATGTGCCAGCGTCTCCGATCTTGAGCAGCCTATAGGCGATCTGCACTTGTCATGTGCCCGAAGACGCCGGCGCTTGAGGACACTGTGCGTGTCGAGCTGGTTGAGACGACCACCCACCGCGAAGCGGTAGTCGCTCTCCCAAAGCCCTCGGGGCCGCGAAAGGAAGGCGCTCCCAGCACCACCAAGGGTGCGAGCAGCCTTGCCTTGATCCGTCATCGCGGCCCATCGCTGCCAGTGCCTGGTCTTGAGGTGCAGCTTCACGTGCCGAAGGACATCCCTATGGTCCAACCAACCATCGTGGTGGGGCACGCGAAGCTGCAACCTTTGCGCCGGGGTCCCTGTCTCCTCCACCGCCGGAGCCATCTCGAACTTGAGGCCGAAGCGGTGAAGGTGACCACGGACGTCGAACCACAGCGACCCTATGTCCCCATTTCGACGCTTGGGCGGGGCTGGGTCCGACGTCCCCAGCTTGCTGTTGAGAAGGAGCTCGCCCAGCTCCTCCTCACGGTCCTTCCACACCAGAACGTCCAGCTTATAGCGGGCCTCTGCAATCTGACGGAGCTGCTGACGGGCTATGCGCTGGGTGGCAGGGTCAGAAGAGTGCAACATCAGCCACCCATGCGCCACCTGTAACGCACCATGCAGCTCCGTCAACGGCAGAAGCCCCAACCCTCCACGATAAACAGGAGCGTAAAAGAACGCCGTCGTGGCGTTGGTCGGCAGCCGCAGCAGGTGGCGCAGGCCGCGAACAAGGTGGCGGTCGAAGCCCTCCAGCTGCTGGGCAAACGGGCGCAGGTGCCGGAGGGCGTACTCGACGCGAGGGTACAGATATACCTTGACCGCCTTGATCACCTGCCACGGCGCCAGACCGGACTGCATCAGGGCCGTCGCATCATGCTTGAGCTGGGTGAGAGCTGGACCCAGCTCAATGCGACGGCGCACATGGTCGAAGCCATCCCCAATCCCCAAGTACTGGTAGGAGTCAGCAGCACTGAGCGCGGGGATTGGGGTGCCGTCCAGCTGCAGTCCGAGGTCGCTGGTCCTGTGGAGGCCGCGGGTATCCCGCTGGACTGACATGGTGCTGCACTTCATCGGGTTGGCCTTCATGCCAGTCCAGCGCAGGAAGTCTTGCACCACTGCATGCTGTCGCTTGATGCCGTCCACGGTGCTGCTAAAGGCCTTCAAGTCGTCCGCGTAAGCAGCAGCACCGGGACGGTCTTCGCTTGACAGCTTCACGCCAGTGTCTGGCAGCAACCGGAGCGCGTGGAGCAGCGGAGCGATCGCGGCGGTGAAGAGATGGGGGCTGAGTGGGCAGCCTTGAAACACCCCCACCTTCAACGCGATCGGTGCCGTGGTCCCATCCACAGCGTTACCAATTGTAAACGCTGCGTCTGCGTAGAGACCACGGCAACAAGCGACAAACTCGGGTGGAACACCCTGCCGATGTAGCGCTTCCCAGAGCAAGTCGTGTGGCACGCTACCAAAAGCGTTGGCAAAGTCGTACCACACGACATGCAACTCCTGATGCTTGCGCCGGGCTTGGTCGACGAGCGTGGCTGCGAGAAAGTTGTGTTCCCCGCAGCCGTTCATGGCTCGGAAGCCCTTCTGCGCAGCGGCGTGGCGGCCGTTGACGTCCAGCCAGCGCGTAAAGCGACGCGACAAGACACCAGCGTACAACTTGTAGATGGCCTGCTGCAAGCAGATCGGCCGCCAATTGGATGGGTCGGACCGATCGCCCTTCTTGTGCAGCAGGCGCACCACGCCAACCTTCCAGCTCTGCGGCACACGCTTGGACTGCCAGCAGCGCGCGAACGCCGCATACAGGGCGGGCAGAAGCTGGGCCGTGAACAGCTTGAAGATGTCATAGCCGACACCGTCCAAGCCAGGGCTGGAACTGCCACGCGCACGCTGCACTTGGTCCTCGATCTCATGCGAAGACGGCGCATCCGTGAGCAGCGCCATGTCAACTGTCGCAGGAGGCAGGCGGTCCATGGCCGTGCGGAACGGGGCTCCTACCGGCGCCATGGGGTCGAAGGCACCCACCGGGGTGTTCACCGCCGTGAAGAACTGGTGCAGGCGCACCCCTGGAATGGGGCAGGTGCCTTCGTCCAGCTCCACCAAGTCCGGCGGAGGCGCAGCGGTACCGACAGGCAGTTCCGTTGCCTCACGCTTGGACCGGGCCGTACACAGGATGCGCTCAACACACACCTTCTCCGTAGTATCGAAGAGGTGGCGGAGGCGTTGTTGCGAAATGGAGGAGTTGATCCTCCCCACACGACGACGTGCCTTGGCCACAACCTTGCGGTCGCCCGGCACGCGTTGCTGAACAGCATGCATAGCGTCCAGAGCCTCGTCAAGCCGGTGCTCACGGTGATGACGTGTCACACGGGGCGGGCGCGTGCGCCGGTGCCCCTTGCCACCACCAGAGCGACCACGGCGACGACGTGAATGGCTGCCACCTTGGCGCTGACCGTCCTGTGGCACGGCCTGCTCATGGCCTTGGAGTGCCCGGCCAGTACGCACGGCTTGCTGCGGGAGCCGCGAGCAAGATTGGGCGGGGTGCTGTGCCTGGGAGTATGGCTGCAGCTGGTCGTACAGCGCATGCGGAAGGGCTGTGATGTAGCCCTCCGCCTCCTCCCAGTCAGCAGCGTCCGTGATCTTGGTAGCCAGCCTCGCAGCCAGCCGCTCCACCAGCTCTCCCGCAGCCTCTTGCTCGTCCTCGTCCAACTGGCGAAGGCGTAAGCGGGACCGACGCTGAGGCACTGTATCCGGCCCCACACTCATCGCTGCATACACCTCGCCATCGTCGATGTCCCCCATGTTGTCGTCATCGACGGGGCTTGGGGGGACATCCGTGTCCACCGCGACATGCGGTGTGGCAGGCGGGGGTGTAGCTGCGGGTGCAGGGGCCAGAGTGGAGGTGGAGGTGCATCCATGTCCATCGGTATGCACCCCGCACTCCAACTCGGTCGCGCGGCGGTCAAGAGCGGCGTTGGCGAGGCGGTCGGCATGACCATTCGCCTGCCTGTCGATGGGATGGAGCGTGGCCCGCTCCATCCGCGCCAGCTCTGCCTTGACTGCGAGTCGCAGCTGGCGAAGGCGCTTGTTGCGCGTGGCGAAGATGCCACGCACCTGCTGGATGACAAGAGTGCTGTCACCCTCGATCCGTAGGCGCGTGACACCGTGGTCGGCGGCAGCCCTTGTGCCGAGCAGCAGCGCGGTGTACTCGGCCGTGTTGTTGGTCTCGCTGCTGCTCGGCATGAAGTGGGACCCCTTCCACACGACGGGGCCACTGGGCTTGAACAACGCAGCGCCGGCGCCGCCAGGGCCAGGGTTCTTGCCCGGCAGGCACCGTCAAAGCGCAGCAGCCACTCGCCGTCACCCTCTTGGTATCGCTGTGCGTCCTCGTCGTCGCTGTCCCCAGCCTTGGTCTCTTCCTCCTCCGTTAACTCTGGCGGGAGGAGACGGTCGGCAATCCTTGACACCACCACGCTGCGAGGCAGTGGTGGACCCCAACGTGGGGCGGGAACCTCGGAGAGGCGTGACGCAACACGCGAAGCAACCAGCTGTCTTGGGAGCGGAGGGCTCCATCTTGATTCCTTAGACCTGTCATCCGTGGTGCTCGACTGTGGGGGGACACAGCGAGCACCGGAGGGTCTTGGCGGGGCAGCACGGGTTCGGTGTCGGCCACCGTAGCGGTGGCATTGACAGCACCAGCAGTGGGGCTGAGGTCCCCTGCTGCTGGTGTAGTCGCAGCCGAAGTGTCGCGGAGGCTGGCACACGCGCGAGCGTGGTTTGCTGCTGCCAGCCTCGACACGAAAGGCGTGCCGCACGCACAACCTGCCGAGAAGAGGTCGAGGAAGGTGATACGGCGGTGCCGTGAGTCCCTGTGTCGCTTGAGCGAAGCAAAGCTTGAGGCCGTGTATGTACACAGCATGCACGTGAAGCGCTGCGCGTTGTGTGCATACACGGCCAGGACGGAGGCCGGGAGTGCGCTGGCCGTGGATGGCCAAAGCGCTGAGTTCATGGGGCCGGCCTCAACGTCCTCGAGCAGCAGTTGCTCGGCTTGCTCGCGCGGTTCATCGCCGTCATCCTCGTCGCTCAAGCGGCGACGCTTGCCGCTGAGGCGGAGCACGAGAGGCGGAGACGGCGGAGTGAGGCTTGCTGCCTGCCACGTCGCGCACTGGTCAACCTCCATGGGGACGGCAGCGGTCGTGGCAGGAGCCTGTGCATCACCCACGGGCAGCATGGTACCCGCCCTGCCGGGTGTGCAGTCATCATCATGGGGGCAGGGCCCGGCAAAGGACGGCTCGTCGCCGCAAGGCATCGGAGCGTCGCACCCGGCTCGGTCTGGCAGTATGGGTGTCTGCCAGCCGAGCCGGTCGTCACAGGTACGTGGGAAAAAAGAAGCATAAACAATTGCTGCAGTGGACACGGCCTCGCTGGTGGTAGCGTGGCATGCCCACAGGAGGGGCCGTGGCCACTGCAGTGTATCCAGCTCGGGCGGGCAGCTCCGTAGCTACCTGTCCGAGCCGGTCGTCATCACTTGCGGCGGTGGTAGCCTCAGCGTCATCGTCCATGAGACGTCCATCCCGGTCGCTGCTGCTGTCGTCCTCAGGGTCTCCAGGGCCACGAGTGGCACCTAGGGCGCGAGCAGTAAAGACGGCAAGCGCGAACCCGTCGGTACCCCGGTCGGGCAGCATTTCTGCCGCCCTGCCGGGTCTAGCAGCAACATCCGGAGGGTCCTGGACGGCGACGGGGCCGTCGGGAGCTGGGGGAGGGCGGGGGGAGCCGTGTCACACGTCGTAGAACCCGGGTACAGCCTGTTGGCACCCGGGGAGCCGATGCTCTGAGGTAGTCCATGCTGGACCCGGTCGGGCAGCATGCTTGCCACCCTGCCGGGCCCAGCTTCAGCGTTTGCAGTGTCTTGTGGCCCTCCCACGTCTGGGAGGGCGCTCGAACGTAGGTGTCCGTAGTCGTAGTGCATGTTGTAGAACCCGGGAGCTGCCTGCAAGCACCCGGGGAGCCGTCGCTCTGTAGGTCTGTCCATGTCTTGAAGCGATACCCGGTCGGGCAGCGTAACGCCCGCCCTGCCGGGTATGCCAACAAACGCTCTGGGGTCTTGAGGGGCCGCGGAGCGGCGAGGAGGCACGCCGAGACGCTGTCGGGAAGCCAAACGGCGCGCGGAGGGAGGCGGGTGGCGGACTCGAGGCCGCTGCAGGGCCGGCGGAGACGATGCCATCTTGGGCCGGAGAGTCTTGAGCGTTGTCTTGATGGTTGTCGCGAAAATCGGCGACCCCGATACTTAAACCAAGTATATTGCCGAAGGTACCTTCGCTGGTACCAACGGGGGGTCGCCGGGCCTCGTCCCGGTCTATGATGACACCCAAAATTGGGACCGTAGACCGGGGGGCCTCGCGCGCGCCAGAGACCTCTGCGCGCGCTGAAACTTGGCAGGCACTGAGGCGATGCGGGATCACGAACCCGTGCCCGAAGTGGCGGCGCCCTAACTCCGCGTCACCGCCGCGAGGCGATGGCGCGCGTAGACGCACTCGGGGCCCATTTCGGGGCCCCGGAAGCGGTGATTATTGGAGGGTACAAGTGTTGGTACCCCCTACCCCTTGTCCGACGGCGACCGTTCCCAGGCAGTTTCGTCCCACCCGTTCCGCAAAGAAGGGTGACGAACTTTCTGGGAACAGTCTTAAATCAGACTGTCCCGCCTCTTCCCCATGTGACCAGTTGCGTGTCACCTGGGAGAGGGGGCATTTCGTCTGTCCCACTCCAGTCTCGTCATCAGGCGACGCGTCATAGAAAGACGCATCGCTGGCGAGACTGGAATGGCTGTCCGTAGAGCACTCACTATCGCTAGATAGAGAGCGCTCTCGAGGCTCCCAACCCGGCCACCAAAACCGCATAGAAGGGGCGATAGTGGATAGGCCAGGGCAGAAAGGACAGATAGACGAACGGTAAAGAACGAACTAGAAAGGTAGAACGAACTTAAGTAGAAAAGAAGCAAGTTTATTTTGTAGTCGGCCTCACGAGGGTTAGGTGTAAGCCACTCGGAGACCTTCCTAAAATAGTATCTCTACTATGTCAGGACGTCCAAAAATGAATGTGAAAAAGACCGACAAAAGTCGGAAACCAGTTTTCACACTGATTAGAACAGATACTACACTTGATCTTAGCTAAAAGCCGAGAAGGTATGGCCTGAAAGCAATACAGAGGAAGAATGCAATACTGTCGATACAATAGCGAATGTTGACAATAGGAATTTGAATGTTACATTAAATTCGAAATGCGAAAGTGATATTTCAAACAATGAAATAGGGAACACATACTAGGAATCTAACGTCAGTTTTGGTGTGCACGGTGTATGTTGATAGTGTGTGTACGTTGTGAATGATGTAAAGTAATCATGACAATGCGATATGTAAAAGATGTTGAAAAGGTAAATGAAGTTGGCCTCACGGGAGAAAGGTGTAAGCCCGGAGACGCCCGTCTAGTAGAAGTATTGACAGGACGTCCAAAAATGAATGTGAAAAAGACCGACAAAAGTCGGAAACCAGTTTTCACACTGATTAGAACAGATAAGGGTGTGTATTACCGTCCGGTTAGTCCATTTCTAAAGGTATAGAAATACCCTAAAGAAACTATGTGGTGTGTAAGTTAGGTACAGGTTGCACCACACAGAGCAGAACTATAACGTACCGGAGGGGTTTAGAGGGCGGTTCCCTACTTGGGTATGGCCCTTTCGGCCACGATGGGCTCGAAGTCCGACTAGCGGCGACCTTGATGTGACGGAGTCCCCCCGGTCTCCGTCACCCGACTGCCCCTTGTATCTTGATCTTGTCTCACGTGGTGCTGCCGTGCGCGATGCTGCTGCGGGGGGGGTTCCATATGGGGGGGGGGGGGGGTGGGGGGGCGGGGGACACCCCCCCCCCCCCCCCCCCCCCCCCCCCCTCGCGCCCCCCCCCGGGGGGGGGGTGAGCGCGGCGGGGGGGGGGGGGGGCCCGCAAGGTTACCACCGGCGACTGCACCAAGCGAGCCGTAAACGAGCGCCGACAGATGAACTGTCCATCCTTGGCGCTCGAGGTGTCGCTTGATGCAGTCGTACTTGTCACGCTTGGCCTTGGCTGTCCGGGCCAGCGAAGACGTCCGCGGGTCGTCGTTGGGCTGCTCTTCGAATGCGATAGCAAGGTCTACAACCGACACCGAACGTGTGGTGTGGTTGTAGACCTGCAAGTCCGGCCGCAGCGCAGGTCCGGGGAGCGAGGGTACCGTTTGATTGACCCTCAGCTCAACCCGGTCCGTCTTGTCGCCGGACGCCGAAGCAATGGCTCGCTCAATGACCTTGAGGGCTTCATCGTGGCGTCCGCGAATGGCGTCCATCGTCCCCGCGCAGTGATTGAGCACATGCGCGAGTGTCTCCGACCGCGAGCAACCTATATGCCTGCACTGGTCATGAGCCCGTAGACGCCTGCGCTTGAGCACGCTGTGCGTGTCGAGCTGGTTGAGCCGACCAGCCACCGCAAAGCGGTAGTCGGTCTCCCACAACCCGCGGGGCCGCGATAGGAAGCCGCTTCCAGCGCCCGCGAGGGTGCGAGCAGACTTGCCTTGGTCCGACATCGCGGCCCAACGCTTCCAGTGCTTGTTCTTGAGGTGCAGCTTCACGTGCCGAAGGACATCCTTATGTCCCAACCAACCATCGTGATGGGGCACGCGAAGCTGCAACCGCTGGGCTGGCGTCCCTGGCTCCTCCACCGCTGGCGCCATCTCGAACTTCAGGCCGAAGCGGTGGAGATGACCGCGGACGTCGAACCACAGCGACCCAATATCAGCGTTGCGTCGCTTGGGTGGGGCCGGGTTCGACGTCCCCAACTTGCTGTTGAGGAGGAGCTCGCCCAGCTCCTCCTCGCGGTCCTTCCAGACCGAGGCATCCAACTTGTACCTCGCGTCAGCAATCTGACGGAGCTGCTGGCGGGCAATGCGCTGAGTGGCAGGGTCAGAAGCGTGAAGCATCTGCCACCCATGCGCCACTTGAAGAGCCCCATGCAGCTCCGTCAGCGGCAAAAATCCAAGTCCACCACGAGAAACGGGCGCGTAGAAGAACGCCGTCGTGGCGTTAGTGGGCAGCCGTAACAGGTGTCGAAGGCCGCGTACAAGGTGACGGTCAAAGCCCTCCAGCTGCTGTGCGAATGGTCGCAGGTGCCGGAGGGCGTACTCAACCCGAGGGTACAAGTACACCTTGACCGCCTTGACCACCTGCCACGGCGCCAGCCCGGACTGCATCAGCGCCGTCGCGTCGTGCTTGAGCTGAGTGAGCGCTGGTGCAAGCTCTACACGACGGCGCACGTGGTCAAAGCCATCCCCGATCCCCAAGTATTGGTACGAGTCGGAGGCGCTGAGCGCGGGGATCGGGGTGCCGTCCAGCTGCAGCCCGAGGTCGCTGGTCTGGTGGAGACCACGCACATCCCGCTGGACCGACATGGTACTGCACTTGTGCGGATTCGCCTTCATGCCGGTCCAGCTCAGGAAGTCTCGCACCACCGAGTGTTGACGCTTGATGCCGTCCACGGTGCTGCTGAATGTCTTCAAGTCGTCGGCGTAAGCAGCAGCACCGGGACGGTCTTCGCTTGACATCTTCACGCCAGTGTCCGGTAGCGACTTGAGCGCGTGAAGCAGCGGGGCGATCGCGGCGGTGAAGAGGTGGGGGCTGAGTGGGCAGCCTTGAAACACCCCCACCTTAAGCGCGATCGGCGCCGTGGTCCCATCCGCAGCGTTACCAATTGTAAACGCTGCGTCTGCGTAGAGACCACGGCAGCAAGCGACAAACTCGGGCGGAACACCCTGCCGATGTAGCGCTTCCCATAGCAAGTCGTGTGGCACGCTACCAAAAGCGTTGGCAAAGTCGTACCACACGACATGCAGCTCTTGGTGCTTGCGCCGGGCTTGGTCAACGAGCATGGCTGCGAGGAAGTTGTGCTCCCCGCAGCCGTTCATGGCTCGAAAGCCCTTCTGCGCGTCGGCGTGGCGGCCGTTGACGTCGAGCCAGCGCGTAAAACGACGCGACAAGACACCGGCGTACAACTTGTAGATGGCCTGCTGCAAGCAGATCGGCCGCCAATTCGATGGGTCGAGCCGATCGCCCTTCTTGTGCAGCAGGCGCACCACGCCAACCTTCCAGCTCTGCGGCACACGCTTGGACTGCCAGCAGCGCGCGAACGCTGCATGCAGGGCGGGCAGAAGCTCGGCCGTGAACATCTTGAAGATGTCATAGCCGACACCATCCAAGCCAGGGCTTGAACCGCCACGCGCACGCTGCACCTGGTCCTCGATCTCATGCGAAGACGGCGCATCCGTGAGCAGCGCCATGTCAACTGTAGCCGGAGGCAGGCGGTCCATGGCCGCGCGAAACGAGGCTCCAACTGGCGCCATAGGGTCGAAGTCACCCGCAGGGGTGTTCACCCCGGTGAAGAACCGGTGCAGGCTCTCCCCTGGAATGGGGCAGGTGCCTTCTTCCACGTCCACACCGTCCGGCGGAGGCGCAGAGGCGCTGGCTGGTGTAGCCGCAGCCACATCTGCCTCGCGCTTGGACCGAGCCGTCGCCAGTATGCTCTCAACACACACCTTCTCCGAGGTCTCGAAGAGGTGGCGGAGGCGTTGCTGTGAAATGGAGGAGTTGATCCTCCCCACACGACGACGTGCCTTGGCCACAACCTTGCGGTTGCCCGGCTCGCTGCGCTGGACTGCGTGCATGTCGTCCAGAGCCTCGTCGAGCCGGTGCTCACGGTGATGACGTGTCACACGGGGCGGACGTGTGCGCCGGCGCCCCTTGCCACCACCGGAGTGACCACGGCGACGACGTGAACGGCTGCCACCTTGGCGCCGACCGTCTTGCGTCATTGCCTGCGCTGGACCTTGGTCCGACTCCTGTAGCCGGTCTGGGCGAACGTCATGCTGCTGCGGGCGCTGTGCGTGAGGTTGGGCGGGGTGCTGTGTCTGGGAGTAAGGCTGCAGCTGATCATACAGTGCATAGGGGAGGGCTGTGATGTAGCCCTCCGCCTCCTCCCAGTCGTCGGCATCTGTAATCTTGGCAGCTAGCCTCGCAGCCAGCCGCTCCACCAACTTGCCCGCAGCCTCTTGCTCGTCCTCGTCCAGCTGCCGCAGTCGCAGCCGTGACCGGCGCTGAGGCACTGCATCAGGCCCCACACGCATCGCTGCATACACCTCGCCATCATCGATGTCCCCCATGTCATCATCATCTGCAGGGCTTGGGGGGACATCGGCGCCCACCGCGACATGCGGTGTGGCAGGCAGAGGTGCAGCTGCGGGAGCAGGGGCCGTCGTGGAGGTGGAGGTGCATCCATGTCCATCGGTATGCACCCCACACTCCAACGTAGTCGTGCGGCAGTCAAGAGCGGCGTTGGCGAGGCGGTCGGCATGGCCATTTGCCTGCCTGTCGATGGGATGGAGCGTGGCCTGCTCCATCCGCGCCAGTTCCGCCTTGACCGCAATGCGCAGTTGCCTCAGGCGCTTGTTGCGTGTGGCAAAGATGCCACGCACCTGCTGGATGACAAGCGTGCTGTCACCCTCGATACGCAGGCGCGTGACACCGTGGTCGGCGGCAGCCCTTGTGCCGAGCAGCAGCGCGGTGTACTCTGCCGTGTTGTTGGTTTCGCCGCTGCTCGGCATGTAGTGGGAGCACGTCCACACGACAGGGCCACTGGGCTTGAACAGCGCAGCGCCGGCGCCGCCAGGGCCAGGGTTTGCCCGGCAGGCACCGTCAAAGCGCAGCAGCCACTCGCCGTCCTTGTCTTGGTCATCGGTGACGTCCTCGTCGTCGCTGTCCCCAGCCTTGGTCTCCTCTTCCTCCGTTAACTCTGGCGGGAGGAGACGGTCGGCAATCCTTGACACCACCACGCTGCGAGGCAGTGGTGGACCCCAACGTGGGGCGGGAACCTCGGAGAGGCGTGACGCAACGCGAGAAGCAACCAGCTGTCTTGGGAGCGGAGGGCTCCATCTTGACTCTGTAGACCTGTCATGCGTGGTGCTCGACTGTGGGGGGGACACAGCGAGCACCGGAGGGTCTTGGCGGGGCAGCACGGGTTCGGTGTCGGCCACCGTAGCGGTGGCATTGACAGCACCAGCAGTGGGGCTGAGGTCCCCTGCTGCTGGTGTAGTCGCAGCCGAAGTGTCGCGGAGGCTGGCACACGCGCGAGCGTGGTTTGCTGCTGCCAGCCTCGACACGAAAGGCGTGCCGCACGCACAACCTGCCGAGAAGCGGTCGAGGAAGGTGATACGGCGGTGCCGTGAGTCCCTGTGTCGCTTGAGCGAAGCAAAGCTTGAGGCCGTGTATGTACACAGCGTGCACGTGAAGCGCTGCGCGTTGTGTGCATACACGGCCAGGACGGAGGCCGGGAGTGCGCTGGCCGTGGATGGCCAAAGCGCTGAGTGCTTGGGGCCGGCCTCGACGTCCTCGAGCAGCAGTTGCTCGGCCTGCTCGCGCGGGTCATCGTCGCCGTCATCGCTCAAGCGGCGACGCTTGCCGCCGATGCGGAGCACGAGAGGCGGCGAGCCCGGTGTATGGCGTGCTGCCTGCCACGTCGCGCACTGGTCAACCTCCATAGGGACGGCAGCGGTCGTGGCAGGAGCCTGTGCATCACCCACGGGCAGCATGGTACCCGCCCTGCCGGGTGTGCAGTCATCAAGTTGGGGGCAGGGCCCGGCAGACAACTCGTCGCCGCAAGGCATCGGAGCGTCGCACCCGGCTCGGTCTGGCAGTATGGGTGTCTGCCAGCCGAGCCGGTCGTCACAGGTAATTGGGACAGAAACAGAAGCATAAACAATTGCTGCAGTGGACACGGCCGCGCTGGTGGTAGCGTGCATGCCCACAGGAGCGGCCGTGGCCACTGCAGTGTATCCAGCTCGGGCGGGCAGCTCCGTAGCTACCTGTCCGAGCCGGTCGTCATCACTTGCGGCGGTGGTAGCCTCTGCGTCACCGTCCGAGACCTCACGGTCGCTGCTGCTGTCGTCCTCAGGGTCTCCAGGGCCACGAGTGGCACCTAGGGCGCGAGCAGTAAAGACTGCAAGCGCGAACCCGTCGGTACCCCGGTCGGGCAGCATTTCTGCCGCCCTGCCGGGTCTAGCAGCAACATCCGCAGGGTCCTGGACGGCGACGGGGCCGTCGGGAGCTGGGGGGAGGGCGGGGGGAGCCGTCTCACACGTCGTAGAACCCGGGTACAGCCTGTTGGCACCCGGGGAGCCGATGCTCTGAGGTAGTCCATGCTGGACCCGGTCGGGCAGCATGCTTGCCACCCTGCCGGGCCCAGCTTCAGCGTTTGCAGTGTCTTGTGGCCCTCCCACGTCTGGGAGGGCGCTTGGCGAGGTGTCCGTAGTCGTAGTGCATGTTGTAGAACCCGGGAGCTGCCTGCAAGCACCCGGGGAGCCGTCGCTCTGTAGGTCGTCCATGTCTTGAAGCGATACCCGGTCGGGCAGCGTAACGCCCGCCCTGCCGGGTATGCCAACAAACGCTCTGGGGTCTTGAGGGGCCGCGGAGGGCGAGCAGGCACGCGGAGACGCTGTCGAAGCCAAACGGCGCGCGGGGGAGGCGGGTGGCTGACTCGAGGCCGCTGCAGGGCCGGCGGAGACGATGCCATCTTGGGCCGGAGAGTCTTGAGCGTTGTCTTGATGGTTGTCGCGAAAATCGGCGACCCCGATACTTAAACCAAGTATATTGCCGAAGGTACCTTCGCTGGTACCAACGGGGGGTCGCCGGGCCTCGTCCCGGTCTATGATGACACCCAAAATTGGGGCCGGAGACCGGGGGGCCTCGCGCGCGACAGAGACCTCTGCGCGCGCGGAAACTTGGTAGGCACTGGGCGATGTGGGATCCGAACCCGTGCCCGAAGTTGCGGCGCCCAACTCCGCGTCACCGCCGCGAGGCGATGGCGCGCGTAGACGCACTCGGGGCCCATTTTGGGGCCCCGGAAGGGAAGTATTGGAGGGTACCAGTGTGTACCCCTACCCCTTGTCCGACGGCGACCGTTCCCAGGCAGTTTCGTCCCACCCGTTCCGCAAAGAAGGGTGACGAACTTTCTGGGAACAGTCTTAAATCAGACTGCCCCGCCTCTTCCCCAGTGACCAGTTGCGTGTCATCTGGGAGAGGGGGCATTTCGTCGTGTCCCACTCCAGTTTCGTCATCAGGCGACGCGTCATAGAAAGACGCATCGCTGGCGAGACTGGAATGGCTGTCCGTAGAGCACTCACTATCGCTAGATAGAGAGCGCTCTCGAGGCTCCCAACCCGGCCACCAAAACCGCATAGAAGGGGCGATAGTGGAAAGGCCAGGGAAGAAAGGACAGATAGACGAACGGTACAGAACGAACTAGAAAGGTAGAACGAACTTAAGTAGAAAAGAAGCAAGTTTATTGTAGTCGGCCTCACGAGGGTTAGGTGTAAGCCACTCGGAGACCTTCCTAAAATAGTATCTCTACTATGTCAGGACGTCCAAAAATGAATGTGAAAAAGACCGACAAAAGTCGGAAACCAGTTTTCACACTGATTAGAACAGATACTACACTTGATCTTAGCTAAAAAGCCGAGAAGGTATGGCCTGAAAGCAATACAGAGGACAGAATGCAATACTGTCGATACAATAGCGAATGTTGACAATAGGAATTTGAATGTTACATTAAATTCGAAATGCGAAAGTGATATTTCAAACAATGAAATAGGGCAACACATACTAGGAATCTAACGTCAGTTTTTGGTGCTGCACGCGTGTATGTTGATAGTGTGTGTACGTTGTGAATGATGTAAAGTAATCATGACAATGCGATATGTAAAAGATGTTGAAAAGGTAAATGCAAGTTGGCCTCACGGGAGAAAGGTGTAAGCCCCCGGAGACCGCCCCGTCTTAGTAGCAAGCTACTTCGACAGGATGTCCAAAAATGAATGTGAAAAAGACCGACAAAAGTCGGAAACCAGTTTTCACACTGATTAGAACAGATACTACACTTGATCTTAGCAAAAAAGCCGAGAAGGTATGGCCTGAAAGCAATACAGAGGACAGAATGCAATACTGTCGATACAATAGCGAATGTTGACAATAGGAATTTGAATGTTACATTAAATTCGAAATGCGAAAGTGATATTTCAAACAATGAAATAGGGCAACACATACTAGGAATCTAACGTCAGTTTTTGGTGCTGCACGCGTGTATGTTGATAGTGTGTGTACGTTGTGAATGATGTAAAGTAATCATGACAATGCGATATGTAAAAGATGTTGAAAAGGTAAATGCAAGTTGGCCTCACGGGAGAAAGGTGTAAGCCCCCGGAGACCGCCCCGTCCTAGTAGCAAGCTACTTCGACAGGATGTCCAAAAATGAATGTGAAAAAGACCGACAAAAGTCGGAAACCAGTTTTCACACTGATTAGAACAGATACTACACTTGATCTTAGCTAAAAAGCCGAGAAGGTATGGCCTGAAAGCAATACAGAGGACAGAATGCAATACTGTCGATACAATAGCGAATGTTGACAATAGGAATTTGAATGTTACATTAAATTCGAAATGCGAAAGTGATATTTCAAACAATGAAATAGGGCAACACATACTAGGAATCTAACGTCAGTTTTTGGTGCTGCACGCGTGTATGTTGATAGTGTGTGTACGTTGTGAATGATGTAAAGTAATCATGACAATGCGATATGTAAAAGATGTTGAAAAGGTAAATGCAAGTTGGCCTCACGGGAGAAAGGTGTAAGCCCCCGGAGACCGCCCCGTCCTAGTAGCAAGCTACTTCGACAGGATGTCCAAAAATAAATGTGAAAAGATTCCAACTAAAAGTCGGAAAACCAGTTTTCACACTGATTAGAACAGATACTACACTTGATCTTAGCTAAAAAGCCGAGAAGGTATGATTGAGTCAACCTAATACAAGATTTACTTATAACTCACATTAGCCCGTATGTACAGGTTTGGATTTTTGGAAATGATTGATTTATTATCGAAACTATTTGTTAAAGATGATACGGTTTGTTTAAAACACTTTAGTCGCGGTAAATTACCCTGGTACACCGTACCAGTCTTCGGAAAGATAGAGCATATTACCATTTTGCTCAAAAAAAAGGAAAACAGCAGGTGTTATCAAGTAGTTTTTCGTTAGCAGCCAATACGTTTGCTCATCATGACGCAAGCATCTCTTTTTCGAAAATATACAGCTATAAAATTTAACCATGCAATGTGTTGAGCTTGTTGAAATTGAACTTGTTTGGTCGATACAGTGTAATCGTATATGTTCTTGGTACCTGATTTTGGCATGCAGTGACGAGGTGGGTGCACATTGAGCATATGATTGATCTTGTCTCTATTAGCGCCAACGCGACCTTTATGATCCTCCTACTATGATTAACTGCTCGTGGTAGCCTTCACAGAGGTACGGATCCTCGGCAAAGATTAAATCTTGCGAAGATGAGAGCAGGGAGATCCATGGGTTACTACTTTTCGAGCGTCACCTCGCGCAATCTATTACTCGATGACGAAGTCGATTCATTGGTCAGAAAGCAAAAAAGGCCGGTATCAAGAAAGCGTTAGCATCGAGTTATGCACGTTGTTATAGCCTTGAAAACAAACATTGATGTTCAGCCTCTCCCATTGAAATTTGCATCGCGTCAATGTCTGGACTTCGGTATGTATCATCACTGTAATTTTGGGCAAAGAAGACAACGTTTACTTTTTCGCACATTATTGTATGTTGCCGATAAACGTAAGTTATTAAAACATAAGTTTAAGACGAGCTCCGATTGAAACTTTGTGGACTAACTGTATTTTTTGCTGTACCGATTTTCGCACAAATGTCTTAAACAACCGAGTCACATTCCGGTCAAAACTTCTAAACCGTGTCACCTATTGGAATATTCCCTAATTTATATGATTATCGCAGCTACAGTTGTAATTGTGTTAGGTCGTTTAATCTATGGATCAGTTTCTGAATCGATCACTGTCTTTACATACTACTAGCACATCTATTTGAGCTCCCTTTGCATTTTATTTAGATCGACTGTACTGACGTACGTCACATACAGCCGATTCCCGGGCTGTGTCCTGCTCAGATATGATCCCATGGATTCCTCCTAGGAAAGAATGCGTATGATACCCAACTCTGGTATTTGTCATCATTCATTGATGTTAAATTGTTTCATCTTGCTGAACAGGATCATTTCGTGTCGAGAACATTATGAAGAACTGCTGTACTTGATACACCTTGTCACATTTGCTCTGACCTGAGGATACCTCGGCATCCGACTACCAGGCGTGATGGCGATACAAATCTAGTGTTTTCTGCCATATTTGTGAGTGACTGCATTTCTATTACTTACGCTAGAACAAATGATACACTTTCAGACAAACGTCTTTGAACCAGTCAACAGGAAAGCATGGTAGCATATATTACACACAGAATGATCTGATCTCGATTTCTAATCTCAACGTCAGAACATTGCATTTATCTGATCTACCAATAGTTTGATGATCTATAAACATTAGTCATGATAGCAGCGACATGCTACCCTGCTGAAGAGTAAGCACAAAGCGGGGGCCAAGATCGACATATATTAACTTATATATATATATATATATATATATATGTATATATATATGTATACATGTGGAATAGTCAGGAGGGGTGACCGACTAACTACCTTACGTCGCGTAAACACAACGTTCTCCTCATTTAGTACCGTTGATGTTTCAGGTTTAGCGATACTTAATATGTAGGCTAAATGTCCTAGATTTACTTATCAGAAACTTGAGGTCGGCAAGTTATGTTACTGGATCCAGTTCTTCAGCTACTTGTCGTTGAATTGAAAGGCGTAACAGGGTCAAACAGTCGCGTGAAGCATTTTTACAAGGATATGTGAAGGCCCTAATTGTGATGCGCTCTTAGACTTATCGTTTGGTTGAGGTACAGAAATAGCCAACCTACCGCGTGTGTGAGCGGTACACAACACGTTTGTAGACATCGAGATTGCACTTGAATTTGTCAGCTTCCAAGACAACCCTTGAGTGTGTGGGGTTGAGTGATGTCATCTTCGATATTTTAATAGATTCAAAATCAAAGCGTAGCGACCGCGTCTAATCTTTTAGCCAACAGTCAAGTATATTAAGCATTTCTGTTTATTTTAGTTTTCTAACAAAAAACAGTCTCATCTTTGCAACTTAGCCAATAAGTATGTGCCGGAGGACGGGAAACAGCACCCGAGCCCCATTTGGCAAGTGCTGCTTGTATTAGCAGTCTTAGGGCGCCCGTCTGAACCTCACTGTACTTGAGAAAGACGGAACAACTTTCTTGGATGGAAAGAAGGTGTGTGCTACGGTCACGCAGCTTTGAGTCCAGCTGCAATTGATCAGTCCGAACGACTATGGATTGAAAAGATGTAGTGTTGATATAGCTATCAGATTGACTGCCTAATCATCAAGAACACGCACAAAATAGAAATAATAGAATAGCGACAAGAGCCACACAAATAGATCTTTACATTAAATGAGATCTGTCGTACACGAAATTAAAGCGTAGTCCAAAGCATCCAGTGAATTCTTGCAATAAACTGAAACAATCTATTACCATTAATCCTGGAGAAACGTGAAAATAAGATTTTAGACCGTAAGACTGAAGGTTTTTCAAATTTTTAAACTGATCAGTTCTCTTGTCCAGCAAACGAGTGCTATCTTTGTTTTATCACCGATAAAAGTGGAAGATCGAGCAAGTACCTAATGTGTCGCGTTACATTATACTGACAAACATTTGTCACCTTTAAAATAAACAGTCCGGTACCACTACCAAGCATTATATTGTCGCAGCCTTCATTTTAAAGTTATTGTATGAACAAGTTATGCAGGTGATATACTTGTTTGGCGTGATAGAGCGACATGCGTCACACAAGAGCGACTACTAACGTTTAAACTCATAGAATAGGTTACATTCTGTCATTGCGCACCTTACGTAGATATGCTCTCTGCTTGACGGTTGTCTCGGACGAAGCTTCCTTTGTACAGCTTGTAATATTGATGACTGCAATGATATCACTAAGTATCAAATGTGATTAAAGCGGTGCTAGATCTTCTAAATAGTTAAGTACTGTATAAATAAAATTATTATTACACTTTAAACCCGGAAATATGGGCACCTCCGTTTTTACTTAGTGCTCGGTTTTTATGAGTGTAGGGATGTCGTTTAGATTGAAATACGTTTCCTAATAATATACTCTATATGTGTTTACGTTGGTTATTTCGTGAAGCTAGGTGCATCACAATTAAAG